GAATCTATGTTAGAATCTATATATTATCCTTAAGAAGAATAAGTATGTATAAGAAAAAGAAAGGGAAAGATTTTTAAAGAGCGGTATATACGGTGTGTGAGGAATGCTAAGTTCTATAATATTTATTTATTTAGTCTCGTTTAACGTCGCTCGAGTCACATCTAAGGTCTCACGTGGACGCCAGCCCTCGCTGGAAACAATCTACCCTACCTCCTCTTTCCTAATTAGTCAGAATCGGGCTTGTACGTCGTCCAGCCCGCTCCCGACCAATCAGATTCCATGGACTCGGTCCATCGAAGACTATGTCGACCTGGCCTCAGGTGGTCTCAGCTAGCTACTGCCTCGTCAACACCTCACCATTGTCCTCAGGTTCTATAATATTTATAATACTTATAATACTTATAATATACGCTAATACTAGTATTATACTAGTACCTTTCGATACCCGAGGTATCGAAAACCACCCTGCTCCGACTGACCAGCAACGCTACGGTTCTAGGGCAAATTTGGGCCTCTCAAACAACCGTGAGTGTCCTCTGGTCACTGACTCCGTTTCCATGCTTTACAGGAGACTCTGCCAAAGTTGTGGGTGGCTAAGCAGCAGCCCGAGGGCGATAGGGAGCTACACCCTTGCTAGAGGCCAAAGTCATGCCCGATAAGCGAGTGAATCAAACTCCAATGGACACATTTCAAGAGCAATACCGCTCGTCTAATATCTGGATCTTGCGAGGGGTGTTCTTATACCGTGGCGAATCCACTCTGCTCTCTCCAGGGCACTTACTTTCCAGGGCTTACTCGAGAATCGGCTCCAACACGAGCTCAAAGTCCATCTCCTCACACTTGACTAGATCCCGGCTCTGAATCCCCGGCCCACACGCCCCGGTTCCGACGCCGGACACGTCCACATCCACCCGCAAATAAACCGCCTCCGCCTCAACCAATTCCGCCCGGTGTCTAGCTCGCTCCAGCTCCGCGGCCGAGTATTTGGACACGGCGAAGTGGAAGTGCCCGTCTGGATTCAATTTGCCGCTCGTCATTGTAGCTTGGATGCCGGGCGCGGCGGAAGAGGACGAGGTGCGGCGGGCCTGCCGCATCCTCAGCCACCGCGTGCTCATCCGGTTCCCATTCTCCTGAGGCACTTCGTAGGGCGTGTGCAAGTCGTCGACGGAGGCGTTGTAGATGCCGACCTTCTGAGCCGACCTTTTGTCGCGGTACGACTCGCCCGGCCCCAGGCCGAACCAGGTGGCCCGGTCGAAGGCCCTGGACAGTTGGATGTCCCAGCCCGCCCTGGGCAGGGTCTCGGGGGTGGCGGTCGCGGTGGCGGCGCCTTCGGGCCGCACGTGAGCTCGGATGGAGACTGCCCCGGTCCTCTCGATGATGTAGGTCGTCTCGACGCGAAACCTCCAGGCCAGGATGGGCGGGCCGATGTACGTCACCACCTTCAGCTGCACGTCGCCGCCGTCCAGGCGCTGGATGTCGAGCTGGCGCTTCTGCACGGTCAGGGAGTCGAGTCCCCAGTGTTTCCACGCCTTGGTCTGCCAGGCCGCATCGTTGTCGGTGGGAGGTCGCCAGAAGCCGAGCTTCAGTGGCGTACGGCCAGACGACGTGTGGCCGCCCAACAGCTGCCAGTCCTTGTACACCCATGATGAAATATGCCCAAAACTTCGGTCAAAGGAAATGGAAAAGTCCGCCCCATGGACAGTAACAATGTGTCGCTGGAAAGATGTGGCGAGACTCTCTCTCGATATGGCGGACTCCTCGATGTTTTCGAGGTGCACGGGCGGGAGCAACATCTTCCCGTTCAATCGATGCTGAAACCAGGATACCTCGTGCCCAGCATTCGCCCACGCGTTATCCTCCTTCAGGACAAAGGAAACGGTGATCCAAGACTCGCACTGGGCGTGAGAGGCATACTGTAAGATGGCCTTGGGCAGCGGAATCGTGCCCGCCTTTCCAGGCCTGACATCCGGAAGCTCAAGCTCCCCCGTCTCGAGTACCTCTGCCCTGTAAACGTTTTCTTAGTTTAGTGGTGAAACTTCCGAATCACAGACCCAGACGTACCGCTTGCCAAATGCTTCGACTGTAAAGCGAGCGGCCAATTCTTCAAGTCCCTTGAAGTCAAACCCATTTTCCATAACAATTTCTTCGCCGCTCTCACTGATCCATGCCCTGATGGGAGAAATCACCTTTTTGAGCTCAATGAGTCCAGGGGTCGGTGTATGGTCACTGTTGCAAAGACCATCCATGACGAAGGTACCGTCATTCGGCTCATCACCGAAGTCGCCTCCGTACGCATATACAGCTTCTCCTGCTTCGGCAGCCTCGGTGTCGGCCGGTGTCTGGAGCAGGCCGTGGTTGGCCCACTCCCAGACAAAGCCGCCTTGTAGCCTGGCATGATCACGAAAGGCGGCTTGGTAGTCTCCCAGAAGGCCCGGCCCGTTCCCCATCGCGTGGGCGTACTCGCAGAGGATGATGGGCTTCGTGAATGAGCCGTCCGCGGCCACTCCGACTGTTCTGGCCGAGGAAAGCAGCTTTTCCACCGACGGATACATATACGAGTACACGTCGGCGGAGGCCGCCTCCATGTCGCCTTCGTAGTGCACGGGGCGTGACGGGTCTGCGCGTTTTGCGTATTCGTACATGGCCTTGTGATTGCGGCCGTAGAATGCCTCGTTCCCCAAAGACCAGATAATGACACAGGTGAAGTTCTTGTCTCGCTGGATCAGCTGGGTCATTCGATCCAGATAGGCTGCCTGCCATTTCTCGTTATCTGAGGTGAAAGCGGCAGCTTTGGAGAAGGTGAGTTCTTTTCGTCGTCCGTACTCCATCTCTTCGGGTATGTTCAACGGCCTCGCCACAGCCTCATAAAAGCCATGGCATTCAAGGTCCGCCTCGTCCAGGACCCATAGGCCTATCTCGTCGCAGATCTCGTAAAGGGCTGGCTGTGCTGGGTAGTGAGAGCATCGGACCGCGTTGATGTTGTGGCGTTTCATGAGCAACAAGTCACGTCGAAGGAATTCCAGTGGAACCGCCCGGCCGAAGCGCGGATGGTGGTCGTGTCTGTTGACGCCTCGAAGGAGGATGCGCTCTCCATTGACAGTCAAAATACCACGCTTGATCTCAACCTTCCGAAATCCGAACCGGTGAGTAATCCGCTGCGTGCAAACTCCACCAGAAAGGAGCTTGATCTCAATACTATAGAGAGCAGGTGTCTCAGGGGTCCATTTGGATGGATTTCGGACGACGAATTCTTTCGAAAAGGTGGGTTCCTGGCTGGTGAGTGTCGAGCGATCAGAGACGTGGATTGTATCCTGACCGGGAGCTCGAAGAGTGAGCTCCACATCACAGTCGTGTTGGAGCGCGAGATCGAGGCCTACACGCAGTGTCCCGTCCCTGTACGCCTCGTCCAAGTCGGTCTGGATAGAAAAGTCATCGATTCGTGCCTTCTCTGGAAGTGCCAGCAAGTAGACATCACGAAATATCCCTGTCGTATTCGTTAGCGCTCGCAATCATAACAGGTGGTTAACGAGTCTCTCGGCACCGGACAGCCACCATTGATCTTGGTCCTCAATATACGAGCCATCGCACCATTGATAGACACGGACCAAGACCTGATTGGCTCCCTCTCGTTTCACACAAGAGGAAACATCAAACTCGGCAGGATTTCTGCTCCCTTGAGAGTATCCTACTTCCGCGCCGTTGACCCAAAGATGAAAGGCGCTATCAACCCCTTCAAAACGCAGGCGAAGTTGGGTGTCCGATCTCCAACCTTCAGGCACACAGAACGAGCGCATATAACTGCCCGTGGGGTTCTCGGTCGGTACATTGGGTGGACAAACGGGAAAAGGGTAGATGACGTTCGTGTAATGAGGTTTGCCGTAGCCTTGCAACTGCCAATGGCCAGGCACCGCAATGGAGTCAAACTGACAGCCTTGGTTGTTCGCGTCTTGTGTCTCCTCCCAAGACGGCGCGAGGTCTGGAGTTGCAGCGTAGTGGAAGCCCCACAGTCCATTCAAGGATATGGACGTCTCTGGAATGCAAAATGCCCGGGCTGGAAGTTTGTTCCGTTGAAAAACTTGTTCGTTTTCATAGTCCGGCGGATCGGGCTCGCTCCGGGACTTGCACGACACAGTAATAGCTGGGCCGGACTGTGAGAAAGCTTCCAATATCATGGTCGTTAGGTCAGAGAGAAAGGGAGGCTTGCAGAGGAGACGACGGAAAGATGGAACAACGAGCACAGCTCTACATACGAATTGCAGGAACTCTTTCCTTTTCGCTGTTAGGCGGTTATATCTCGTTCACGTCGACCTCTGTTCACGCTTGCACGGATTGCTCGCCCGCATGACGCGCCTCGGGACAGACGGACCGGGCGTAGTGATGACTCGAAGGGAACACCAGGTGGCTCTGAAAACGGACGGCTTACAGCATCGCCATCACCGTCATTTCGAACATCCATATCGGCGGAGAAAAAGTTGGACAGAGACAAAGGCCCTCGTCGCTTGAATGTATGTAGTTGGTCACATTCGAAGCTCTCGGTGCATTTCACGCCGCCAGCGGGTCCAGTGGGTCCCATTCCTCCACCGCATCGCACAATTCGAAACCTTGTCGCGGATAGCGGAGTCCGAAGGAAAATCCCATTCTGCACTCGATATGTGAGAACCGGCCATCTCATCAGTTGCCATGGGGCTCCCACACGACCGTCCGCGCGCCAGTACTAATATGGAACGGTGCGGTCGACCCCGCGGCGTACTTGCGTTCTATCGTCCATTCTATTCCTTCCCAGCTGGGGTAAGGCAAGAGGTGTACAAATTCAAGCTGGCAGCCCATGATCTATGGCTTGAGGGATGTCTTTTTCCTCATCCCGTCTTGTTCTCTCACCCCTTCTTTCTCTACCACCCTTCCTCTGAATACACACAGATAGAAGAGAAAACCCCCAACTGCGACAACGCCAACCTTGCCCAAAGTCATTCTGTGTCCTCTCGTCTGGAAATAAAAGAACCATGGCATTGAATGCGCAAGAGTCGAAGGTGGTCCTGCACCTCCATGACACTTCGAAAGGGACGGCGCACAGTGAATATGTTGAAGACGTCCAGCCCGTCAGCCACGCTATCCAGCTGGCTGAAGACATGGCCAACGCCGAGTACCGCCCCTTCAGCCGTTCTATGCTGCGGCTCTACGGCTGCCTGGCCATTGCCTACCTGTGTGGATGCCTCAACGGGTACGATGGCTCTCTGATGGGCGGTCTCAACGCTATGTCCACGTACCAGAAGTACTTTCACATGTAAGTGTCCATCATCTGAGTGATCGTCCACAACGACGGAGATTTGACTCGAATCTGGGGTATTTAGGAAGACGGCTGGGTCAAGCACTGGCCTGGTCTTTGCCATGTATAATATTGGATCCATACCGGCCGTTTTCTTCTCCGGTCCCGTCAACGATCACTTCGGCCGTCGAGCGGGCATGTTTACTGGCGCCGTCATCATCATCATTGGCACCTGCATCCAGGCTCCCTCGACCAGCCACGCGATGTTCTTGGGGGGCAGATTTGTTCTTGGCTTCGGTGTCAGCTTCTGCTGTGTCAGTGCCCCCTGCTATGTCAGTGAAATGGCTCATCCAGTGTGGCGTGGAACCTTGACTGGCCTGTACAACTGCACTTGGTATGTAAGCTCTATTGTCGGTGTCACTTCTTTTTTCTCTTTTTCTACGTCATCTCTCTGTGTGCCCTGCATCAGAGAATCGGTGCTGAATTCAATATAGGTATATTGGCTCGATTGTCGCCAGCTGGACCATTTATGGATCCTCAAAGATACGCCACAGCTATGGCTTCCGCATCCCTATCTGGTGTCAACTTCTGTCCTCCGTCGTTGTGGCGGCGGGCGTTTTCTTCCTCCCAGAATCCCCTCGGTGGCTCATGGCGCATGACAGACAAGACGAGGCGATCAAAGTCCTGGCGAGGTATCACGGCGAGGGCTCCGAGAACCACCCCGTGGTAAAACTGCAGCTTGGAGAGATGCGCCACCAAATCAGTACCGATGCCTCGGACAAGACATGGTGGGACTATCGGGGCTTGTTCAACACACATTCCGCTCGTCGCCGCCTCATCTGTGTTCTCGGCATGGCTTGCTTCGGTCAGCTGTCGGGCAATTCCATCACCTCCTACTACCTGCCGGTGATGCTCCAGAACGCGGGCATTGCGTCCGAGAACACGCAGCTGATTCTCAACGGCATCTACCCTGTCATCTGCTTCGTCGCCGCCATCGTGGGTGCTAGGCTCCTCGATGTCTGGGGCCGCCGGCCGATGTTGCTGTACAGCACGGTCTTTTGCTCGGTGTGCTTCGCAATCATCACCGGCACATCAAAGCTGGCGACAGAGCGACCAGATGATGCCTCGGCCGCCAACGCCACAATCGCTTTCATTTATGTCTTTGGCATTGTGTTCTCATTTGCTTGGACTCCGCAGCAATCAGCCTACATTGCCGAGACTTTGGACACAACGACTCGTGCGAAGGGCACGGCCCTCGGCAACCTGGCCTCATCGATCTCGAGCACCGTCATCCAGTACTCTTCCGGCCCTGCATTTGCCAACATCAGATATTACTTCTACCTCGTCTTTGTCTTTTGGGACCTCGTTGAGTGGTCGGTTATGTACTTCTTCTTTCCCGAGACCAAAGACCGGACCCTCGAGGAACTGGCCGAAGTCTTCGAGGCTCCAAACCCGGTCAAAAAATCACTGGAGAAGAGGAGTGCAGCAACGGTCTTGAACACTTTAGATGTCAAAGGCCATGCAGTTGTCATGCAGGGAGAGGAGAAAGTGTAGAAGATACCATCCCGAATGTGGTTGAAATGGCGTGAGCTATCCATTGGGAAGCTAAATCTGAAAAAATCCGAAAGTGGCTTTCGGCAGTTCGCCTGCGTGGGAAATCTGTGAGGCAGAGGGATTTCGGGTTGTACCTGGCGATTCTCACTTGTTGGCTGTTTTCTTTTCTTGAATATCCCTTTCATGCTTCCTGATGCTCACCGGATCCAAAGGTGAGCCATACACTTCCTCAGCACTGATGGGATTGCTCAGACAATCAGCCAGAGGAGCCATAGTCCGCGCCAAAGTAAATAGACTGCTCGGATTTCAATGGCCAAGATGACTTTCCATATATCGAGTTCGGTGACATCTTCCCCATGTGACCTTCTCTCATGTTCACACACTATGCTTCTTCATGGCCAATTTGGCAGCCTATGGGTAGGAGATTCCTGTCAGCAAGAGAATTAGCGTGCTCGATTCGCTTCGCATACGAGGCACCAGCTCCCAGGGTCTTCAATTGACAATGTATTAAAATCAGCAGATCATACTCATGTGAACTTGACCTATCTTTCCGTCAAAGAGGTCCCGTGTCCCATACCCGCGCGGACTGGCATTTTAGTTGTTGGCCTCACGGAATGTCACTGATACAATTAAAAGTATTTCAGGGACGTTCTCTTCTTCTGAACCATCTCTTGTGACGAGATCCTGAATGCTACATGGGCATAGCAAGAGGTCCTAGAGTGACTGTCAAGTTGGGTAACAATCCTGAGGATAGTCCCCTCCAGATGCATCAGTGCATCTCACTGCTCGCCTTTAATCAGCCTGTCGGTGACCTCAATCCACCGAATGGCCTGTTTCACACTGGGTGATGGTGGCTCGCCCGGTATGGTGATCCATTTGGATAGAAGGCTCTGAAGATGCGATCCCAGCATGGTGACTTCAGGATATATATATTGTTGCACCCCGGGAATTCGGCATCCCGCCAGTAAAACCAGCATTGCTCCTGCCATGCTGGTGGCAAGTTAGTATGTTCAGATATGAGGAAACATTATTCCACGGCGAGACTCACGACAGCGAACAAATCCAGGTATCCACGAAAACAGTATGTGGAAAGCTTCGCAGATTGAGGATGTGCTCGATACAAGCATCCAGACACTTCTTGCATTTCTCCCAACCTTCCTGATCAACGCGCCCGGACGGATTGAGCATCTGCATTAGGTACGGTCTGTAGATCACGCTGCGACAAGTGAGGTATCTCTGCCTGAGAAAACCAGCCTGCGAATTCGGGGCCGGCTCCTTATTGAGAGTGAAGCTGAATACTGGAGGGAGTAGCCGGCGCCAGTCTTCGAGCTGGTGATCAAGCTCGGTAACCATATGGGGAAAGCGCCGGTCATCCAGACTTGCACCTGTATCTTTGCTATATAGAAGATGGTGGACCCGATTGAGGAGCCGACGCATGGAGAGACAGGCTAGGAAGTACATAGCCGAGTGCTCTTCATCTTCGACGGTAGTGTGCGTATGGAACTGACCTGGCAGAGGGACTGAGGATTCCATGTCCGAGATACCAGAAAGGGGCAGGGCGGACAGTTCGGCGATGTAGTCGCTGTCGCGGGTTCTGAGCGAGATAGACATGACATAGGGGGTTTGGTGGCTCACGAACCTTTCCAGAATGAAGCAGGACCAGAAAATTCGGTGAATACACTCTTGTTCATCTTGAGAAATTCCGGCCGGCCTGTACGCCAGAAGCACTCGGCACTTGGTGGCGGCTGCGTCGATAAAAGACCATGCCTGAAGAGGCCTCTGAGAAAAGGCAAAGTAGAAACTGCAAATATTAGTTCGAGATCGACCACTAAATTGGTAGAATTTACGCGGTGAATAAGAGACAATGCAACGCAGCCCTGCTGACTTCCTGGTGCGGAATATGCATTCTGTTCATTGCACAGTCGAAATACATTTCTCCCATCTTCTTCCTCCGAGGCAGAGAATTCGTATCTCCTTCCAGATCATCCCGTAATGTGGACACTGTGAATTCGCAGGCACAGCTTAGAGCCATGACTAGAAGGGCCAGGCAGGAGTTACAATCGTTGCTCAAGCGGCCCGTAGACAGCTTGTCCTTTAGTTGATCTAGCATGCCTTTTGACATGGTCGGGTACCAGAAGTTGATATTTTGCTCGAACGCCATAGTTATGGCTTCGATCTCGCCGATACTGATGAATGGGAGCACAGGTGAGAGCTCCATACCAGCCGAAGGTGCTCGGCCTTGTTCTAAGTTGAAAATGGATACTCTTTCGGCTTCGCGGAGGAGCGGGTAGCAGTCAAAATGGGGCCATGCCAGGATATTTTCCGTGGTTGAGATGTGCAATGGAGATAGGCTTGCATTTTGAACGCTGTGCAGCCATTTCTGCAATGGGACTTCAACGGTGTCCCGTTGGTTTGTGGGCATAGAATAGGGAGCACTCGCGGAGGGCATGTCACCATTTGGAGATTGGAACCCGGCGCGGTGAGAAGAGTCGATCTGGTTACGTCTGAGATGGTGTCCGCGTCGGGGTGGCGGGGTAGGTGAGACTGACGATGCACGTATCTCTTTGTTTGAGCAACCTCTCCACGCGCAACACAGCTGCCAGGATCAGATCACTTTTACCTTTCCTAAGGGTTCCCGTGTAAGACATGATGACACGATAAGTCCGGAGTGCTTACGAAGGAGCCTCCATTTCATATGTACATTCCCAGTCAGTCGTGCGACAAGTCGCACACGGCGTCTGTCCGTCACACCTGGAAATAACACATCAAGGACCGAATTTTAGATGACGGCAGTTTTCCTCACCGCGTTTTCCGCGAACGACAGCGGTCACACTCTAACATTAGCACGCTTTGCCCTTTCTAAGGCAACAAGGAGCCCTTACAGCGTGTGCGGTTCGTCTTCTCTTGCGTCGAGTCGTCTGTGTCTGCTCTTGATCTCCGGATTGATCAGAGTAGTGGTCTTCAGAGTCGAACTCGGCCATTGTGTCGGAGGTCCGGTGGCATGACACCTGCAATGGGAACGCGAGACGTTCTTTCGACCGGCCGTGGGGGAAGGGAAATTGCAACAAATAGCTCTCTGCTGTTCCAGCTGTTTCCTTCGCGTAGACCTCTTCAATGTGAATATAGTGGGATCACCAGATGAGCAGGCCTGGAAATGGACATTCCCACAAGAGCCTTGATTGGACGTCGACATGCGGTGGGCAGCAGAGGTTCGATCCGGGTTGGAGTGTCGTGAGTGTCTTCGAACACAATGTGAAGACTCAGGGCACGTGTATGGACTAGCTTTGTTTGGGGAGAAAGTTCGCTGCTTTAACCGGGGTCAGACGACGGCACAGATCACGTGTGCTGCAGCCACATTTCCAGAATACGAGTACGTCGTATCGCCAACCTGTCCTGCACTTGGGTGTTGTACAGTTACGAGCAAAGCGCTGCTAGGGCCTCCAGCCTGTGCCTGAAGTGTCCAAATGGAAGATCGTTGGGCGAACTGCAACCAGGCTCCAGAAACTCTTTCTCAGCCTCCTACGTCTTAGGGGTGGATGGAGTGCGCCTTGTCGATCATCCCGGCTCGGCGGCCAACAAGGTTGTGAAGGGAAAGAGAGGTATATAACGAGACAAGAAACCCTTCTTTGCGAGTTGAAAGAAAGAGGGGAACAGAAAACCCTTTCGCAGGAGGACTCCCGTTCTTCCTGAGGTAAATCTACTCTTTGAGACAGGCCCATCTACACACTTCGTTCAAGGTCCTGGGCAAAATGGATTCGAAGCTCGATGTCCCCCACTCTCAACGGCAGGACGAATCCGACGTCTCTGAGGACTATGACGTCCCCCCACCTGCGTATCGCAGGAACTCGGAGTCTTCCACGGAACGCTCTCTGTACGACGAGAAGGACCAGGCGCTGTTCGCAGGTGGTCCAGCGAGCTCGGCCAGCCACGTCCGGGAATACGGATGGTATCACCCTAAGGTCCTGACGCGGGGGCTGGTCATCACGGATGCCGCGGCATCGACGCCCACGAGCAAAGCGCCGCTGTACTACGTCGAGGTGTCCGAGTTCGCGCTCAAGAAGCCCGATGTGATCCTACACGCGCTGCCGCCGACCATGGGCACGACCAACGACCTCGAGCACCTGGCCAACACGGGCGAATCGGCGCCCATGGCCGGGGTCGCGCACTTCCCCAAGTTCTCGCGCCACATCAAGGTCGGTCTGGGCGACCCGTCCTCCGGCACCGAGGCCATGACCTACGTCGAGGTGCGCAACGCCAACCTGGTGACCCACGGCGAGTACCACATGTCGCTGGACGGGCGGTCCTACGCATGGAAGCGCACGCACGCGGCCTCGGCGGGCGTCGAGGGCGGCAGCGCCACTCGCATGATGCACTGGGAGAGCTTCCAGCTCGTCGACATGGGCACCAACGAGGTCGTCGCGGTGTTCTTGGACAACAAGTTCAAGAGCTGGAAGAAGAAGGGCAAGTTGCGCATCTTCAGGGACTTTGAAACAGCCCGGGCAGACCAACCGGAGGAAACCCAGCGGCTCAAATTGCTCATCTTCGTGAGCATTGCGGCGATCCTGGAGAAGGCTCGCCGGAGGGCGAATAGGAGACGCAATAACGGCGGCGGCGGCGGCGGTGGTGGTCCATGAAGGAGGTAGAGACGACTAGATTCAATGGTGTATCGTGAGAGCCCTAGTGTTGATGTGGGAGGGATGTAAAGCATAAACATTCATTCAGGTCGAGATATGCTACGAGAGACAAAGCAGAGCATTAAAGGCATTCGCTCCAGCCTGGTAGATAGGTATACAAACCTGCGCTACAAGAGAGATTCATCGCTAGTATTGCAGCCAGAGTATAGAAACACTACAGTCTAGCCTGTATCCGGAGTTTCCTAGCTGAAAATTTTATGGTCCTGTCTATATTTGTAAGAGGAGAAAGGTAGTGTAGATTCCCCGTCAGTTCAAGAAAGCGTTCAACGTGCCCGCCCTGCCGCTCAACGGCCAGACGATTCAAAGATATTCAGTCCCTGTTCGACGGTAAAAACCTCGTTCATCATGTCATATATCCGCCGCGATCTCTGACGGATATCCTGGGTCGACAGCGTGCCATCCTCACAGACGTAGTAGTCGATTTGTTGCGCGGGCACCCATTCGAAGTAGACGTTGCGCACAGTCACCATTTTATCCCATAGAGGGGAGGAGGACTGCTGCCGTAACATCTCCCAGCTGCTGGTGAGCTCGGTCGTGTCGTTGTCCTCTTCCGGATGATCCTCCGCCGCTCCGGGAGTGGCAATCTTCTCACTTTCGCTGATGCATACCACTGCAGCCTTGCCACTCGTGACTGCTTTGCTGACCAGGGCGGCTGCCAGAGAGCCCGTCTTGTTGCTCACGTCACCCGCTTCTGAAATGCGATCGGCACCGATAACGACGAGATCGATGTCCTTGCTTAGTACGCCGACAGAGGCATCGCTCGCGAGAATTATCCGCAGACGATCGTCAATGGGGGAACCTGTGGTGCCAGCATCACGGCGTCTCTGGGCTTCTTCCGTCAATACCTTGGCAAAATTCGCGCCTTCATTCAAGGGGCGGGATTCGAGGATGTGCAGTTCCATCGACAACGACTCGTCGGCATCGAGGGCATGTAGGACCGCAGCTTTGATAGTCGAAGACAAACTCAGGGTCAGAATTTTGACCCGCCCCTTCTCACCTGCGTGGGCCTGAGCACTGGAGCCGAATTTCTCCTGTAGGAATTTCGAGAACTGGTGACTCACTTGTTTGGATATGTCGCCTCGTTTAGCGACAGAGGCCTCAAGGCTTTGTCTGACTCTGTCGAGGAAGTCTGGTAGTGGAGGGTCGATGTGAGCCTTTGCTTCTTTCAGGGCCATAGCAACGGCATTGGATATCGCCGCCGCCATGCTTGGTCGTCCGTTGAAGGCGAGATGGAATGCCTGGCGTTGAAATCCCTTCCACCACTCATTGGCGTCTCGGGATCGCTGCGTCTGCTGGTCATGTTCGACGATCTTGATCAATGACTTTACCGCCATAGTGGCCAATTCCCTCGCACCGTGTGAATGGTCCAGTCGGAGTTCTTCGAGTCCTTGGAATAAGATGCTGTCGGGGTCGACCCAGACCTGCCCGAGCGTCACCTCCAGTCTGGGCACGCAATCATCCAAGATCTTGCCACTGAGGACGTCGTCGACACGCTGCCACTGGCAGCCTAGGTGCTCAAAGTTCATGTGGAGGCCCAGCTTCTCGACGTCGTTGTCGTAGTCGGCGGTCTCCTTGGTCAGGCGGAACGCAAACGGCCAGACCTTCCAGATGCGCCCCTTGACCTGGCGCTCACCTTCGCCGACCACCACGACTTTCTGATCCGTGAACTCGAACCCGGCACCTCGTCTCCATAGCTCAATCTGCTGGGGGCCGAAGGAAGTCTCTTCTTTCAGTTCGCGCCAGGCGGCATGGAGAGGGGACTTGTCATATGTCTCGACCGACCCGGCAATGGGCGCAAGCTTCCTCCGATACGTGCTGACCTTGTCAGAACGGCGGAATAGAAGGACTCTATAGGGCTTGGTGGCGTATGGTTGATGGGGGAATAGGAGGACCGACACGACTGTGCGCCGCTCAAGGTTTTGTCCGGCTGCGGCGAGTGTTTGAGCCATGCTCGATAGTTGACACAGCCAGGAGGACTCTTAGTTCATTGTTAGGGACAAATTGATGAGGGAGTCCGAATCGATACCAGTCAGGGGGTGTACGTAGGTATGTAAGGGCATCGACACACCTCTAGACTGCAATGGGTTCGTGTCACACCATCGGCGAAATCTCTCAGACTGTGACGTGCGATTCTCCCGCCAACCAGCTGCGACTTGTCCGAAATCATCCGAGTGGAAAGATGCGCCTCGCCAACCCATGCGCTGCATTAGAGACTCCCACCACCAATGGTTTTTAAGGACTACATGCAATGCGAAGGGATAATGTCCGTCTCTTCAAGTCGATGAATCCATCTGTTGTGAATGACTGTATCAACATTGAAGTATTCAAGAGTACCAAGTGCAAAGACTGCCTGCGCGGAGTTCCAGCTGCGGACTTATCATCTGACAACACCCAGCGACACTGACTCTTTCGTGTTAAACGAGTACAGCTTCAGCTTCAACATGCATTCTGTAACAAGAGATTTCGAGTCCATTGGCTCGCCCTTCACTAACGCTGCCCCCAACTCCTCGCCCTTGAGTGATGAGCTAAGAGCCATCGTCGGTGCTAATAGAACCTCCTCCTTAGAACGCAGAACCCCGTCGCGCGACATCGTCAATGAGATCCTTCTCCAACACCCCGTCCCTGGCCCTGCCCTGTGCGAAAGTGGTGGTCGGCCTCCACTTCCTCGAGGTGCGCGGCGTTGATTCTTCCATCATCTTATCGACCTGTTCGAGGGTGAGACCCTTTGTCTCGGGCACCAGGAAGTATGCGTAGACGAACGCAGCCGTGCAAAGGCCGCCCCAGACGAAGAAGACGGAGGATTTGAGATCGCCGTGTTCTTCTCCGACCATGTAGGGCGTGATGACGGCGATGATCTGCCAATATCCTGTTAGCCTTGATGTTCCTAGCAATCTGGGTAGTCCTGTAGGCAAACACATACCGTATTCCACAGCCAATTCGACGCTGTGGACAACGCAACGCCCCGAGAGCGAATCGGCAGAGGAAAAATCTCCCCGATCACGATCCATGCCCCAGGTCCCCATGTGGATGCGAAGAAGAAGATGAAGATCGCAATGAAGGCGATCTGGGCGTTGACGGCAGGCACATTATTCGCGAGACTGAGATCTGCATCGGCCGGGTCCGGGTGCGTGTGGTTGAACCCAACGGTCACACCGACGATGGCGACGAGGAACTGGCAGATCAACATGCCCAGTGCCCCCCAGATCAAGAGCGGACGACGCCCAAACTTCTCAACCGTATAGAATGAAAGCGGTGTGCTACATACATTGACCAAGGTGAAGATGAGTGAAATGAGGAACGTGTTGTCGATCGCTCCTGTGCTCTGCAGGAAAGGGGTCGAGTAGTAGAAGATGAAGTTCACACCAGTCCTGACAGTACACAGTCAGTATCCCAGACATGACTAAACTTTTTCTTCCAGAGGTCATACCATTGTTGCATCATCTGAAGAGAGGTGCCCAAGATGGTTCTCCGCAAGTTCGATTTCTGGGCCCATAAGCCTCCCTTGAAGCAATTCGCCCAGCTGGAAAACCAGCCGCTAGAGGGGATAATAGAGCGCTCATATTCCTCATTGGCGACGATCTCAGCCAGCTCGATTTGCACATAGTCGGAGTCTCGTGGCTGGCCGCGGAGCTTCGATAGCGAGATGGCGGCGTCTTCGAGTCGGCCCTTTTTGACAAAATAGCGCGGCGAGTCAGGTAGGGTAAAGAGGCCACCAGCCAAGATAATGGCCCATGCGAACTGGATGGCGATGGGGATCCTATAAGAGCCGGTGTCCTGGCGGTCCTCGGTTGCGTATACAACAATAGAAGCAAGCATGATGCCGATGGTAATGCAGAATTGATAGCCAGCCACGAGAGCTCCCCGGACTTTTCTGGGGCACTTCCGAAATGTTAGCGCTCAATAGTCGGCGAACAAGCTTACATCCACCGGGGAGACGAGAACTCACGATTTCACTCATGTAGAGGATCACAATCGCACTTTCGAATCCGACTCCAATACCGGCGATGAGACGTCCAGCCACTATGGCAGCCAGGGCATCACCCTCTCCGGTGATCATCTGGATGATGACACCAAACATATAGATCATACAGCCCATGATAACGGTCCACTTTCGACCGATGAAGTCTGCCATGTCTCCACCAATGAGAGCTCCGAAGAAGGTGCCAGCGGATAGGATCGAGACGATGAGTGATTGGTGCGAGGAGCTGAGAGCATCTTCAGTCGGGCCTTCGACTGCCCGGATGAAGATATCTGCTCCAAGTACTCCATTGATGTAACCAGAGTCATAACCGAAGAAGATCCCACCGAATCTGATCTCCGTCAGTGACGAAATACACAATGGCGGAGAGATTCAGAATATTGCCACAACTGGCAAGGCTAGCCGGGAAGACTTACGAAGCAAAGGCGCACATCAAGTACGCCTTCCATGTCACGGGGGCCTCAATGCGGTTGACATCGTCGGTAGTTTTCAGGGAGACGGAGCGGGGGTGTTCAGCCTCCTCGTGCAAGCCTTTGGGATCAGACATGGTCGTTCACTGCGATAACTGCAAGAAGGAGACAACGGAAGCGATGCGAATAAACAAGTATCGAGAGTTCTTGCTGGGACGCGGGGGAAGTGCATATGACTTATATGCATTCCCGGCCAACACCATCGAAACAAGAAACCGAAAGATTCGCATGCGTGATACATCGCGGATTCGCGGAGATCCACAGACAGAGCCAATGACCCCTCAAAGAGCCTGGCCTGGCCTCGCTTTGATTGACCTCCCTGACACTCGTATATCTGGAGGGTGGATGAGTTTCATCTCCATTGATCAGATTGAAACCCAAGAGAAAAGACAGGATCCGTGAGTTACAATTCGCATCATTGATTGTAACCCCATCAAAAGCCACTGCAACATCACGGGCATGGCGCGAGTCTTGAACTGGGACTTGTCGTCGCGGCATCAGGCTTGTCGTTGACCGATCGACTCTTGGATTCGTTCTTGGGATGCTGTTCCAAGACCAGGACAAGACTGGCAACCCCACAGCTTGCTCCAGCATTCCGCACACCGCACCAACGAAGGAGGGTGCGCTCCTGGAAGGAGTCCATAGCCTTTGGAGCGTCTAATACTTTCTGGGAAAGGAATTTAGTTGTCCCGAAGAATGTTCTCGACATCGAAATAGGACAGAGACAGGACGACGGCGTTCAGCTGGTTTGTGTTGGCGGAGGAATGCTCCGCCCCGTTCACCGCCTGCCCAGACAATGATGCTGCTTGGCATTCGGAGCCAAGGCGGAGTGGCAGATGCAAGTTGCGGGGTATGCTCAAGCAAGGGATGTTCGAGCGCCCATACGATCATGCCGAGAAACATCTTGTGACGTGAGGATGGAACCTCTGATCTTGCTCCGCAGCTAGGTGTGTCGGGGTGGCCGCGCTGGCCAGGAATGTGAATGCGCGTGGGGCGTATGCGAGTAGTTTCAATTGTCAACCATCAATGTAGTCGATCATTAGCTGCCGGCATCATTAAATTAATGTGCCCAATCCTCTTGTAAGATATCTGCCAGGCGTCTCATCGTCCCATTCCTAGTTGTCTTCCAAAATGCCATGATCTTGTTCATCAAGAAGTCTCGGGCCTGTGCACCTTCAATGCAGACCCCCAAGCAATAGAACGGCCAGGCATAGTATTCTGCGAAATAATCCACGGATGGTTCGACGAAGCGGACAAGAACCATCAGCTCTGAGAACAAACTCGACAGGTGTGTTGAGAGACGTTGGCCTCTCATTCCAGACGAATATGCTATCATATGCCTCAGGAGAAGCTTCGCAGCAAAGGTATAGAGTTTTGGACCAAAGAAGGACTGGCTGGCATTCTGCGAATCAGTGAGTAAAGACAAGGCCAGACATCCATTGACGGCATCGTCGGAGCCGACAACGTGCAGAGTGTTTGGGATGGGAATGTTGTCATCACTCCACCGCCTGAGATCCTGTTCCAGACGATGGCATTGGCGCACGTCGAAGCTTTGGCAGCGAAATTGCGAATAGATCAGTGCCACTTGTCGCACGAACGAGAACAACATCGGGGGTGCGCCGAGGACTGGAGAATAGGCATAGTCCATTGTGTTTTCCAACCAGAGTTGTTCCAGGATAAGTTGGGCATTCATAAAGGCTTCATCAACCAGAGTAGATGAGGTCGGAGAGGGATGCTGAAAGGGGATGCTCGTGGCCACATGGAATATGAAAGACTCCAAGGTAAGGATGCGTGTGGTAGTCCAGGCAGCTGGCATGCTCCTCGATGCTTCCATTCGCTTCCAGCAGGACTTGAGCAGCGCGGCAGCACCATACAGATGAGTAGATACTCCTTCGGAGTGGTATAGACGAGTCCTCTGCAAGAAAATTAGTCATCGCGAGGAAATTGTTGCATTGAATCAGTACTCACCTCATAGATGCACAGGATGAGAACAGTCCGCAGGGCGATAATCTCTGCAAGTGGAGAATCGTCCCGGGCGAGGTAGGCTCGCATCCCTCCCACAGCGTTGATGTAGTGTGTTTCAGCCATTCTGCGATGGAAGGGGTCGTCTCTCTTAATCTCGGCGGCAGAGCAAGCCAACAGAGCATCCATGAAGAATGGTATGTTGTTTGCGACTTGAAGACTGCCACTTGTGAAGTCGTCGATGTATTGGCGGTCGGTCGCAGGTCGAACAAGCTGCGGGACAAACACCATCCGCATGTAATCGAACAGAGGAGGACTATGTATTTTGGTGTTTGACGAGAAGGCAGTGAGTTGAGGAGACACTATCAGAGGAAGCTCATCGTTGTCGTTGTTGTCCACACCGCGGATAACAGATCCCGGCGAGAGTGAAGCTGAAGAGGGTGAGAAGTAGGTGTATACCTGCTCGTCTGCATCGCCAATGGCTTGGAGTTCAGCGTTATTGTTATCAACGGACTCAGTGGCAAGGCTAGGTGATGGTGAGGCATCCTGTCCTCTCGCACTCGGGCTTGGCTCGTTGGACCGTGAATTTGGTTTCGCAGGCCAGATGCAGTCAATCTTTCTTTTAGCACAGTTTTGGCAGACGCCAGGATGTTCGTCGCACTTTTTCTTTCTCTGGCGACCTGCATCCTAGCTATCAGCCGGTCATTCTTCACGACCTCGGCTTGACGGACGACCATGCGCCAGAAAAACATCAAACTCACATGTCAGACAGCCAGTTTTAGTACGCAAATGTGCGGGCCTCCGCCGCGGCTTGCGATAGTTCTTGACCCCCTCCGCCGGCTCACCCATGGTCGAGTTGGGTCCCTATGTTCATGAGAAGAGGTGGATTCTCACAAGACTTGAAAGAGCTGCCGTTTCTGAGATCAACTTCGGCTAGCTGGGGGCCATGGACGTCCAATGCGGAGGATGCCGGCACCTCCAAAGGAAGCGGGCTATCCTTGCCGACCTGGTGTTAGCGAGATTCAGCGCCTTACAGGGGCAAGAGGAGGTAATTCTGACCAGTTGCAACACGTTCCGCGATCTTCGGTCTTTCTCTCCAGCCCTTATCTCAGGTGGCGGACCAGACTTTGGCAGGCCATACACTAGAACAAAGACGATTTCCTGGATTCGTCGAGCCTTGGATACGCCTTTCCTTGTTCAGGTTTACTTCGCATATGGACCATGGGGGGGGAACACCCGTGCTCGTCGACAACAGCCTGCGATCACCAACATGGCTGTTCGTTATCTGAGTCTGCGGCAGGGAGGGGGTTTGGCGAGCCCTTGCTGGGATTATAAAAATGCTAGATTACCTTGGAAGAGGGAGGGACACAGATTGTCTACCCCCGTATTCACATTCAATACTCTTTCGGGACAATGTCGTTGACTCGCCGCTCTGTCGATATGCCCTGGCCTCCAGGCACAGTTCGCATTGAAGGTATGATGATGTCTCAACCTCCTGTCGCTGGGTATATGCTTGCGAGTACTCATCCCATGTATAGATCTTCATAGCAAGAACGCCGATATTATCCTACAACCCCAGCCCACAACCGACCCAAACGATCCACTGGTAAGTCATATCCAAATGTGTTGATTGAGAGAGCAAGGCTGAGTGAGAATAGAACTGGCCGTCATGGAGAAAATATCTCAACTTCATCCTCGTGAACTTCTATGTGCTTCTAGTGTTCGCATTGTATGTGTCCTCCCACAATACCTCTCGCAAGTAACTACTTACGCATTTCCTCACAGGATAAATATGGTGACGGTCACTTGGGCCTCCATGAACCTGGAGCTAGGCTTCAGCTACGACATCCTCAATGACAGTTACGCAGCTGGCTGCGGATCCCTCTGCATAGGAGGTATCTTCCTCCTACCATTCGCCCTGAAATATGGCAGGCGCCCTGTCTACATCCTCAGTCTGGCTGTTCAATGCGGAATAGCTGTCTGGTCTGCCAGGGTACAAAATGTGGCGGATCTCATGATGGTAAACATACTTGGATGCTTTGTGGGAGCTCTCTGCGAAGTCATGATGCAAATGACCGTGGCAGACGTCTTCTTCGTCCATCAGCGTGGTTTAATGAACAGCATTTATATATGGGTTCTCACCATCGGGTCCTCTCTAGCTCCGCTCGCTGCTGGATACGTCACTGCCTCTCAGGGCTGGCGTTGGGTCTGGTGGTGGACTGCCATTTTGATTGGAGTGTTTGTGGTTCTCATGTTCTTCCTCTACGAGGAGACGAAATACGAGTGCAAGACCCTCGACGGCTTTCCAACTACCAATCGCCCTTCCCAGGATGATTTCACGGGATCAGTCAACCAGGCCTTGGAGGAAAAGTCGCCCCCCTCCAAGGATACCGAGGCGAATACCGTCGAGGTCTCGCGTCGGGAGTCCCAACTCACCAGAGTCGAGATTGATCCTACAATCCCGGTCAAGCCATACTGGAAAAAACTGGCGCTCTGGTCTTCCTCGCCGAGATCGATTCGATTCCTAGTCAGACACAGTTACCAGCCGTTCCTCATCCTCTGGCACATCCGGGCGGTGCTGTACATGTCGCTGCTCAACGGAGCCATGACGGCCGCAGCAATCATGCCCATCACGGTGTATTCCGTCTACATGACGCTGCCGCCGTACAATTTCGAGCCGCAGCAGATCGGACTCTTGGGGCTGCCAGCGTTCATTGGCACCCTGATTGCCGCCCTCATATGCGGACCGCTCAGCGACTGGATGATACTGCGGATGGCCAGGAGCAACGGCGGGATCTACGAGCCTGAGATGCGGCTGTGGCTGATCCTGGCCTTTACACCCTTCGTGGCCGCGGGCTTGCTGATGTTTGGGATCGGCCTCGACAGGGGTCTGCCGTGGCCTTTCGTTGCCGTTGGGCTTGGGGTGGGCTCGTTCGGGATGACTCCGGCGATGAGTCTCTCTCTAACCTACTTGACCGACGCATACACCGAGGTGAGTGGGCAAACCTCCTTTCATCACCCTAGACAAGGAGTAATACTGACTTTACCCTCGCGCAGATCATCTCAGACTCGCTTGTGGCCGTGACCTTTGTGAAGAACCTCTTTCCCACCATCCTGGTCTTTGCATTGACGCCATGGATCACAGCGGTGGGGCTGGGGAATGTCTTCATCACCGCCGCGGTGATATTCGTCTTCATCCTGTTAGGCAACATCATCTTCATCCGTTTTGGCAAGCGCTTCCGAATGCGCTCGGCGGAGAAATACCGTCTTTACGCTGGCCACTCTTTGGAAGCAGCTTAGGTCGTCTTTGGGGTTTGACACAATATGATGAGGTAGCTATTCTTGACGATGGGTACGACCATGGATCTCAGTATCAACTTTTGTGATCAATTAGGTATCCGAGAATAAAAAGTTCCAGTATTCTAGCGACGTCCTTTCCACCCCAATTTGCCTAGTGATCGGAATAGCCGCTTAAATTTTCTACATTTGTCTTGCATTGATGCAAGTTCGCTTTTGTTTCCTTACGCATTGATGTCGTGAACCCCTCCGACTTCCGGCCTGGCCTTCGCGGGAGCCACATGACACAGATAAGAGTTCATCCGTCTTCGGAGCGAAGTCACGAAGCAGCGAGCTGAGAGGCAAAAACAAAAAGAAAAGCCACATACTGGGCCTGCGAGATACTGCCATCCCCCTACCTACCTCGCTTCTTTGAGAATTCCGCGGTTTTCTCTTCGTATCGCCTTCGAAAAGTATGATTGAAGTCTGATCAACCGGTGGCGCGACCATCTCGGAGCCAATAGCGTCACTTTGCGCGCCTGGGAAACCTCAGGGTTCAGAGGGGCGTTGCTCTGCAGGGCCGTAACACTCTCTCGCCTTTCTCCGCAATCCATCTATCTATCCAGCCATCCTCGGTCTGTGTCACCACGCGCCTCCAGGCCCGAAACGACGGGCGGAGGAATATACTTCTGGTGATCTCAGAAGAGGGGGGGGGGGTTTCTGGACCGGAACTGCAGTCGCGGCCGCTCATCTACGCGTGCTGCGGAAAGGAGCGCCATATATAAGAGTCGCGAACTTGGCTACGATGAAAATCCGAAAGGGGGAAAACAGGAGGATGAGATCGTCCCTTTCGCCGACGAGAAGAGGACTGGCTGTATTAGCACTATCATAGATTTCCTTCCCCTTGCTCCCGATTTTCTGACTCTGAAGAACAATGCCGCGCACGATCATCCGGAATGCTCGACTCTTCACGAGCACCGACGACTCGGAAAATCTCGTCCCGGGGTGTCTAGTGTTTCAGGACGGGGTGATTGAATACGTCGGCCCAGAGGAGGAGGATGAGGGATCAAAGGCGCTCTCGCAGGCCCTGGGCTCCGATGGAAGCAGTGCCACAGAGATCATCGACGCCGCCAACCGCGTGGTGACGCCGGGCTTCATCGACGCGCACGTCCACATGCTGCACTTCGGGCTGTCGCTGGGCAAGCTGGACATCATGGCGTGCACGACCCTCGAGCAGATCCGGGCGAAGATCCACACGTTCGCGGCCTCGCACCCGTCGGCGCCGCGGATCCTGTGCAAGGGCTGGATCCAGGCGTCGACGGGCGGCCACGCGCTGGCGGGCATGCTGGACGACCTCGACCCGCGCCCGATCTACGTCGAGGCCCTGGATCTGCACTCGGTGTGGTGCAGCTCGGCCGCACTGACGGAGCTGGGCGTCGACGCGGCGACGAAGGATCCTCCGGGCGGGACGATCCACCGGGACGCGCAGGGGCGGCCGTCGGGATTGTTGGACGAAGGCGCCCTGCCGTCGCTGGTCTGGCCGTTCCTCTCGAAAACGCTGACCGCGGAGCAGAAGCAGGCGGCCCTGCACGAGGCGGTCTCTGCCTACACGCAGGCAGGGTACACCGGGGTGATCGACATGGCGATGGACGAGGACGAGTGGGACGCGCTGGAGACATACCGCGCGCGCAACGGGCTGCCGCTGCACGTGGCGGCGCACTGGCTGATCCCGTACAGCGACTCGGAGCGAGAGATCCAAGCGTCCCTCGACAGGGCGATCGCGATGCACGGGAAATTTCCCCCGTCGGCGTCCCCGTCCTTCTGCGTCGTCGGGATCAAGCTGATCGGCGACGGGGTCGTGGACAGCTGCACGGCGGCGCTGAGCCAGCCGTACGGCGCGAGGCGGGACCCCGTCGAGCCCATCTGGCCGGCGGCGATGATGGCGCGCGTCATCGACCGGGCGGACGCCGCGGGGCTGCAGTGCGCGGTGCACGCGATCGGGGACCGGACCATCACGCAGACCATCGACGCCTTCGCGCGCCTCAACGACCGGCACCGGCCGCTGTCCTCACACCGCCCGCGGCACCGCATCGAGCACCTCGAGCTGGCCTCGGAGCGCGACGCCAAACGCCTGGGCGACCTGGGCATCACGGCGTCCGTGCAGCCCGTGCACTCGGACCCGGCGCTGTTCAAGGCCTGGCCCGCGCTGCTGGGCACGCACCGGTGCCGGCGCGCGTTCCCGTACCGCGAGTTCCTCGAGGCCGGCGCCCCCTTGGCCTTCGGCACCGACGCCCCCACCGCCGCGCACCTCCCGCTGCCGAACCTCTACAACGCCACCACGCGCCGGTCGGCCATCGAGCCCGCCTCGCTGGACAGGACGACCCCACAGTTCGCCGTCTCGCTGGCCGCGGCGCTGAAGGCCGCCACGGCGGGAGCGGCGTACTCGCGTCACGCGGAGCGGTGGATGGGCAGTCTGCAAAAGGGCAAGAGCGCCGACTTTGTCATGCTTGACACGGACTGGACGCCCGAGGGCCTGCTGGCCGCGAGGGTGCGGCAGACCTGGTTTCAGGGCCGGAAGGAATTTTGATATTGTATAAGATTGGAACACTTGGAAGACACATGTCTGAGAAACATTGCTGCCAGTTCGGGAACAGCGTAGGAATTCCCCAAGAAATTATTCGATAAGCTTGGTGGCATATTTGAGGGAGTCGAGAGGCATGAAACTGTGTCAAAACACTTCGTTGCATAGTATTAATACATAGGAGCTACCGGATGTGAAAACCCTTCCCTTCTTTTTTGCATTTGTTCCCGTGGCACTGAAAGTGGGTTGAATGACACCGCCTGCCTTGTGTTCTTCGTACCTCGCAGTCAATAAATGTTTCCCTCTGCTCACAGCCAGAACTCTTAGCGAGAGACCACAGGCAACTGCTCACAATTCCGCCTTGGGCTGGGTAGATGCCGAAGTAGTGGTCGAGGTGGATGTTGGTGCAGCACGTTGCACAACCCCGAATCTGGTGTTACCGACATCGAAGACACTATCAACCGTCAGCTCGACTCAAGCAGCTCACTAAACCCCTTAACTCACGCATAGACATTCTGCAAGAAGGTATCCCCGAAGATGTCAAAGTTCTGGTCGCCGCGAGATTGGATCCCGCCGTAAACCATGTTGCCATCAGAGCCACCAGCAAAGGCAAGGTGTTGCTTCTCAATGGTGATCGGAGTATCGCCAACCATGAACGTGACGGTGGGGAGATCACTTTCAGCAGTGTTCGCCGGGTACACCCAACCTTGCTGGCTGCTGTCCTGTTGGGCACCGGGAATGGCACTGTAGATTGCTTGACAGACCTCGTCGGACGTGAGCAGCAGAGTAGTGCCTGTGTCAGCAATCGCCTTGTTCCCAGAGAGTTGAATGGTCTTGCCATTGACTTGGGCAGAGGTCGAGTCGAACATCCAGAAACCCTGAGAATTGTCGACAGGGGTGTATCCAATGCTGGAACCGGACGGGACGACCGATTGATCAATCTGGCCGAAAGTGTCTGTGTTCACGTCAGAGACTTGTCAAACCAAGGAAAGTGGTCAGAGATTACAGAATGACTCCTCATTCGCATCTTTGATGGAACCGAGATAGCAGGTGAACAATTCAGCATTCTGAGGGATGTCATCTTGGGCAATCATGTTTGCAACGGGTGTCTGGACAGCGGAGGGCTTGACGGTGTTGATCGAGCCGAAAGCGAGGCCCAGAAGACCGTCCGAGGAAGCATCCTGAGTGAACTGAGAGGATAGCTTGGTGGCCAGCTCAATGGCTTGGTTCTTGACTGTGATGTTGCCAATCTCAATGTTGTCGGTCCCGACACTGCCAGATGCAGATGACTGATCACCGTACTGAATTTGCCAGGTCGAGCCCTGGGAAGTCTGGAAGGTTGATGACTTGGAAGGGTCGAAGATGGTATGTCCCTTGCCTGCGGACAGAGTGCTTTGTGGCAGTTCAGTCGACCAGCACCAGAGGTCGGAAGATCCTGAGTCGAAGTCCTGGGTGGTGGTTAGTGATGTACTTGGATCTTTTTCAGGGCGCTGACCAAGTTCAGCGTCTGAGCTGGGGTGCCAATCTTGACGGGACAGGTGTAAAGGGAATCATTCTGTTGGTCACTCGCAGTGCTGGCAACCCGGTCAGTATATGGCAGTACTACCACAGACGCCAGACGCCGCACTTACACTTCACCCTGAGAGCCGTCGGCGTTCTGTTTGACGAGCAGTTTCTTGCCTTTGGCGGCGGAGTAAGGGCCCTGGATGGTGGGAGAGATGCGGTACTTGTTGAGCAGGTAGACGTATGACTTGAGACCATTGCGTTTGTAGTGAGGGTTGCGACGGATGGGCACGCGTATGAGAGAAGCCATGTTGGGCAATGGGCAGTGTGTGGGTTAGCAGAAGCGGTGAACAGAGATGGAAGATGTGCAGGAGAGAAGAGTGTCGAGGAGAGAGTGAGAGATGAGGTGAAGTACTTGTAGTCAGTTGGCTGTCTCTGTAGAGGATGACGCGTTACCGTGACAGAGGGAGTCAAACAGGGAAACCCAGCATTATGTTCAATGTCTCAACCGACCAAGATGTTTCTGTTTGGTCTGCGAATGTCTTCGTCGAGGCGAGGGACCAGCAGCCCATGATTGAGCCATTCAGGTCAAGAGGTCAAGCTGCAGTCAGGCAGCTGCTGGTTTGCCGTGTTTCAAGAGGGTCACATATCGGCCTTGTACAGCCTCACTCGCACTCCATTACCTTGTTTCCATCCACCAGGACCCGTGCCGCTCTACACGCCATTGGCGCCTGTCCCTGCTCGCGGATATATACATGCTATCCCCCGCTGCGACATCTCCATCCGCTGTGGTATAGACGGTGCCACTTGTACCAACCTGAGAAGCCCAACCCGATTGCGGGGCGTCGATCAGCGTCGATCACACCCGTCGTCATTGTCTTCGTCATTGCTTGACATAAACCAAGCTTTTGCACCAGTCGCCGGACGCCCGCCTTGTATCCCCTTGCGATGCCTCCTCCCCCTCGTCGAAATGCCTCTATTGCATTATCTGTTATCTACAGAAGTGGGTGGGCGACGGTCACAAGTGTACAGGGAGAATGAGCGCGGTTGGGTGTGGCCTTGGTGCTGCCAACTCTACCCAGAGAGCATCCGTCAAGCAAGTCGCAAGCGACTGAAAAGGTGGCCAGCTTCAAACACGAATTACATCATACTGGGGTCTCCCACGGTGTCGGCACTGCTGAGATTCGTCGAGACTTGGTGGCATGAAATGGGCATGTTAGGGCTTGAACAAGGACATCCCGGTCAAGGCATCGAGGCTATACACAAAAAAGATCGACCATCCCCTGTCTTGTGCTCGCTCAGGTACAGCCCACAACTCCTCTACTGGGGAATCAAGGTAGAACATTCGGCGCAGATCCCTCCTCCGAGCAAGCCGATGCCTGTCCGTTTACTAGATTCTTCCACACCGCCTCTCGGCCTCGTGTTGGGGTAGAAATTGTGGAGTTGAATCTCTTCTCGGCTGGGTAGATTTTAACCAACCAGGCTGCAACAGATGCTCTTTGCGACAGTCCAGATAAAGGCACGCTTCTGAACTCTCCAGCATCGGACCATATATCGGTCGACGGATATAGTGGTTAGGGGACACCACGACTTTCTACCCCAACGACTTGAGCAGCGAATCTCAATGAGATGACAAATTGACAATGACGGCTCCTCGACGACATTGCAAGCTCAAACGAGTGCGTAGCCTCGATATGTAGAAGGGAGAGCATATAATATCTGCACGGTAGGTGCCGTTCTGCCTCTGCTTGACTGCAAGTCCTCTTGAGCGCGAGAATATACCTTCGTCAATTGCAGCATCATTGGCTTTGTGCCTTACTGCCATTCTCCCTCACCATGTCTCCCAAGGAGCAGACGGTATTCCGCTACACGTCAGGCAAAGGCTTTGACGGACTGCAAGCATTCAAAGAGCCTGTCCCCGCCATCGGCGACTATGAAGTCCTCGTCAAGATTCACAGTGTTGCCATCAACTACCGTGACATTGCCATCGCCCGTGGGACGTACCCTCTTGCGGTCAAGGATCAGGTCGTGCCGTGCACCGACATGGCGGGCGAGGTTCTCCAGGTCAGCAAGCAGGTTGACAACATCTCAGTTGGTGACACTGTGGTTGCGGCCATTAGCTCGTCGACCTTGTACGGTCCAGTAAAAGACCAGGAACACACCCTCGGAGGTACCATAGACGGCGTGCTCCGAGAATACATCGTCCTGCCAGTCCATCAGGTCATTAAGCTGCCCAAATCGCCCCATACCTTAACCCAGTGGTCTGCCGTCGTGGCGACGGGGTCAACAGTGTGGAATTGTTTTTATGGCGGCTTGCCCTTGAAACCTGGTCAGACAGTCCTCATTCAAGGTATGCTATTGGGAACACACATGAAGACAGCAGCTCATGATTGCAGGGACCGGGGGAGTAGCATTGACTGCTCTCATTTTTGCCAGAGCCGCGGGTGCCACCACAATCATCACGTCGTCTAGTGATGAGAAGCTGGCAAATGTCAAAGCCAAATACGGTGCCGACCACACAATCAACTACAACACTCACCCTAATTGGGCGGCCGAAGTGCAGCGGATCACCAATGGCGCGGGAGTCGACCATGTCATCGAGAATGGCGGGATTGGAACAATTCAACAGAGTATCGAGTGCGTTGCGATGGGTGGTACCATCTCCTTGGTCGGGTTTCTCAAAGGTATACCACAGGACCAGGTCCCTGATGTGACCTTACTGGCAATATGCAAGGGGGTCCTGCTCCGTGGCATTCTGGCTGGATCCAAACAGCAACTCGAGGAAGCTGTGCAATTCGTTGGTAGCCGGAATTTGACGGTGCCAGTGGACAAGACCTTCGCATTCAATCGGGATGACATCGTCGCAGCTTTGCAATATGTGGCATCAGGTCAACACGTTGGCAAAGTGTGCATACACCTGAACTAAGCAGCCTCTGCCAGAAGTTGAAGGCCAGAGCCAATGAGCGTGTCGATCTCAAGAACATGGACGCCTTGAAATATTTGGGCCCAGAGTCTTAATGTTGTCGTTGCCATGCGCTGATAGCGCGATGAGTCGTCCTCGTGAATATCCAGAGTTTCCGCCAGAGACGTCTCTTTGATGATTCCACTGACGATGTCGAGGAGCTCGCGCTCCGTCCTGCGCAATTTGTCCGGGCCACGGGATCCAGTAATCGTGGCGACCATGGCAAGCCAATCCCTCAACAGTAAGGCACATTCGAGGCTGCTCAGCGAATTTTCGATACTTCTAAATGGTAGCCGAGTATGGGTAACCAGTTCAATGCCCAAACGCACTGGTATACTCAAAGCGTGTGCGGCATGAAGAACAGCCCGATCCAGTAGAGATGACCTTTGCAAGCAGCTTCTTTCAACCACAATGTCATTGATTTCTCTGAACAACAGGGCTCTGCACGGGGCCAGATTAGAGCTTAATCGGATATAGGCCAGCCGAAGCAGAGCCGTTGCATTCAGTCCCAGTGGCCCTTTCTCTGACAGAGGATCAAGGGTGGACTCCTGGGTGAGCTCCCAGCACAATTGCCACGTCCTCAAAGCGGTCTCAAAGGATTTCGCTTTATCCGGCCGGAGAGGTCGTCCAATCGCGTCATCATCATCGGCGACGCTCATTTGTTGAAGCAAACCGTGAATGAGCACATAGTTAGCGAACGAAGACACTGGAGATACGTTACCATTAAAAAGCGAGCGGAGCGCTTGTTGAAAAAGACACTGGCTATAAACATTGCTCCGATGCCACTCTTCTGAACTGGCGGCTTTCCATGGCTCCGCGCAGCTGGGCAGGAAGACGCATATATCACGGTTCGAGAGCTGGGGAGGGATGCCATAGGCGATATTGTGTAGACTGAGAAGCACATAAGCCGAGAGCAGGGTCCTCCTGCGCTCTTCAGCAGCCACCCACTCACACCAGGCCCGTTCCGTCTCAGCGACATCCATCCGCCGACCACTCACGCGCGTCAATTCTTGTGTTTCTGAGATCCCGTGCTGTTTTGCAAGCATACCCAATCGTCCTCCAAGCGATATTGCGTCTGGTAAGATGTCCTTTCCAGCCCATGACGCATAAGCAACGAGTAGGATAAGCGTTTGGATCTTCCCAAATCCATTCCTTCTCTGAAGAATGGAATGGCCTTGCTGTGCCGGCATGCCAGTGCACGATTCAGAGTCTTGTCGACGTAGATTCTCCGAAAGTATCGCTTTCGCCATATCGTACAAGCGATAGGAACAAGAGGTTTCAAACCGGTTCAACGCTCCCAGAGAGGCAGCAGCTAACAGTAGTTCGATGTCCGTCTTTGCGACTGAGAAGGTCGCGGAGTGAAGGAAAGGGAGATTGTCTTGAGCACAGCGGAAGTACGACTCCAGGTTGCGACTCAAGGCATTTCGTGATGGGAGTTGCCAATGATGCGGTAAAACTGCCGAGAAGGATTCAACTTCGAGACAGAAACCTTCGTAGGCGGATTCGGAAAAAGACCAAGGTAGCATACTTCTATAATCCGTGAAGGCTCCGCTATGATCCTCATCGGTATTCAGTAGGCGTTCTGCGCTGTCTAATTCCGGTAGACGGGAGCTGAAACGAGGGAAATCATTGGAGCTCGGGGAGCGAGGATACATAAGAGGAAGATTCGTGTCAAAATCGAACAGGGTTGGTGGGAGCATGTCTTGCGTGAGGAACTGGGGATCGAAAAGAAAGCCTGGGTCGTCCTGCCTTGTCTCATCCGTGTTCAGCGCGCTGGGTTCCTCGTGATCCTCGTCCTCCTCGACTGGCGGTACATCGCTGAGTTGGGCATGTGATAGTCTGAGATGACGCGAGAGCAGGTCTCTGCAACAGGGGTTATCCGCATGCCCTCAATTGTGTGAGTAGATGTTGACTCACTTTCTCGTGAAGGCCTGGCCGCATTGGCAAGCGAAGGGTTTCTCACGCGTATCTACCCATGTCAGTATTGAACTGGTTCTCGCACATGGCATTCCTACGCGTGCGTTCATGCCGCACCAAATGTTCGCGCCGATGGAACTGCTTCCCACAGTGGCTGCAGGGCTGCACCACATTCCGTGGCCTACCTCGAGGCATCCGGCCGGCGGTGTTTTGGTGGACGAGGATTTGTAAGAAGAGGACGAAAACCATGGCAAGGCTTGGGTTCGGGTGAAGGTCAATAGGGCGGAGTATATTCGCTTGCTTGGCTGTTGTCTACAGCTGCCATGGACGCTGCAGACAGCACCACTCCAACTTAGTGCCCAGCCAGCCCAAGAACATCCATGTCACGACTGAAGTTGAATACGGAGTCCTCGAGCGTTGGCCTATGGAGGATGGCATTCTTTGTGTGCGCTGGCAAATCTGCCACAGTGCCCGCTCTTTGATCGCCGAGACATTTTCAATAGAGAACTTGTCCACGACCAGGATTCACCTCATAATCTGCCTCAAAGTCTGCATGTGCTTGGTCTCTATACAAAAAAAATAGGAGAAACCACTCTGAACAAAAACAATCGACAGCTAGGATTCGCACCTGGTCACCCACGGTACTACTAGCTAGCCGGCATCAGGCTTAAGAACGGCTGAGCGAACGGGAAGCCCTGTTTTCCTGATCCTATGGTCGATTGCGGGAGAATATTCTCCGATGCTGGTCATATATCCTCTATTTCTCTTTCTCACTCTAACAAGAAGTATTCGACTCCTTTGAACCGCATTTCTAGAGTACCTTTGGGGGAAAGAGTTTTTCAGCCACACGACATCGAGGCAGGGGTCTCAAGTATGGACACCATATAGAGTGGCACGACGGTATCAATAGCAATATTTTGTTTTGGCTCCTGTCTAGTTGTAGAAGAGCATAGTGGCTGAGATTGCGCAGAGCACCTCGGCATCGTGTAGAAATAAGTGGTGGCAAGGCTGAAATCCCTGCACCACGTGAGGACCCCAGGCTGTTCGCGAGGCTGCAGCTGACGCCATGCATATCATGATATCAATGGCCCGTGATCTAAATCTGGTCAACCGGTTTTCGGCTGTGGGTTGGGCCGACCATCTCGATACTTTCCCGATGCAACAACAACGCTCTTCTCCCGCATGCTTCTCCCCTCCAAGGTCCTCCATTCTAGAAACTCGGATTCTTCTATAACTAGGTGCTGTTGTCGCGACTACAACAGGCTGAACTGCTTCTCACTCCAATGATTTGAAATCATCACCTCCCTCCCGCATGAGCGGGGAGACACCTGGACACCATGGTCTCGGTTGAATCAACTGCAGCACAGGCAGCCTCTGCAGTCGCTCATGGGCCCATCACCTCTGCCTCACCTGCGCTACTGAATTTGACCAACCTCAGAACCGCGGCGGCGAATGTGACATCCTCCTTTTCCCTTCCACTCTCCAAGCACCCGATATTCCGCTTCCCGCTCCGACTTGCTTCGCGGATCGATCGAGCCCTTCTCAACATATGGAACCAATTTATTTTGGAAGGACTCGGTATTAGTAGTCTGACAAGAGCTGGGACGGTGACAGGCGCAGGCACGGCTGGAGCCCAAGCGATGGCAGACGCTGCAGTCCAACCGGGTGTGGCCCAGGCGGTTGGAGATGCAGCCGCAGAGAGTTGGTCGACCTTCTTTGCAGAGGTATTCCAAGCAACAGGCTTCAAGTCTTATTGGGGCATGTTGCACTATCTCACTTCAAGATGGGCCTTCATATGTTTTGTGGTGGTAAGAGCCACTGCGTCGGAAACGACAGAGATATCTGCTGACCTGCGCAGGCTCTGATTCTAAATCGCATCAGTGTTTATGGGGCCTCGAGGCAAAGAATACAGCTGACGTGGACGAGGAGATTGGCTTTACGGATCGTGCCCATTCTGTTGTTCATAACTCAGATTCATCATCTCCTGCAGGCCATTCGGTGCCAAACGTCGCCAGACTTCTCGCTTTATCGGCACGGCGATAACAACAAATACAGCCTCTTAGATTGGGCGACGGACGGTGGCTCGCTGCACACCCTCGCATCCACGCTGCTCTTCCAATCGACAGACGCCCAGGCATGCGCCGCAGTGGGAATGAGCCGACCAAGTCCCGACGTTCGAGCACCTTTTGGTTCTTTCTCCCTTCTTTGGCCGTCCTTCTTGCGGTTGAGCCTGTCCCATGTCGTTGAAAACCTATCGTGCTCACTGCAACAGATACCAACCACGGCAGAGGTTGGAATGTCCGTCTTTGAGCATTCTCTAGCATTCGCTGAGGCTGAGACGATGATCTCCCACACCCTAGGTCTAGGTTATTATGGGTCAACCAGATCGTCAGGCGTTGGTAAAACAAACGTCACCTCTCCCAATGTCGATTCACAGCCAACAATACCCGCATCGGGGACAATATTAGCTCTTGCGGACGCTACGACCGTCTTGACCGGTCCGCATCTCCTTGATCGTGTCAATGTTCCAGTAGAAGTTCTCTTGGTCACATTGCTGTCGTGCTGCAACTCGCTGTCATCTCACGTCATTGCTGTTTTGGGAAAGCAGCGTCAATGGAGACTCGTCAACACTGGAATATGGGCTATGGCTTTCATGGCCTCGTTTGTCTGGGGATTCTGCACAACCAGTGTCATGGTTCGGAGCGGGGATAATGGAGACAACCGTCCTGTCAGCAGCCTTTTACACTTCCCGACTGTGGCGATCATAGGATTCCTCCCGCATATGGCCATCCTAGCTGGGATCGCTGTCTGTCTGCTCATATACTTGGTTGCTCTCACTTTGACGGCAATTTCCCTTGGCACCAATCCGCATATTCCCAGGCCCACCACGCTGAAAGAACGTTTCGTGATAGCTCACGACAATCTGCAGGTTGCGGTTCAGACCCGGGGGATTGATATCCGCTGGCACGAGGACTTCTACACCTCACTCCTCCGCACTGGATTTGCTGCGCTGACGGCGGCATCAGAAGCGGTCTTCCTTAATGAGGGCAGAGCTGTCGAAGTCCGTCAATTCACGTGGTTGGAAGAGGACAGGCTAGATGAATTCGACACCGCAATGCGTGAAATGGGAGCTTTTCAAAATGCCTTCCCAAACAGTCCACAATTCCAGATTCTGGAAGAATATGGCCTTCCTCCTTCGAGCCCTGGTGCCGTGGACAGAGGCGGTATTTGGGAGTCGGGCTATTCCAAGGAACGAAAGCTCGACAAAAAGGATAACGAAGCCAAAGGGTCATTTGTCTATCCAACTCCGCGCGCAGGCGGAGTCGGCGCTGTACAACGGACCACCCGTTTCTATTTGATCATGATTTATCTTCGCGGTATCATATTTTTAATAGCTGGATATATTGGCTTTGGCATTGGCGTCTTGCTGGACACGATCGGCATCACGGCGCGACCTCGATGGCTTAGACGAATCGTCGGTCGATCTCTGAAGAAGATGAATTCGAGGCCAGGCGGACCGAATAACGAAGGAACTCTCGACTTTTGGATCCTGACAGAGGACGGAAAGCTCACGATCGCGAGCAGCGACGAGGTTGATATTGAGCCTGAGATGAGGAGGCGGTTGATGACCGAATTTCCGGACGAGAGGATCGATGAACTCCTCGATACCAGGCTGTACGAGTGGTGGAAGTCAGGTGGCTGGTTCGGTGCGAAAGATGACAGCGGAGATTATGAGCCGTCAAATGCGGATGATCTCGACGACACTACCAGTGTCATTTCGATGTCCACCCAAGCCAGCACCCTCAACAGCGATGCCGGCGATGAAGACGCCTGGGAGTCTGAGCCTGAAGGATCACGAACACCGACTCAATCATCTACGGGGCCGTCATGGTCCTTCTCGGGCGTTCAAACCAGAGAATCAACACCGGCCTTCACAGATTCGCCTTTGGATGCGGCGACACTCGCAAGACTTCTAAATCCACCAGACCGAGAATCTCGCGAAGAAGCACGGATTCTTTCCTCGCACCTCGCCACGGTGGCCTCCAACTCTCCTGGCGTCATGACTCGTTCACGATACCGTCGCGAGGTTGAATCTGAGCGAGCTCGGATCTTGCTTGCTGGACGTAGTCCAGATCCCACACAAGCGACTCACCACAGGGTCCCAACAGTCTCGTTGTATAAAGAGCCTTCAACGACGGGTCCTCGACCACTTAGCACGATGGAGGAAGCGGAAGTGCTCGAATCACTAATCCTCAGCAGACGGCGGAAGCATGCGCCTCCCACGCCGACGGTGAAAAGTGAACCGTCAAACACAAGCAACACAGAGGAAGACCGACCATTCGGACCGCCTTGTGTCGTCTGTCAGATCGCGCCTCGAACCATTATCGCCTGGCCATGTCGATGCCTCTGCGTGTGCGAGGACTGTCGAGTCAGTTTGGCATTGAACAATTTTGGGAACTGTGTGACTTGTCGGCGGACCGTGCAGGGATTTGTGAGGCTCTACGTGCCGTGAAGTGAAGCCATCCGTGTACCGAGTATGGGCTGTACCACCAAGCAACCGCCAGGAGATCTGCAGGGCTGTTCTGTGTTCCATGTTTGCTTCTCTTTTTGAGCTCTAGGTCTGACGAATAGCCGAGTCAGCCAAAAGTTGCCATCTACGCCTCGGTGATTCGGTAGTTCATTGATTCCATTAGTTCTGTTCCATTCCTTGTCTACATACTTCCCGTCCACTGCTTTTGCAAGAGATTCATCGACCGTGACTATGTGTGCCGAGACCAAGTATACAGACGCGACAGCATCCCAGCGGCGACGGGCTCGTGTTCTCAGATACGGCAGTAGAGCACTAACACTGGGAGAGGAAAATGGTAATACAGCAAGTCAAGCAGAGAAGCAGAGAAGCAGAGAAGCAGAGTTTTATGAATTTAGATCACTAGATAGTATCGCTTTTACATTCCTACCCTTCGCAGAAAGAGTCCTCGTCACAGAACGGAAAAAAACCAGAAAAAACAACAACCAAAAACTGCGAATGTCCATCATCATATCAAATCAATCATCCTGATTCGCGCCGAATTTCCAAGAGTCAACGACGAAAGCACCACCCCCCCCCCCAAATCCCCCACCCCCGCGAAAACACATCATAGTACACCCACCCGACACCCTCTTCCCCAGTGATATAGAAAACCTCCTTGGCTACTTAGCGCCGCGCGGTGGGCGTAGCAGTAGCAGCGGCCGCCGCCGCGAATCTTGCTTCCTTTTCCGCGTCCCATGTGCCCAGGTCAGATATGATTTCGTCCAGGGCAGCATCCAGATCAAAGTCATGGTTCTCGACCAATTCGAGCAACCGCTGTCGTTGTGCGTCCTGCTTGTTCGATGACGAGCCGCGGTTGTTGGAGTGTTGCGGTGCTCTCGTCGAGCGCTGCAGGCGTGATTTGAGGATGCTTTTCGGGGTGGAGGCCGGTGAGAGCTTCGGTGATACCGAGTCTTTTGCGGCTGGTCGATGTTCGTCATCTCCGCCAGGTTGCTGCTGCTCTCCGTCCGGCATCGCTGACTTGGAACGAACCATCTTGTCTTGGATCGCAACAGTCGGCTTCGCGACTTTCAAAGCCGATTTGATCGTTCCTCGAGATGGCCCAGTTGGGGTGTCTTCGGTCGCAGGCACAGCCCGTCTCTTAGCTTTAGCTCGCCCAGGCTTCGTGGTGCCGACCGGAGAGGCTGCCCTTTGTTTACCTCTGCCAGCTTCCTCCTTTGCGGAACGTGGTACACCTGATGCATGATCAGTCGGCGAATGCGGCGTCCCAATCCCGTCAGCATGGATTGGAGATTGTAGCCGGTTGTTCTGCGCTGGTTCTTGCCTTTCCATCGGAAGTAGGCGCTCCAGATCAGGCGCAGCACTTGCGTCAGCTTTCGTACCCCCAGCGGCTGCTACGTCAACTATCGCTGGTCTCTCCAGATCCTCCGTATCGGCAGCTTCTGCGGTACAGCGGTCCTGGGCTTCGTAAAACATTTGACTGTGATTGGAAAGATTCGAGGGCAGAGACGCTAGGACCGGGAAAGGCGGTACTTGAGCGGATGGCAAGTCGGTGGTGGTGCTTGATTTTGTGGTTTCCTCCGCCAAAGACTGAGCCGCAAGCCCACTATGGTCGGGTAGAGATGCGTCTTGCGGGTTGGGAAGTATGGCAGAAGTATCGTTGAATCCCGGAGGCAACATTTCCTTAGGCTCAAGGCCTTGTTCCCTCCCCCTGTCAAGCGGCCGCACTGTGGGATCAGAATGAGGCAGGACTATTATAACATCCAATATATCGGAATCGTCTTGGTCGCCAGGTTGAGAAGCAAATGGGTCGGTATCGGATGCGGGATGATGTTCTGCTCCACATTTCAAGTTTAGGATGGCACATTCTGCCGTGGATTCGTTCGTGCGGAATGCCTTCGCTGCCTCGTAATGATCCGTCAACCCAACCTGTTTGTCTTTGTTCTTTTCCCTTAGCGAGTAGTTGTGGCCGTTACGTGCTAGCGGAGCAGTTTGCGGGGCCGACGAGTTGAGATGGGATGGAAGGCCGCTCTTCAACTTATGGGATTGTTCCAAAAGCGGTGTGCTGCAAGAAAGAGAAGCCGAATTGCTCGCGATGGTGTTACCAGCGTCCACTGGGACAGGAAGATCGACATTCCGTTTTCGAGCTTCCAGCCTCTTGACCCTGCGTTCACTCGGGGATGAAGGGAGCAAGGACTGCTCTCTGTTCTCTGGCCTTTGATGTGCTGCGTTCCTCGTCAACCAGTCTTCCGCCTTATTTCTCTTAGAACGTCCTCCATCCGCCTTCCCAACAAGTGCATCAGGACTCTTTTCCTGTCTTTCTCCCCTTCTTGTTGGACTTAAGTTACACCCTGCAGAGTTATCTTTCGCTTGCTTTGTTGCACGGGTAAGTCGTGTAGGCTTCTCTTGAGTTGTACCAGAATTCCTCGGTTTAGCAATGGTCCTTTTCGCCCAAGGATTCCTCCAACCGGGTTCAAAGGGTCCTCTCAGTTGAGCCGTGAGAATAGATAAAGGTTCGCCTCGGAGGTAGGCTGTGGCGCAGCGCTCGATGCGTTGCCTTTTGGCCGCTCTTTGCTCTGCATCCATCTGGACACCTTTCGCCTGGTCATGGTAAACGATTGTGTCGGCGCAGATTGGGATCTCGTCGGCAGAAACAGGTGACACCGGCCTTGGATACTCAAATACTTTGGTTTCCCGGGCGGGCATGGCCGAAATGGAAAGAATCAGACATCCAGCGTACTCAGGACAGGAATTATACTCGCTGAAGAACAAAGCATGTGCGAGAAGGACAGACAAGACAAGGAGGCTGGGTATCAGTGGTATGCGCAGGTGATTAAAAGGTGGCGTTCAGCAACTAGCTCTTAGCATGCAGGTAGCAGCCAGCACTTATTAAGGCAGCTAAATTAATCCCGAAATGGTCAGCAAACACGCCGCGTGTTTGGACGGACAGCGCCCGCATTCGCCGTTACACCTACGAGCCATTGATCAATTCATCTACCAAGCAGCTTTATTCGATCATACTACTTGTTCAATTTAGAAAGATCTCGGGGAACGCGAAATGCCTGTTTTGTGCTAATCCTGAGAGTCGCTGTGTCGACTATCTAGCTATTTGATTTCCATCACCGGCGCAAGAAGCCATCTTGTTGCAGGATTGCATTGTCAACGATAAGAAATTCGTAATACCAGTCAACAGCATGTGTTTTTTTCTCCATTACCAGTTTGTACACCAACATCAGCAAAACTCTCGAAAGGGTATCAATGCAAGCAGCTGAATCCATGAAAAACACGACGATCCGCCTTCAGACCTCTACTGGGAAGTGACACCATCGTAGTAAGTCTTATTGGCACTGCCGTTGGTCACTTTGGCACCAACATTGGGACCACCGGTTGTGATGTCCTTGTTTGTGTCAAAAGCGCGGTCGACTTGGTTGCTGAAGCCGGCGGTCCCCGCAGGATTACTGGTAACAGTCGTGCCAGTGACAGAAGACAAATTATCGTCGTTGGGATGATTGCCGCCACGGATTGTGCCAGCAGTGGTGTCATGTGGCTTGCGAATTACCGATTTCGACTTAGGGAGGTCGCTTGACTCCTTCGCATTGCCAATGCTGAAAACTGGAGATTCCCAACGATCGCCCTTGGCAGCAAGCTCCTTGTACTCCGTTGCCTTGGTCGAGACTCCGCCCGGTAGGCTGATATGCTTGAACATGGAGTCTTGCTTCGTCATTGCCATGTTGACGTTGGTCTTGGATGCGACATCCTTGGCCTTCTCCTTCTTCTCCGCCAACAACTTCTGGTAAGAGTTCCAGTAAGATTGCCAGATGTTCGGAGCATTCTCAGGATCTTCCAGAGCCGCCTCCTTGCCGCGTTGTACGTCTTGGTGCACACGGTAGGCGAAAGCGTCTGCTTGCATGAAGGCATCCTTGATCTGCTTCTCCAGCACCTTCTGGATGACCGGTTTCATGGTCTTCAACAACAGTGGCTTGGCGATCTTGAACAATAGTTTGTGATTGGATTGCTTGATCTTAACGTTCAAGTTCTTGATTGTGACGTCCACCTTGTCCACAGCGACGAAGTGACTGCGGTCTTTGGCATTGGCGTTGCGTGCCGAGATCTTGAAACTGAAGCCTTCGCCACCGAGGAAGATGTCCATGACACCCTTGTCGGTGATGGACGGGAATCCTTGCTTCTTTTTGATGTAGTACGCGACGTCTTGGAGATCCATCTGAATGCCGGAACCCGCAATTGTGACCTTGTTCTCCCTCTTGTTGGAAATTCCCTTGCGGCCCATGCGGAAATAGTTATCACTACCAAACTCGAAGACGTTGGGGAAGAGGTTGTCACTTTCAATGACGAGATTCTCCACCACAGCGTCAATCATGGGATCGGAAACTTCAATTCTGGGGATGGGAATGTAGCGAGTATTCTCGAAGATCTCGGGAATGATAACCTCGGTGAGATCTTTGATCAAATGAGGCTTGAACGTGGGCTTGCCATTCTCGTCATTTCCAAGGTCGAGGAATAGTCTTTGAACGGCATCTCCAAAGGCTTTGTTCTGTGGGTCCTGGTCGAATTGATCCCCGAGGAATTTGATTTCGTCGAGGATGCGGTCGGTATGGTTCCGATAGCGTTCACGAAGGAGGAAGCGGCCTTTCTCCTGGAGACGGTTGTACTCGTCGTTGGCTTCGTCTTGGAGAATGTATCCTTGCTCCTGCAAACATTTCCGGATGTACCGGTCCACAGCCTTGAACCAATCCTTGAGTTCTGGGTCACGATCTGCGTCTCGGTAGATGTTGTTCAAGGCGTCGAAGAAGTCATCGGTGCTTGTGTAATTGGCAAAGCGTTCAATAAGTGTCTTCAAGTTGGTTAGCGCACCCTTGTTATCACGGTAAGCAGCTGCACGAACCTTCAAGTTAGCCTCTGCACTCTTCAAGCGATCGTCTTCATGAGCACCTTTGATAGTCCCAGTGGATTGTGAATGTAAGTCGGTGGCATGGCCACCGTATGTCTCTGCAAGAGAGAGCAGCGTGTCAATAGCTTGGCGATCTAGATGAATGTCAGTCATGTTACTTGGTCCTATGAGTCAGCTACACTTACAGTCGGAGTGGCCTTGAATCTCCACCACCATCTTCTTAAGCCGCCAGATAGTTTGGTCACGGCGCTCTTGAGGAACCTTCTTGTTGAGATAGTTCTTGGTATGTTGAGATGTGGCTTCCTTGGCCTTTTTCGCATCTTCCTGGCGCTCATCGGGAATGTTCTGCTGCGCACGGTCTCTGAGAGTATCGGTTGCATTCTGCAGCCCCACGCGTCCGGCTTCTTGGTTATCCTGGGTAGGATGCTGCTGAGCGGCGTCCAAGCCTTGTTGAGCAGCGTCCTTCGCTTCCTCTCGGCTGAAAGGCTTGTTCTGGTTGTAAGCGTCACGTGCTTGGTTCCTCAGATTCTCTCTGGACAGATCTGGAACGTCATGCCAGGTATTGTCTTCAGCTGGGTGGTCGATTTGGTTCAGCTGATCTTCAGATGGGTTCACACGGCTGGCAACATTCTGCGCGGCATCACCCGCCATGTCCCGCATGAGAATGACGGCATCGTTGAGGAGTTTGCGGAATTGGCCATTCGAGAGGATGAGTCTGCCAAGGGTCTTGAGACCTTCCAGGGCCTCATCGCCGTGCTGTTGAGCGGTAGTCTTGTCTGTCGGGGCGTTGGGAAGGCTGACATTGTTGCCGTCGAGGTGTTGGGTGTCCCAGATGAACTCCTGAAGCAAATTCCCCTCATTCTTGGACAACAACAGGTATTTGGCCTGTTGGATGACCTCTTTCAGATCTCCGACCAGTTTGCGACCCTCTTCGGAGAGCTTTGAGGACGGTGAGGAGAGGGCCTTGGAGGCCAGCGCACTGTTCAGCGCGACATCAATCTGCTTGTTGGAGGGGACTTTGCCGTTGGCGAAGGCTTGGTAGATGCCATAGAGCTGGAGTTTCTGGTTGATGTCCTTCTCCTTGATGGCGTTGTTTGTGGGACGATTAACAGAGGCCATGGTGTAAAGGTGCAAAAGGGGTATCGCAAATGTAAGAAAAAAGACAACAGAGTCGGGTCAGGCGCTTCAATCGCAGTTCTGGGTATGGAGGTTCCCTAGCAGTTTTGGGTTCTGTGGAAGAGGTAGAGCCAGTGGTGGTCAAGTATGGAGGAGAAGTGGTCTGAGGAAGAACTGGCAACACAGATCAGAGACGGAGGTAGTGATGTAGTTATGAGTTGAGAGGCGGGGAGGGGGTTGTGGTGTGTATTACCTCACAGCCAAGTTGGTGGCACAGGGCGTCACTCAAGCAGCAAGAGGCACGCGCAACACGACCAGCTTTGTTCCCAGTTCAGGGAGGATCTGGCCATAATCTTGCCGCGATCGAGGAGGGATCGGCAGCGCTGTGGCTTGATCTCAAGCCCAACAGGACAGAAAGAGACTGGTTGAGCATCATATTTGGCCGGCAGCAATGTGGAGATCGAGGGTTGGCAAGCCAAAGCTGAAAAGATGAAGCGGATGTCAATTGCGAGCTCCAGCAAAAACCCAAAAGAAGCGTCATGACATCACCTGGAGTCTGGAGAGGTGGCTACTGTGTTTGTTTGGCTGCGCACAAACATCATTGAACCATCACCTACGAGGAGCTTGGTTTGGCCCAGCTTTGCCAGCCACTTGCACATGCGTGTTAGACTTTGGGGGTTGAAGTTGGTTGAACTCGCCGAGGCCCTGCCACCGTTCGGATCATCGTCCGGGGTCATTTTTGTTGCTGGATTTGAGCTACCTCTTCAGCCATAGCAGCATACAAAGCACTTCATAGTAAACCTCGAAAAGACCATGGTGACACCCTAGCAACTCGACTTGACGTCGCCGCCATTGACACAGTTGCCCTCGGTCAAGCCACCTGTCCGCCGTCCACGATGCTCGCGTTGTCGCTTACCTCCTGCCAGACCCTGGATTTCTGGCCGTTTTCGTCATTGCTGGTCCACCGCCGCCGCCGATCACGATCAAACGAGGAATCATTCTTGGACTCCCTCGGCCTGATCGAAGCACGGAGAAATTGTTGTTTCCTCTCCACAAAAATGACGTTTGGAAGGCTCTAGTCACGTCCACATTGCGCAAGGCTCTGGAGCCAGCTTCCCGCCAATCAGATGCGACACCAGAAACCACTCCGACATCCCGATCTCGGCAGCACGTGATGTGGCTGGGCAGAGGAATGGCCACCAGCCACATCCCTCAGGTACTCGGCACTGGTAGTAAAGACTGCCGCGTCACGTGTCAACGCGCTTCGTTCTCCAACGCGCCCCTTCCCCGCTTGTTCAACCCGCCAAACTGCACGTAGTCTGATCGCTTCACCAAACACTTACGAAGTGCAGTTTGCCCTCATTGATTTCATCTCTTTGCGGGCCTGCCATTTCAGTAGTCTAGCCCTCCCTCTCCAGAACTCGTGTCACTGTTTAATGAGTTGAATTCAAAAGAGCCTCATTGCTATTCTGCCTCATGGCAGCGAGACCTTCCCGACTGACTGCTACGAAACGCCCATTCCGCGATCAAAAGCGACAGACAAGGCTGCAATTCTCGTCTCCCTCTTCCTCATCCCCTGCACGAAGGAGTCCCAGCCCAGGTGCGCAAGATCAACTAGATAGGGTTACATGTGAGGAACCAAATGCTCTTCCTCGAAGATCAGATGTGCCTTCCCCGGAACCTTCGTATCCACCAACTCTAGAAGATCCCTCAGAGTTGCAACGCCCGACTCACGGTAAGATGATCCTGATCTTATCCCCTCGCTTGGACTGACAGGTTCCAGATCGAACTGAAATGCCGCCCGGCACCTCGTTTCCTTCGTCGCCCACTATTCACCGAGTCCTACGAATCGACTTGTCCGACGACACTGACGAGGACGATCTGATATCCCCGGCTCAGAAGAAGCGCAAGACGTCCGCTACCCTCGAATCTGCGCAACCATCCATCCTACCTCCGCCCAGGAAATCAAACCGTTTGAACCCGAGCTCCTCTCCCGCCAGGCAAGGCTCGAGTCCAGATCGACATGAGGACAAGCAAGTTCCAAGCTCACCGCCTCCACGAAGGTCAGGGAGATTACATCGTAGGTCATCACCACAAGTAGCACATTCGAGCCGGTCTAGGAGTCCTCACTCTGTGCGGTCGGTGGAAATCTCCTCTCCAGCCAATCGACAATCTACCTTTTCCGACCTAGGGTCGCCGGAGACGAGTGACGATGATGATTCTGTGATGGTGACAAAGCCTACAGCTCGGAGGAAATCAAGACTAGATAAGGACGATCCATTCATTGTCAACAACGATGAAGAAGAGTACATGTCAGACCGAGAGAGCCGCAAAAGACCGACGCCAATGAGAAAGAAGAGTAGAGGCGATGACTTCGTGGTGGACGATGATGAAGTGGAATTTCTCTCTTCCGAGGGCGAGGACGAGAGAACGAGGGCTCAGCCACCTCCAAAATCGCGCAAATTGACTCCAAAGCACAAGTCCTCCAAAGCGTCCCGTGGCCGAACCAAGGAAGAACAAGATGAACTCGAGGAAGATCTGCAGGACTTGCAAGATTCGCACCAAGAAGAAAGTGGGCCGAGGGCACGAACCAGAGGAGGTCCCGTCACGACTCAACGAGACAGGACCAGAGAGCATTTGGAGCTCTTGAAACGAAGGCGTGCAGGTGAAAAAGTCCCACGCGTTCGTGACTCTGACGATGGATCAGACGAAGGTTCAGAAGCCGACGGCATGGATCTTATCGGACAGCAACACTACGACATCTCCAGCGATCAGTCTTCGAATTCTGCGAGTGACACGGACCAGGGAGCTGATAACGAAGACGAACAAGAGGAGGGGGAAGACGATTTTGTTGTTGACGACTCAAGGGGAAGACTCGGTCGACCACATCCGGATATACCGCTGCAATTCACCAATTTTGCCTCGGCCAAGCCAAAAGAACTCTTCCCTCATATCATCGAATGGATGGTCAAGAACAAAATCGCGCCGGCCTTCAATCGCGAGGATCCAGTATACAATCTCGCCTTTGACCGGCTGGATGACCAGGTCAAAGCTCAAGCAGGAAGTAGACTTATCTCAGCAGCATGGGGAACCGACTTCAAACGAGCGATACTGGCGAGACCGAATATGAAAGTCGTAGCGTTGCCCGGCGAAGACTACGAACACATGCGTAACTGTGATGCATGTAACCGTACCAACAATCCTGCTCGCTATGAGTTCATCTTTTCCGGCGAACCTTACTACAAGAAAACACTGGAACCTGTTGACAATTCGGAATCGGACGAAGACGCAGATGGCGACCATGGCAGGATCAACGGCACCACGTACGACGAAAATGGCTACGCTATCTCTTCTCAACAGACGCGCTTCTATCTGGGGCGATTTTGCGCTGCCAATGCCGAAATGGGCCACAAGCTTACTCACTGGAAATATCACCTCAACGAATCCCTCATGACATATCTCGAAGCACAAGCCGTTCTCTCGGCCGAATCCATCGTCACGCGCGAAAAGATGAATAAAAAGAGACGCGAAAAGGAAGCGGAGAATATTGTGGACAGCATGGAGGAGACGGGTGTGATTGCAGAATTCTGGCGTGATTTTGAAAACGATCTCAATGACGCGAGGTTGGGTATGGAGGACTTTGAAAAGCGAGGCGGGAGGTCAAAGGGAAGGGTTGGGGCGATCCGAGCAACGGCTGGTGGACTGGTTAGGGAATGGGACAAGGACAAATATCGGGTAATGAAGGCCATGGAATTGGATTCAGAGGGAGAGTAAGAAGCTGAATGCAACAATGAGATCTAGGAGGATGGATGTGCAGGGATATGAATGCTCTCGATGATGCTCGTGGACTTTTGGACCATATCAAGGATTCTGGGATGCCCTCTGGAAACTCAGTATTGATATACTCTTTCAACTTGGGGGGAGCAATCTTGCCTTTCGACTTAGGAACGAGTACGAAAGTGCTTGGATATGGAAACTTTGGAAATTAGTCCCGTGGTCCTTCAAATGGGCAAATCCAGTTCCTTTGTACATTGACCTTCTCTCTGGAAATAGGAAACACAGACAGCTTCTCGGGGCTGAGAATAACATGGGTGAGGATACAGGGTCTCCCTTTACTATCCCTCCGTGCCAGTTTACGAAATAAGCATTGAAACCAAGGCACACAAGCGCGCACACAAACATAGTGAAAAGGAGATGGCGGTTCAGGGTGGAAAGGCGAGAACGAGTTCTTTCTACGTTTCCAACCACCATTGGAAAAGCTCCGCCAGAACGTCAAGCCACGGGGAGGTTCATTTTGAAGAAATGGGTTTTTTTAAGACATGAGATCAACCACCACGACCACCTTCGAATCCAGACTCATTGCCCCTGTGCGTGGATGTCGAAGAGGCTGTTCTCTCTCTCCCCGCTTGACCCTCTGCGTGGACGAGTAGATATTGTTACAATTCGTTTTCCGTGATTTCCCTTTTTGCGGGGGTTCGAAGAACTCTTTCCTCACTCCTTCGCTCCCTCCCTCGCCGAACCACCTGATTCTCCTCCTTGGTCTTTGCTCAGAATGATGGCCGCCGAAAAAGATGCCATTCGTCTCCCAGTAACGAGGTAGAGCAGGGATCATCCGTTTCACATGCCAGGTTTTCCTTGCCCTGGTGGTGCACGTATATTCCAAGACCGGGTCCCACAAGAGGATGCGCAAGACTGTGGATGGGCGGCACCGTCAGGGTGGCCCTCACGAAAAGGGCCGGGGGCAGCGACCCCAATCCCGCTCTCGAGACTGGAAATCTCACAACGCCGGCTTCGCGTCGCCTCCTGGCCCGGGCGCCTGGCCGCCCTGGATCATGCCCTGGGCGCCCTGCTCCATCATCCCCCGCTGCCTCTCCTCCTCCATGTACTGCTGCTCCTCGCCCAGCGCGAGCGCGTAGGGAATGCCCAACAACAGGATGCTGGTCGCGATGACCCACAGGCTCTTCCCGCCGTAGGTGATCGAGGCGTTGGCCGCGGAGTAGACGGACTGCGTGGCCGACGCCAGCCGGGCACGGGTTTTGGGAGGCACGATGTCGCGCAGCGCGGAGAGGCGGTCGAGAAGGGTCTCGTCTAGCGGGGGCTCGACGGCGTCGTCGTCCGAGATCTCGGAGTCTGGAGGAGGATGAGAATGTTAGATCAGAGAACGTCGGCCTCGGCCTGAAGGGGGGGGTTTTTAGAATGGACTTGAAGAGAATGGTAGATAAACCGGAGACGGGAGGCAATAGTGTGCTGTTGTAAGGGGAAACAGAACAAGGAGTTCTCACCCGTGTCAGTGTAGTCTTCATCGTCGTCAACTAGCAGAGCGCCGTCTTTGGTGGTATCTGGCTTGTTGATGAAGTGCTCATCTTCGAGTTCTTCGAGCTTGACCATTTTGTTTGTATTCTGGAGGCACAGAGCTTGCCGGAAATCTCAATAACGACAGATTATGAAGAAAAACAGTCCCAAAAGCAGAATAACAGTTGATCCAGACGGCAGTGGTGATGAAATAATTGAATGATGGAATGCTTGGGACAAGAAACTTGAAGCTCGCATGCTCTTTTCTCCGAAATGCGAAATTTCGGGGACCCAGTATTTCGGCGGAGCAAGACCCCTGGGAACGTATATCCGTTCTCAGCCTTGCTGGGGTATATTATCGAAGCGGACATGGACTACTGTACAACGGAGGACCTAGACGATGGAATTGTGTATGTAATTTCCTAGTTTTTCTGCTGCAGCTCTTCGCATGCTAATGAATGTTTTGATCTTAGGGCTTTCGCTTGTCGACCAGACCATTGCACTCGTCACTTGAAAACACTTGAGCGCGCGCAGATGAGGAGCGGACTCCCTTCCTCCTTGTCAGCCACGAATCTAACTGAAGGCGTTGATGATCTCGACGACTGCAGTTCAGAAGCGTCAGTAATGCCACGGACCATGATGAGACTTGTTCTCCAAACAGGGTGTTGACTTACAGGCAGGCTTCAAGCTCGCACCGCCGACCAAGAATCCATCCACATCGGGCTGTTTGGCCAAATCTCTGCAGTTCTTCTCGTTGACGCTTCCACCATAGATGATTCTGGTATTTTCTGCCGCTTCGGGCGAGACGGATTCGCTCAACCATTTTCTGATGGCCGCATGAACTTCCTGTGCTTGCTCTGCAATGATTCGGGTACGTGAGTCACTTTCTTTTCCATATTGTTGGGCCTTTTTTCACATACCAGTCGTTGCAACCTTGCCTGTTCCGATAGCCCAGATTGGCTCGTATGCAATTACAACGTTCTTCCAGCCGTCCTTGCCAATGGACTTGTTCACTGCCCCCAACTGTCTTGTGACAACGTCGACCGTGATACCCTTCTCCCGCTCCTCGAGACTCTCACCACAGCACAGAATGACGCCGATGCCGCCATCAAGTGCGGCTTTGGTCTTGCACGCCACGAACTCGTCTTCTTCTCGGAGGATGGTTCGGCGCTCCGAGTGACCCAGCAATGTCCATGTAATGCCGCTGTCCTTCAATTGCGCAACTGAAATTTCACCGGTGAAAGCCCCGTTGGGCTTGTCAAAGACATTTTGAGCCGCGACTTCAATGTTGGGGGAGAGGTGTTCGCGGGCAAGTAGGAGGTACAAACTCGGAGGTGCGACGACGACTTCAGTGTTCGGGTCTGCAGAGAGCAACCATCAGTCAAGATCTTTTTCTACGGCTCACCTGGAGGCCCGTAACCGGAGAAGTAGGGATGTGCGGAGGAACGTACCGAGCTTGGATGTGGACAAGTTGTGGACAATCTCTTTGATGGACTTAATCGTCCCATTCCTGGCGGAAGTGCTGCGTCAGTGAAAGATCCTTTGTCTGTTCACGAAAGAGCAGATTTCAGCGTCCGCTGCCTCTGCATACATTTTAAAGTTGCCTCCTACGAATGGTTTTCGACCCATCTTGAAAGAATAGCAGACGACCCAAGAGAGCGAAAATAGAACCCAGACTGGGGATGGGATATGCTGTCGCGAAGTTAGGATCGGAGGGAGAATAAGATGAGGAAACACAGCCTCAAGAGTGTAAAGGCACAGAAGAATGAGTATCCAGGAAATACGAGTATCTCGGGGAGCGAAAGCTAGGTATGAATATCGGGATAAGAGAGCGGGAGAAATGCTTTATGTCGCTTTGTGTCTCCGAATCTGTTGACAGCGGGCAAGACGGGGGCGGGGCTGCCAATGACGGCCGGTCGAGGGGCAGTTGGGCGAGGGAAGCTCTTCCGAGCAACACGGTCCATATAATTCTTCCGTTTTATTATCGTCCCTCAGGTGAAGGGAAGCAGCAGGATGAAGTGAATGCTGCTCTAGAGAGAGCTAGATGTCTATATAAGAAAATAATTGCATCCTCCTCATCAATATCAAGGCAGCTTGGTAGCCGGTGACCACATACGACCTGAAGTATACCATTCCTTAGCGGTAAGAATCTCCCAACGGTAACCGGAGAAAATGGAGCCTCAGAGCCATCGCACTTCCTCCACCACCAGAGCAGAGGTATCCGAGTGACGGGAAGTGGCAATGTCTCTGGACAAAAGGCTCGATCGATTATACCTGTGGATGAAAGGTGGAGAGTTGCGACCCGAGCACCAAAGAAGATGGAAATGCACTTGATGCGTTATATGCTTCACCGTAACTGATACGTCGAGGTACAGATTTCTCCGAGACGCAAATCTCAAAATATTTTCCTACTCTGCAAGATTGAACAGGCGGCGATCTGCCTGGAAACTCGTTGCTTAGAAAGTGCGAGGAGTAGGAAGCAACAAGTTCCTTGACAGCCTTTGCGCCCGCATCTCTTTGTCTCTCATTTATCCTTATTCATCTCCTACCGTGCTCCCCAGCCACACCACAGACCGGTTGCGCCGTTGATCTCTCCCTCAATCCCTCCGCTGGTCAGTGGCCATGGCAGCCAAACGCCCAGATAATCCTGACGGGATGCCCGCGAAACGTCAGAAGACCACCGGTGGAATGGATCCCCAGGACAACCCTTACCTTGCCCATTGGTACGACAACGAAGCCAATGGGTACACAAATGGCTCCTCAACCCCTCCGAACCGCAGTGACGGACCCCTCGTCGACTTCCAGCGGCACAAGACCACCGCTGCACTGGCTCAAAAGGCGGAAGACTCCAAAGTCAATCCTTTCACAGGCCGTCCGCATTCCGATCGATACTTCTCTATCTTACGTACCAGAAGAGATCTCCCCGTCCATGCCCAGCGAGACGAATTCCTTCAGCTTTACCAGAAATCCCAGATCCTTGTGTTCGTGGGCGAGACTGGTTCGGGAAAGACGACGCAAATCCCCCAATTCGTCCTCTACGACGACTTGCCACAGCAAGAAAAGAAACTTGTTGCCTGCACGCAGCCTCGTCGAGTGGCTGCCATGTCGGTGGCGGAGCGTGTCGCGAACGAGCTGGACGTCAAACTTGGCGAAGAGGTGGGTTACAGCATAAGATTTGAGGACATGACAAGCCAAAAGACGATTCTCAAATACATGACCGATGGCATGCTGCTCAGAGAAGCCATGAACGACCATGAGCTTACCAGGTACAGCACCATCATCCTCGACGAGGCCCACGAGCGGACATTGGCTACAGACGTGCTCATGGGTCTGCTGAAAGAGGTGGTGTTGCGGAGGCCAGACCTCAAATTGATCATCATGTCCGCAACCCTGGATGCTCAAAAATTTCAGAGATACTTCAACGATGCGCCCTTGCTCGCCGTTCCCGGTCGGACACACCCGGTCGAGATTTTCTATACTCAAGAGCCCGAGCCGGACTATGTTGAAGCTGCAATCAGAACCGTTCTGCAGATACATGCCACAGAACCCGAAGGTGATATCTTACTCTTTCTCACCGGAGAAGAAGAAATCGAAGACGCGTGCCGAAAAATCTCGCTGGAAGCCGACGAAATGATTCGTGAGGCTGATGCGGGACCGATGAAAGTGTATCCCCTCTACGGCACACTTCCTCCTGCACAGCAGCAAAAGATCTTCGAGCCAGCACCGCCACCGCAGCGACCTGGTGGCCGAGCGGGTCGGAAGTGCATTGTTGCCACCAACATTGCAGAGACTTCCCTGACCATTGACGGGATAGTGTATGTGGTTGATCCGGGCTTTTCCAAACAGAAGGTGTACAACCCACGCATTAGAGTCGAGTCTCTTCTCGTTTCACCCATCTCAAAGGCTTCTGCTCAACAGCGAGCTGGTCGTGCCGGTCGTACTCGGCCCGGAAAGTGTTTCCGTCTTTACACTGAAGGTGCCTTCAAAAAGGAGCTGATCGAGCAAACTTACCCCGAGATCCTCCGTTCAAATCTCTCGTCTACCGTCCTAGAGCTGAAGAAGCTCGGGATTGACGACCTTGTGCACTTTGACCTGATGGACCCCCCTGCCCCGGAGACCTTGATGAGGGCACTGGAGGAGTTGAATTACCTGGCATGTCTGGACGACGATGGTAACTTGACAACCATGGGCAGGCTTGCGTCGGAATTCCCTCTAGATCCAGCACTGGCAGTCATGCTCATCTCTTCACCCGAATTCTACTGTTCGAACGAGATCTTGAGCTTGACAGCTTTGCTGTCCGTGCCCCAGATTTTTGTAAGACCTGCGTCGGCGCGAAAGCGTGCCGACGAGATGAAAAATCTCTTCGCTCACCCGGATGGCGACCATCTGACCATGCTGAACGTCTACCATGCCTTCAAAGGCCCCGAAGCGCAGGGGAATCCGAGACAATGGTGTCACGATCATTTCCTCAGTCTTCGGGCTCTACAGTCTGCCGACAATGTGCGCCTACAGCTGAAACGAATCATGGAGCGAGAAGAATTGGAGTTGATGTCAACACCTTTCGAGGACAAGAAGTATTATGAAAACATCCGGCGAGCACTTGTGTCTGGCTTCTTCATGCAGGTGGCGAAGAAGGAAGCCAACGGCAAGACTTACACGACGGTGAAAGACAACCAAACTGTACTTTTGCATCCAAGTACGGTGCTCGGGCAAGAGAGCGAATGGGTGGTTTACAACGAATTTGTGCTTACCAGCAAGAACTATATTCGGACTGTCACGAGTGTGCGCGGCGAATGGCTGCTCGACATTGCACCGGGTTATTACGACATAGACAGCTTCCCCAAGGGCGAAGTCAAGACGGCGCTTCAGAGGATCGCAGAGAGGGTAGCTCGGCGGCAAAAGATGAGTCGTGGACGATAGATATGCAGCAGGTACAGATACAGCATAGACCAGATGCCAAACATGGCCACATGGCACTGCAGAATCAAGCGAGGCAGTGGCTGGGTTTGCCCTACGAGGGGCAACATAGACGAATAGTCGAGCTTCACACCTTGAGAGGCGGGAGACGCTAGAGGCCCTTTGCAGCACCGACAAATCTGGACCCAAGTTCGAATCGGAAAGAGTTTTCTAAGCGGTGAAAGAGTCCTGCAGCATGTCAGCATTTCCTAAGCCATTGCTCTGCGACACTCGTGCCACCCAACGCACACTCCGTCGGAGAGACCCTAGTCGCACCGTCGACTGTTTGACCGCATGAACCAGATCTCCTATGTACTGTACGATTGATAGAAGAGACGGAGGCGCCACAGAGCCACGGGTGATGAACAGGGTTCGGGAACTGGCCCATGGCACCAGGGTCTGCGGTCACCTCAGGCCAGTGGCGATGATTCCGCCCTCACACCAGACCGCCAGACCGGTAGCCTCGCCCAGCCCTTACAAACATGCCAAGGCAGATAGACTAGAGGAAAGACAGTTCCGTTGACAAACTACTTGCTGTACAGCTGCATCTTCCCTTACCAGGTTCCGTCGATTATCCACATCTACTGATCACTCGAATAGGTCTTTACGATTCTCCCCAGCATGCCCAAGAGCGGTCTGAAACCCATGGCAAGCTATATCTTGGCTGGAAAATTGCCATTGGGCGCCGAGTCTCTGGGGTCCCTGGGCGTCTCACTTTGGCTAACCCTTGGACTCAGCCTCAGCAGCTTTTCCTCGCTAGTTTGCGTGCATATCCTCCCTGCCTGTCTCGCCGAATGACGAACCACCGGGTCGAAAGCCCTCCCACATCGCACAAGCATTGACATTCGACCTCCTGCCTATTTGACAGCCTGAATCGCTGACCCAGCTGGAAGAATGAGCCTCACAAGCCCGAATATGCTGCGCGCCTAATCCCTCGCTCGGTTAACAGTTCTCCAAATACTGGGGGGCGGTGCAATGAGCGAAAGATATCTACGGCGCCTCCGTCGGTGGAGGACTTTGTGGCCGCTTGTGTATAATGTGCTTGTGAATTGCTCTTTTGCAGTTGACCGAGTGTCTTGGTTCCAATCGTTTATTTCCCAGCCAGCAGGTCGTTCCCCCGAAGATCTGACGTCTGTCCTTTTAATAGTTGCCGCTGGCTGTGTCTCCCAATACTGGCTTCTCTTGAGGTTTCCTTTGCCCGTTTTGCTTTGCACCCTCTGATGCGAGGCCAATCCAATGCCAAACAAGTTGAATCGTCACTAGAGAATCCAAGAGACCATGGTCTCCGACAATCACTCACTCTACACATCCGACCTCTTGATGGCGCACCTCCGAAGACAAGACACCTTCAATGATTCCGACTACGAGTCGTGCCCCGTTGGAGGCCAGTGGTGGAAGTGTGAAGATGTCAACTATCCAACATTCATCGGGTGCTGTTCAAGCAATCCCTGCTCTGGGCAGATGTGTCCTTCAGAAAATTTGTATCCCATGGGCTTTGGGCCTGTCACAGCTCCTGTGCCTGACTATCCAAACCATTCTTGCCCATATGGTGGACTTTGGTATACGTGCGCCGACAACTCTGTTCCCTTCCAAGGCTGCTGCGATAGCAATCCGTGCAATGGCCAAGGATGCCCCGCCTCTGATCTACGAGCTGCCGGTGTTCATACAGTTGTCGTGGCTGGAACTTCGACCTTCACAGTACCCTCATCGGTTGCAACGACGAGTTCTGCTTCCGTCTCATCGGCATATGCTACGACAACATCAAGTACGGCCTTGCCGCAGCCAGTCTCCAAATCAGTTGACACGGCTGCTATAGCAGGTGGCGTTGCTGCCGCTGCGGTTGCCTTGACGATCATCATTGGACTGGCAGTCTTTTGCCTCATACGGCGCCGAAGGACAAAACAATCTCTGCAAGAATCCACGCAGTCGGGACGAGAGCCACATGAATACAAAGCATTTTACAAGGATCCTTTGGGTGCAGGTAGGTCCATTCGCCCTTACCCGGTTTTGCATGTTTGCTAACGGCGCTGGCCTCAGTCTTGACACCACTTCCTCGATACCCAGGAAGCGCCTCCGCTATTCAAGGCCCCTTCTCGCCTGCTCCTGCTTATTACTCGCCTCGAGCACCCACGTCGCAAGACGGAGAACCCCAAGAGATCATGGGACTCGGCCTGACCGCGGATGAATTCAATCGACGCAACAAATCCAGGTCACCTGTCAACCACAACGTCGAGGGCCCTGTTGAACTTGCGACGCACCGCTTCTCAGCGAACCGTCCCGATGCGGAGGCTAGAAGCCCTCTTTTGGAGTCGAGACCAAAGGATAAACCCACCGACAAACCGACGACAAACCGGAAGCCAGATACGCGATCGCGACTACGCAGTCGTGCAGCCGTGGTTGACTTGCGTGCAGAAGTTTCACGGAGTCCTTCAAGAGGTCCAGCGAGGGGTTTCGATTCTGACGACTGAGCGATGGGGAGATTGTTGTTGTGCATCAATCGAGACAAGGAGAGATCAATGTCGAAACAGAACAGTCGACTTTGTTGCTCTCTCTTTTTGGGAGCGGGCGAAACAAGGCCTTGTCCACGAATAGCCCATGCGGTCTAAAGTTGATATGACAAATGCTCGAAAGTCAGATTTCCACCTGGTGTCGCGACAACAGTCTTCCGCCAATCGTCGTGATGGAACAATTACTTGAACGAGGCACATTACGGTTTCGACCCTCCTAACCCGTGTCCAAGAGATTCATGGAATGGATTGTTGGCTGCAGTCCGGTGTCGCGCGCCGCCCACCAACCGGATTCAGCAAGATTTATCCTTTTGGCCCGACACTCTGAGTCAGCGATACGATGTCGACGTGTCGCCGCAGTTAGCAATGACGGACGCAGATACACTCCAGCCTCCATTTAAAAGGTTGTGCGTAGGAGCTCGAGCGGTTTTCCAGCTGTGCATGCAAGGGCTTGGGGTTGGGATACATGCTAATTGTGCCGGGAGGACTCTGTGTAAGATATCGGGTGATGGTATTTGCCAATCTGGACAAGACTCGCTGTCGCGCAGGAATGGTGTCGTCTTTGACGCCAATGGACGATTGAATAGTGTGAATTAGAAACCGTGGCCCAGTCCGTGCACATAGAAGAAAGTGGTGAGGCTGAAGGCGGCCACCAACTCTGGGACGAGCGCATAATACACGCCATCTGATTGGGTCGGGGATCTCTTGGCATCATTATGTAATCGAAATTTTTCTTGTGGCCCCGGACGACTCCTTTTGAATTTCCCTGGAGGTTTGGTAGAACGAGTGCGGCGCCCATTCGACTCTAATTTTGGTTGCGGAGCTCTGTTTGACGTTGACGGAAGGGACATCTATGTTCTTGAGTCGTCGCCTTCCATGCGCACCGGGCTATTATTCGGCTTCTCCTTCGTCACTCCCCGTTCGCCGAGCCGCCAACAACAACACCGCGGCTCGCAAACTCAACAGCGTTGCGCAGCCCTCGGCAGAGTTCCAGCCATTCAATCGCAGAACCCGCCAGGTTTATCCGCGGGAGTACAATGCCGTGTCGATCGCGGCGAGGATGGAGAAAATCAACAATAGAGGCCCGCTGGGCCGGGCGAAGCGGCACAGACTCGAGCAGCAACGGTCCCGACTCCAGGACGGCACCCCCGACCAAGTCCTGACGATCGAAGCAGAGAGTCTTCTCTCAAAACGGCGGCAGAATGATGGAGGTGCAGATCATGACGAGGGGTCTCGAGATGAGGGAGGGGAGACCTCGCCGTCGCGGTCCTCGCGTCCGAAGCCGCACACGGAACTCGAACTGGAGATCGAGGAACTCTCATCCACCGGCGACGGACTGGCCTACGCACCGGACAGCAACGCCTTCGTCTACGTGGTCCCCTTCGCGGTGCCCGGGGACAAAGTCCTAGCCAAGACGTTCCCGCAGCGGGAGGAGAATCCACGGTGGACGCGCGTCGACTTTGTCAAACTGCTCCGGGCCTCGCCGCGACGCGAAGGCGTGACGCCGGGGTGCCGGTACTTTGGGACCTGCTCGGGCTGCCAGCTCCAGATGCTGCCGTACGAGGCCCAACTCGCGCACAAGAAGACGATCGTGGAGAAGGCGTTCCGGCACTTCTCGAACCTGGACCCGTCGCAGATCCCGCCCGTCGACGACACCGTCGGCTCGCCTCTCCAGTACGGCTACCGCACGAAGCTGACCCCCCACTACAGCGGGGGTCCGAGGGGGAAGCCGCTCCGGCGAGGCGACGACCCGCCCCCGTTCGGGTTCATGAAGAAGAACCTGCCCACGATCTTGGACATCGAGCAGTGTCCGATCGGCACGCCGATATTGAACGAGGGCCTGAAGATCGCGAGGGAGAAGATGCACGAGTCGTTCTGGAAGAGCAGGACCGGGGCGACGGTTCTGTTGCGGGAGTCGACGAGACGCGAGATGCTTCCGTCAACGGCGATGGCAACAGATACCTCGTCAGGGGCAGGCGAACAGGTGGAAAAGGGAACGGACGAGGTCGCCCCAGAAGGCGATAATTCACAGGCTCCAGCCCTCGAATCTATTCACGACCTGTCGTCCCTGCCGCTCGCCTATGCCGGGGAGCCAGTGTCCACCGAGCTCTCGTTCCCGTCTCCGACCTCCCCGGAAATCATATACACGTACCCTCGCTTCCGAGACATCAAGACCTACACGTCCGACAACAAAGCCTTGACGACCGAGCACATTGGGCCCTACACGTTCACCACGCGGGCGAACAGTTTCTTCCAGAACAACAATTCCATCCTGCCGACTTTCCTATCCTACATCCGCGAGAACCTGCTTCCTAAGACGACGACATCACTCACCGAACCAACGACCACGGCAGCTCCCGTGTCTTGGATCTCCGGCGGCGCGTCAGAAGGAGCCCCGAAGATCAAATACCTGCTGGACGCGTACTGCGGCTCGGGCCTCTTCAGCATCGCGCTCGCGCCGTATTTCTCGTCGGTGTTGGGCATCGACATCGACGCGCTCTCCATCTCGTGCGCGCGGGACAACGCGAAACTGAACCACAGCGCCAACACCACCGCCGCAGCAACGGGGCAACAGGCCGGCGAGAGCAACACGGGCTTCATCGCCGCCGACGCCCAAGCGCTATTCACCGACGTGCCGTTCCCGCCGTCGCAGACCCTCGTGGTCATCGACCCGCCCCGAAAGGGCGCCTCGCCAGATTTTCTGCAGCAGCTGTGCAACTTCGGCCCGCGCCGCGTCGTGTACGTCAGCTGCAACGTCCACACCCAGGCCCGCGATGTGGGCATGCTGGTCGCCGGCTTCGGCGGGCGGTGGCGCTACAGTATCGAGAAGCTGGGCGGGTTCGACTTCTTCCCGCAGACTGGCCATGTGGAGGGGGTGTGTTTCCTGGACAGGGTCGAGCAGGGAGTGTGAGATTCTTGATTCGCCGATGGAGGACATGCTGGGTGCATTGGTGGATTGGGATAGCTGGATGTCTGAGGAGGCGTTGATAGCGCAGAAAATCACTCGTGAACGGAGTTGTCGTTGCTGTCCAACCCATTTCTTTCCTCGGATGGCAGAACTGTATAATTAGACACCCCCTTAGTTCTTCTCCTCCTAGCAGACCTTTTCAAACACATGGCAGATCCGACACTTTTGGAGCCCCCATTCTGCCATTTTCGACCCGGTCCGATCTAAATTACCGCTTCTGGCGCTTCCATCTCATAGGAGAAGGTCAGTCAGGCGGGTCCAGATTAGAAACGCGCTGTGTCCTTGGAGTCCTCGTCCTCGGCATAGCCCTTATTCTCATGCTCATCTCCATCCTGATCCTCCTCTGCGTCTCGGGTATGGAACCAACGTCGCCCCTCGGCCCACGCCTTCCACGCGGGCCCGTCCAAGTTCTCAAACCACAAATAACAGGCCATGGCGGCCTTGAAGTCCGCGAACCTCGCGAGGCCGAGCTGGGCGGAGCGCTCGTGCAGCTGGGCGACGAACCAGCGGCGGTCGGGCGGCGTGAAGGTGGCGCCGATGCAGCCGAGCAGGAGCGTCCAGAGGACCAGGGGCCGGTACTCCTCGCGGCCGCCGCCGGGGGTGAACTTGAGGAACTTCTCGGTCAGGGCCCGGCGCAGCATGGCCGCCAGGCGCGGCTTGATCTCCGAGCTGTCGATCTGCGGGTACGTGACCATGTCGTCGTACAGGAGCGCGCCTAGCCGCGTGATGGCGAAGATCAGCCTCTCCTCCTCGCTCCCGGCCTCGGATAGCGGGATGTCCGGTGGCAGGCCCAGGATCTGGTGGTGGTTCGCCCGCGCAATCGCAAGCAGCCGCCGCCACTCCCGCGTGCATTCGTACCCGGGCTCCAGGTTCGAGAGATCCACGGTGACGGCGGCGGTGCAGAGCAATCGCTCGCGCAGCTGGCCAATGTGGTCCCGCGCAGGAAGGCATAGAAATCCAGTCCCCAGTTCCCCAAACGTGCCGTTGCGAAGGGATAGTTTGACATTCTTCTCAGTGTACTCGGTGAGGAATCTGTCGTATCGTTTCAGAAGCGGCAAACTAGGGTGTTGTATCAGGGTTGTGCAGTTGTTCAGGCTCCATCTGTAATGTTTTCATCCAACGGTTAGAGAATGGGGCCAAAAATCCAAGCAAAGAGAAACCTCCCCCTTTTTCCCTTTTGGGGTTCAGGGAGTCCACGTACAGCCATATCATTTCGGCAATGCCGATAAGTTTGATCTCTTCTAAGCCGCCCTTGGCCTGGATGAGGAGGTTCATGGCACGCATATGCTCAGCGTGTGGCACCTTCCTGCCGTACCGGGAAAGGAAACGTGCATTGAGCGTCGGCGGCGGCGGGTGGCTCTCGGGAAACACCCGCTTGTCCCAGTCTAGTCCCTGGTATGACAGATTGTATACGGCCATCACAAGTGAATCGGTGGGGATGGCATCCGGGTCCATATTCTGTATGATCTGCCTCACCAGTCGGAGGGCCTGGGTGTGATGAAACAGGCGCAGGCGATCGAACATGTCACTATACCCGTAGGCATGGTACATGGCTTTGCCGAAATCTGCCACGCTTGCGAGGTGGACGTGATGAACAGCAGCGCACTCCTGTGCAGCCAAGCGCCATTGCCGCCGGCCTGGATGGACGGCAGGCTTTCCTTGGACCTCTATAAGATCAGGCCACAGCTTGTCGTAGGCTTAGAACGAGTTTCAGTCAGCGAGGGGTTCAATGGGTCACCATTTGTCTCTCTTTGTGGGGGATAGCTGGAGTTGCGTACTGTACTCGATGAGGTCTTGAAAGACTGCTGGATGCTCTGACGCATTGTAGGGAGAGAATGGATCCCTTTTGCTCTGGGTCAGAGCATTGTGGACGAGCACCTTGGAGGGTTCTGGCTGTTGGTCATCTGCGCCATCATCGGCGGTACTTTTTTCCTGTCCATGCCGTTGTGATGATTCACGCTCCATCTCCCTGCGGAAACTGCAATGCCTTGTCAGCAAGGAGATCCATCCATAGGCTGGTCAAGTCCCCCAGACTGTCTGTTTACCTCATCTGCCTTTCCCATCGAGCGCGTCGACCGACATACTTGGCGGCATGGCTTCGGGCTTGTGAAATCTTGATGTTCTTGTCCTGACCACTTGGACGGGAACCGGGGTCATGGATCATGAACCGGATCGTTATTGGAGCCGACGAGGCGTTGGTGGACTCCATGGCGCTGTGTGAAGCGGTGATGGTGGGAGGATGCGACAAGGCAAAAGCACCTGAGGATTGACAGGGCGGACGGACAATGGCCCTATCTCTCTATCAAGTGCTTCCATTTAATCTCTTAACAATGTTGCTTTCCACGCTCATCGATGAAATCTGACAACAGCGCCGACGCCGAGTTCGTCTTCGTGCAGAGTGTTGTAAGAGGAAAAGCGCTAAGTTAGTTTGGTCCCAACTCAATGGCGCCTCGGCCAAAAAGAAACAGTAGTAGTAGAAGAGGGAACAGCCCCTGGCCTCAGCCCTGACAAGAAATAGCAAAGATAGACGGCTGGCTGCTGGTGAAGCGAGGTCTAAAAGAATGGTGGGCTGACTCTGCCAACTCGATTGGAGGGGATTATATAATCGTTTTGCTGCAGCCGTCCTGCGCCATCCAACATTGAGCCACTTGCAAGGCTCACGGAGCTCTGGCTTCGTCCGTCTCATCGGATGCCAGATGGATCACGAGTCATTACGCCATGGCTTAAGGAAATAGAGAGCTAAAAGGGTTCAAGGCCGCCGTCAGCGGCACTTGTCATGCTTTTTTCTCGATTCGTCACTTTCTATCTCGTCAGATCTCGATGTCTAAGTGCTGCCGGGACCTCCCAGCAAAGCAAACCTCCTGACGATGCTTGGGCCTATCTCGTCATACTCGGCCTTGGTGTGGCAGTAACTTCTGAACTCAGGCGTTTGGCCCAGTAGACTGCCACCAAACCAAGGTCCGTGTCTCTGTCGCTTGTGGGTGACGACTTGGACATCCAGACCACCACTCTTGGCTCCACCGCTCCGAGCCTCGGATGCTCGGATACGAGCATCAACCAAGTGTCTGATGTCTCGCTGTAACCTCCGGCCGAAGTCCTTGTACAGGGTCGAACCGCCAGACAGAACAATGTTCTTGTAAAGCCCTCGGCGAACGTCTATCGGGGATGATTGGATAACTCCATCGACCACAGTTGGGAGGGGGGTGAGAAAATCCGAAGAATAGATTTCAGGGTTGAAGAAGATCTCGGGAGCAAGGAATCGCTCGTATCCGACGTCAATTGTGATGGACCTTCCGTTGGGTTGGGTCACGGTGTGCTTGAGAAACCGGTCGGGTTCTTTGTCGTAGCGGGCGAACTCTTTGACGATGTCGGGGCAGACATAACAGTATTCCTCCTTGACCTTCTCTGCTGTCTTGAGACTGCTGTCTGGCTCTCCTCTGTCCCGCAACAGGCTCTGCACAAAATATGTGATATCCCGCCCAGCAATCGGTATGCTCTTGATCGATGAACCAATAACGTATCCTTCAGCGACGGGAATGATATGTGTGACACCGTCCCCTGAATCGATGACAGTGCCCGTTAGAGAGCGGTCAGTCACTTTGGAGGACGTCCAGGAAGCAGCTAATGCGAGAACGGCTTGTACGGCAATGTATAGACCTGCGCAGTTGAAGGACTCGAACATGATCTCGGCGGTGTTTTCGCGGTTTTCGGGGGGGTTAAGAGGCTGCAAACCAGTCAACGCTTAGCCATCAGGAGGAGTTCATCAACACCCACGGGCTCTGTCAGGAGAAAGTAGTGGTCTTCCGGCTCCACTCGCAGGTACTTGAAGATGGAGTTTGACCAGAAACGTTCCATGTAGTCCCAGTTCTCGATCTGACCATGTCTGATGGGATAGTTGATGCTGTAGCCAGGACCAGCTGCCGCCGCAAGTGCTTCGTCCCCAATGAAAAAGTCGAGATCTTCTGTACCCCGCTTGCCCGCCAAATTGGAACTGGGTCCAGCACCGCCAGTGAGATAGGAGGGTTTGTTGGCAACGGCCGGTCTTCCCGAGCCTGTTCCTGCGGCGCCGCCGCCAGCACTTTTCATAGCAATGGCCGTGGGGAAAACGAAAGAAGGGGCATCATTTCCGGCGAAGCCTAAGCCGGGGGAAGGTCAGAAGTGCAACAAACATCGATGGCCGACCGACGTACCTAGTTTCGAGAAGCCCGTTCCGCTTGTTGGCTGTCAGCAATCGATTCCTCGTCTGGAGAAGGAACACATACTTGTCCATGACAACGGCAGGAGTTTGAGAGGCCATTTTGAACGGCTAGTCGCGGACTGCCTCGACGAGCTGCGACGGATGCGACGATGCGACGATGCGACGGATGGAGATGGACACGATGAGGACGTCGCTAGGATCAGTCGGTGCTTGTTGGAGGGAGCATTGCCAACGGAGAGCAAGGAAAGGAAAGGAAAGGACCAGCAAGCCAGGCACCGTATTTCCACCCACCGAGGAGTGCAGGCAGCTTTCAATTGTGGGCAGGAAGACGAGTCAATTGAGGGACGGCAGTGAGACGAAACGCTGGTGGTAGTTGGGCAGTTTGGTGGAAGCAGTTTGGTGGGCTGCCACCTCGCAGGCTGGCATCCGCCGGGCAAAGTGGGCTTGGGGATTATGTCATCCATCCATCCACGTGACTGCGTTTTCAGTCCCACCATCGTGCCGTATGCAAGTACACAGGATTGTATTGTCCTCAAATCCGTCCCTTGAACAAGACGTACGAAGTCGATGAGCGACCGTTAGATGCGATGGGTTCTATCGGCACGTAGCCTGTCTAGAATACCACATCTCCAGCATAGGGGCAGTCAGTCCATGTGCCTCAAGATGTGTATCATCTTCACACGTCGCAGTGACTTCTGTATTATCGCGGAGTTTCGCACAGCCTCCTGCCAAAAATGATCGAGACGATATGCGTCTCGATACATCTGAGCCTTGTATACGGGATGTGAACAAGGATTGGGATACTGGCTGCTCGAAATGATGTCTTCTGCTGGGTCGGCACAGTTTCCCGAACACCGACATTCCTCCATTCAGTTCTTTCTCACACCCTGCTGCTTTCCTTTCTATCTTTCTATCACTCCTCGTGTCTGAACCTGAACAAACTGCGGCAAGACACAGAGGCAATCAATGTCCACATAAAGGCGTTGTGCGAGGAAGTCGTCGCCCCCAATCGCGAGGTTGCAGCTTCCAGGCATGCAAAGCAGGTGGTCGACTTCACCTGCCGAGAACGACAATGACCTTCCACTGACCTGCCTCTCAAGCCGTCTTTTCCAGCTTTTTATCTTTGATCTCATTCTCTCATTCACTCATTCACTCATTCACCCACTCATTCATTCCTTCACTTATCCAGGCGGGCATCCTCAAGCCCAAACACCATCCTTTCTTCCGGAGCATTCTCTTCTTCCTCAGCCGTTTCAAAAGTAGGATTTAGTCTCTGCCATTCGTTTCTCGCACTTCTTTTTCTCTCTACCTTGCAATCCCCCGTCCTCGCGGTCTGCAACTTGAGTTTGGTCTCAAACGAGCATTGTTTCTACCTCCCTCCGCAACTTGGGCCGGCCCTCTCACCTCACTCGAACACCCCGTCCATGCTGATCAGAGTTCATTCCTCTCTGCTTCTCTAACCTTACTCAATGCCACGTCGGCACCAAGAACCCGGCGACCTTTGTGCCATTTTCATCCATGCGGGTGCCGGATACCACAGTTTCCAAAATGAAAAGAACCACCTCACCGCAGTTAATGATGCTGCCAAGATCGGAATGGCCGTTCTGAAGAATGGAGGTAGTGCCATTGACGCTGTGGAGATGGTCATCCGGCTACTGGAGGACAAGGAGATCACCAATGCCGGCTATGGGAGCAACTTGACCATAGATGGGCAAGTCGAATGTGATGCCACCGTGGTCGACCACTACGGCCGCAGTGGTGCCGTCGGGGCGATCTCTCAAGTCAAAAATCCAATTACAGTCGCTCGCCTTGTTCTTGACGAATCCACCAAACCTCTGTCACTCCAACGCGTGCCTCCCAACCTGCTAGTCGGCGCTGGTGCCACCGACTTCGCCGCCGACATGGGCATTCCTATTCTCCCTCCAGACTACCTGGTTTCGGCACATGCACGTGATAGATGGTCCAGATGGCGTGAAGACCTCGTCGATGTCTCCCAGAAGGAGGCGTCCAGACAAGGTCAGAGCCAACCGTATCCGCAGACAGCGCCACTGGATGACTGGCGCCGGACTCCAACGCCGGCGCCTACTCCCCCTAGCCCAAATGTGTCACCTCCAACCCGAGGGAAACACCTTAGTCTCTCACAGATGCCTGCTATGGTACGTCCATTGATGGTCTCAACGGCTGATGTGCCTACATTGTCACACCCAGGCGGAGACAGAAACACAGGAAATCCTTCTTCTGTTTCGCCCTCTCAAGCAGCAAGTCAACATAACACACCAGCCGGAAATGCATCCCATGATCATCTTGAGGCTGCCTCTGACGACAGTCTCCAATGGCTTGCGTCGGGTTCCAAACGCCAAAAGCTGAGTGATTCTTTCGACGGCCCGGCCGACGATGTATCCAATCGGGCCATCGAGCACAAATCATCAATGAGAGGTCCAAGACTCACTACCCTTGACGACGACCGGGAGGATGACATACATGACACGGTCGGCGCCATTGCCGTTGACTGCTTTGGGAACATCGCTGCGGGCTCGTCTTCGGGAGGAATTGGCATGAAACACAAGGGACGATGTGGCCCAGCCGCTCTTGTTGGTATTGGCACAGCCGTGGTCCCCATCGATCCAGAGGATCCCACACAAACTTGTGTCGCCACAGTCACCAGCGGGACGGGTGAACATATGGCTACAACCACTGCTGCGGCCACGGCCGCCGATCGCATCTACAATTCGGTGCGTAAGGAAAGGGGGCAACTTGAACCGTGCAACGAAGATGAAGCCATGCATGCTGTCATCAAGAATGACTTCATGACTCATCCCGGTGTCAGCAACAGCCCCTGTGCTGGAGCGATCGGGATCCTTGCTGTCAAGAAAAGCCGTAATGGTATTTACTTCTACTTTGGTCACAATACAGATTCATTTGCTCTTGCATCGATGCATTCAGAAGAGAAGAAGCCGGTGTGCACCATGTCACGTAACCGAGGTCACGGGTCGATTGCTCAAGGAGGTCGAGGTGCTCGATCGAAACATAGTCGGTCGCGCTGAACCACTGATTGTGGCAGGCACAGGTGTTCTGGCACATGGGAGACAACTCCCGACATCTACGGGTCTTGGCCTTTCGAAAAAGTCACCATGCAACACAGGTGCTAGCCGCCCCGATGGGCAGGGTGGACATGAGGACGCTGCAATGGGACATGATGGCGGGTCGCAGAGCTGGAAGGAAGGCCAAAGGATTGAGGGGGGAAAACGGGTCGAATGGAGGCGGGCATATTTATGGCCTTTTTCTTGCTTGAGCCTTGAAACTTCAAGGTGCCCTAGAGTCTCATATTGATAGACGAACAATCCTAAACCCTGTTCCAGACCAGCACTGCCTTTCTGTGCGCGTGAGATGAAATTCCCCGAATCTACTTATCGTTATAACTTTTGTGGACGTTGATTGCGGACCCAATTCTGGTGAGGGGTCTCTCTATTGTTACACTTGTGGGCACTGGATGCCAAGGTTATTGCCTTACGGTCATCCGCTGCTGCTGCTGCTGCCGCTGCTGCGGCTTCTTCTTCTTGGACTTCGAGGCTACGACCACAGGCGTCTTCCCATAGCCTCCCTCGTCTACAGCGAGATGGGTGCCGCAGGTCAGGCAGTCGCCGTTCTCGGGCGGCTCACAGAAGATGCTCAGGCAGATGGAGCAGACGAAGCCGACGGAGACGACGTTGCGGTGGCAGAAGCAGGCGGCGCGGAAGTCGACGTCGATGCGGGTGGGGAGGATCAAGTGTGCGGAGCGGGTCAGGGGGCTGGACAGGAAGCTGGTCAGCAGGTAGGTCAGGAGGGACTGGGACGCCGTCTTGGCCGGGCTGGACGAGTTGGGGGAGCTGGAGGAGGTGAGATGGGCGGGGATGAAGATGCCGTGGGTCGCGTCGGCGGCTTGTTGGAGGAAGACGGTCGAGTTTGAGTGCGCGTGGGAGCGGGTCGAGGTCGTCTTGGACGAGGATGGGTCGGTGGTAGAAGAAGTCGTTGTGGCGGTGGAGGGCATGGAGGAGCGGGACGAGGTGGGGAGAGGAAGTTGCAATATATCAATGGGGATGGAGAGCCGCTGGCAGGCGAATATGGCGTTCATGATGGGTATGTATTGGTGAGCCAGGTCGGTCGAGGGGGATGCTGAGATGAGGAGAATGCGTGATTGAAGGGACTGAGTTGCCCCTTCTCCGGCCACCGCGGCCGTCGGGTCTCTGACACTACCACTGCTGGCATTTGTCGATCCGACCAGAGATTCGGTGAGCAGGATGGACTCCCGGTTGATGTAGGAGAGCGCCAGGGTGAGGGCCCCCGCGATCATGGTTGATGAACTGCTGGCGACGGCATCTGGAGAGGTGCCGGAAAGCAGCGAGGTCAGATTGCGAAGGACCTCCTCCTCGACGAGGCGGAAGGGCCGGTATTTGCTGCCGGTGTTCGCGGAGGATTTGACAGGAGCATCCCCCGTCGGCCCGTTAAGTTTCAGCCTTTTGGTGGAGTCGGAGAGGTTGTCGCCTCGAGATGGATCTTGAGGGTGTCGCTTTGCTCGAGCCGAGGCGGAGCGAGGAAGTTTTTGTTCGGTCGGACTTGGATAGAGCCATGTGGCTTTGTCGCAATGAGAGGCGATGACGGCAACCTTGTTGGTATAGTTTGCGGCCAGGTGGGCGTTGATGAAGACAAGAAGATTGGCGACGGCGCTGGACAGAGGGAGGGTGGAGGAGAGTAGTGACCATGCTGCTGGGTTGGTGTCGAGGATGACGGCGAGGAGCGAGGGGGATTGTTCTGTTGCTGTTGTGGGTAAAGGGGGGGGGGATGTCAGTCCACGGCAGCCTTGTGAGTATCGTTGAAGATGGACGGAGGCTTGGGGGGGTGAATTTGAGCGCGGTGATTGGACGGAAGCGGGCAGCTTTGTCCGTTGGCCGCTACGCAGGCAGGCAGCGGAGTGGCGGGTAAAAGATTGCGAGATGAGGAATAGCCTTGGGACTTACAGTAGGATGGTTTGTCAAAGTGCTCGGATGCATCCACCGCATTCATGATGGGGTGATGAAGACGACGGCGGCGGCGGCGACGACGGGAGCAGTTATTAGAAATCAGGAGGGGGGATATTTGTGGGATTGTGCGAGGTGAGAAGTGAGATGGTTGAGCGAGGGAGGGAGAGAGGGAGTGAGTGAGTGAGTGACTGGGTTTGAGTTGCGTGGCGTGGCGTTGAGATGAGGATGGACCGAGACTGGGGAGTTGCTGAGTTGATGAGATGCCCGTTTGGATCGGATGGTTGAGCGTGTCCAACACCACAAGGCCCACGGTCAGACAAGCACAAGCACAAGCCCCTGGGCACAGGCGGCCTTGTCCCCTTCTAGGCGCCGTGGTGAGCGAGCGGGTGTCAGAGATAGGCGTGAGGTTAGGCTCACTAGGCAGAGGGTTAGTGAGTGGCTAGGAGGCACCCACCGATAAAGCAGCCCCTACTTGGTAAGATAGGCCACCTCCGATGCACCTACAGGAGGTGCTGGACCACAACGTGAGAGAAGGGCTGGATGCTGGATGCTGGATGCTGGATGCCGGGTCACTCTCACTCACTCGTCTCTCACTTTCCTCTCCCTATCCTCCCTTCGCCGTCACTTTTGGCCGACCCCAAGTCAATGCTGCTGAATACAATGTAGATACAGGCACAAGATGGAGTCGTTGTGAACTCGCCCTCCAGCAGCTTCACATGTTAATTTCCGCCTGGCGTTCGCGTTGCCATTTTTACTCTCGCGCTCGCCCCCCTTGGGACGCAGACTTTCGACTCTCCAATGTTTTGACTCATTATTTGTCCGCCAAACACACCCCCATTTGGCTGCCACTCGGTCCTCTCGGCCCTTTCTGAAAAACCACCTCTGATTCCTCCGTCCTCGTCCTCGTATCTGTGTCTGCATGTGCATGTCCCTTTTCCCTCCTCTCGCAATCGTCGCTGCTATCATCACACACCAACGGGGAAAGAAAAAACTTTTCATTCCTGTCCCCAGCAGTAGCCTGTTGCACCATTTTTTTTTCTGCATCCCACGTGGCCCATACTACTTGGTCTGCTCCTACATCGGCTCATCCATCTCAGAGGCACACAGAAGCAAATTCCATTCGCTATTCCGCCAACATCCCCTCCAATAATTGCGACAATCCCTGGATCCATTTGGCCAATCTACAAAACACCAGCCTTGCGCTTTTGCTTCACTTTCTGCGATTTCGACAGACGCAACGCCCTGATCACCCACGAAATTGCAACGACCACCACACACAGCGCACTCGCATCTCCATCAGCTGACCCCTTCACCCCGTCAACCAAACGCACATCTCGCAGATTTGTTTCTCCTCGCTTCTTCGCCGCCTCGCTCGCAGGTCAAGAGACCGCCCATCCTCCCGCCTGCCGCCCGCCTCCCGTTTCCCGGCTTCCGTCCAAATCCTCTGCTCGCTCTTCACGCCTTTATAAATCATGTTCTCGGCCTCTTGATCTCACGTCACTCTTCCCTTCAAGAACTCGACCACCCCAGTCCTCCGAGTTCTTCGTCCTCGTCTCTCTCCCTCTCGCTTTGTCATTCTCCGCTCTCAGGGCGTGTCGCTCCACCCTTGCCTCGTTGGTCCGATGTCTTCCATGTCGACCGTCCAGCGCATGAACCGAAAATTATCCGAAGAACGCGATGCTGAACGCGCCTCCCAGTTGGCCAAGGAAGCCGTTGAACTTTCCAACGCCGGTGACAAAGTGGTATGTGTCTGACAGGCTAAACTTTTTGCTTTCGAGTTAGATCGCTCACAACTCCTCTAGCAAGCGTCGAGAAAGCTGAGAGAAGCGGCTGCTCTGGGTCATGCCAACCCAGATGTCCAGGCCGCCTTTTTCGCCATCCATCATGATGACCAGCTCAATTCACCGCTTTTGGATTTTGTCAGGAGGTATGCCCTCTACCACGATAACTCGGCCGGCGATGAAGCCATCAAGTACCTGAAGAGCTCCGAGGCGTCGAATGCTGCTCCTGTGGCCCTCGAATGCTTGCAGATCATCCTCGAATGCCGCCAGTCTACCATGTCCGGTGCCCAAGACTTCATCATCGCCGAACTGGCCAAGCGGAGCCCCGCGGTTCGAAAGTATTTGGCTACTGAGCTCCAGGCTTCGACGACCGCCTTCTTTGACAATGTCTACGAAAGGGGTGATGACGCCGCCAATTGCCTTCGCTCTGTCGTGCTCGATGATACATTATGGCCGACCGAGGACGTCCGACTGCGCGTGGAGGATGATCTTTTCCAGCTCTTCCTCGCCAAGTTGATGGAAACGGGACACGATCATGACGGTCGAGCTCTCAAAGGCATCGCCCTGTTGTTGATCGCCGACACCCAGCGGCTCCATACGTTCATCGACGAGGATGCATTCGAAGCCCTCATGGGCTCCCTCGATTTGAGACTACCCCCGGATGTCCGAGGTCAGGCCACCCTCGTCCTGTCCAAGTTCTTTGAAGTGGCAGAACCCACCGGTCAAGAATATCTCTCCAAGTACATCACGAACCACGTTCAACGGAAAAAGGGTGATGATCTCGTCCTGGCCTTTTCGGCCGGAGCAAGTCTCTTTCCCGTCATTCCGACTGTCGTGGCTCCGCTCTTCTTGGTGGACGGATTTCTTAGCTCGATCATGCCGCTCCTCGATAGAAAGTTCAGCAGTCCTCTCGTCCACGACGCCTTCCTCTTTCTGCTCAACGCCGCTTGCATCGACGGCGCCTGTCGGACCGCGATCGCACAGTATTGTGCACCTTGGCTCGCGGATAAAGTGAGCAACGGAACCGGCAAGCAACCATCGGTGGCCGCCACCGTGTTGGCCAAATTGAGAACCTCAGGGGTCAAGATTGGAGATCAGAGAGCCAACAAGGCAGATGATGATGTTAGTGAACTCGTTGATCTTTTCAAGAAATCCCTCACCGTTGTTGAAGAAGGCAAGAACGTTTCTGACTCGATTGAAGGCCTTGCGTATACATCTTTAAAGCCCGAGGTCAAGGAATCGCTCGCCAAAGACCGCAAGTTCCTCAAATCTCTCCTTGAAGTCCTCAACGAGAACCACACCACTCCCGAAGTCGTGGTGGGCGGATTAAGTATCATCTCGAATCTCACACAATATGCGCCAAATCTGTCGGAAGAACAGAAAAGGATATCGCAGCTGAAAGCATATGCGAATGCTACGAAACCTGCCGAACCGAACCCTCTGGAGGATGACGAGCATGTCCGGGCACGTTGCACAGCCGTGGTTGAGGCCGGAATCGTGGCCTCACTCATCAAACTAAACAAGGGCAGGTCTCCGGCCACAGCACAGCTAAGCGATAAAATCCTCTTGTCGCTGTCCAAGAATTCAAAAGATAGGGGGAAGATTGCTCAACAGGGCGCCGTCAAGCTTTTGGTTTCTCATGCACAAAGAAGTCTACAATCATCCGAGAACAACGTTCAATCCAGCTCCGACGCCGCGCACGCTCTTGCGCGTATCCTGATCTCCTTGAATCCAGCGCATGTCTTCCCGGCAGGCTCGACACCCGACATTACTGACGCTGTTCCACCTCTAGTGGCGTTGCTGAAGTCCCCGGGCGGAGCGGGTCTTAATGACCAGCCGCGAGATCTCCTACCGGTCTTCGAAAGCCTCCTTGCCTTGACCAACCTTGCTTCGGCCCCTACCTCGAACGCTGCATCTTTCATCATAAAATCCGCCTGGGACGACATCGAAGAATTTCTCCTGGGAAACAATGAGCTTGTCCGCCGGGCGGCATGCGAATTGATATGCAATTTAACGGTTGTTCCCGCTGGAATCGAGAAATTTGCCGACGGCTCGAAACGTGCAGCACAACGATTACGCATCCTTGTTGCGATGGCCGACGTCGAAGATTTACCCACGAGACGCGCTGCGGGTGGAGCTCTGGCAATGCTCACGGAACAGTACGTCAACATCGTATCGCCAATGCTTGAGTTCAAACGGACGCCAGAGATTCTTCTGGAGCTATGTCTCGATGAAGATCCGGGCGTGGTGCATAGAGGCCTAGTCGTCGTAAGGAACATGCTGTGTTGCGATGAAGCCGACCAGGACAACAAGCCATTGGCATTAAAGGTGAAGGAGGCGTTCAAGAAAGAAGGCGCTGTGGAGAAAGTGAAGACTTCGCTGAAGCAGACCAAGGATCCGGAACTGCTGACCATTGGCGTACAAGCCCTGAAAGTCCTGGTGGACGACCGAACGAAGTGAACAACAAGGAGGACACTTTCGCGCAATAGTCCTACCGGGCTGAAGGGCCGCTTCTTCTTACGGTCCTTCGCCGTGGTCTACCCAGAGCATGCGGACTTATCACCGCACTTTCGGCCCTGCAGAGCACATGGACGGGGCTTGACTACTCGACAATATCCGGTCTTCAAGCTCGAGTACACGACTGGCCAGAGAACCGGCTTCTATCAGGAGGATCAAGTTGGCCGCACCCGCCAATCCCCGTTAGTCGCCATTCCAAGGACAACACATACATAATAACGATATCTTCAAGCTATTTGGCTAGCGGAGTTTGGATTATACGGCCTCACAATCGGCCCTGGGGCGGAGGGAGCAGCGGAGAGCTCCCGGCGTTTTTTTGTTTTGGTGTACATGGCCGGCGCGGAGTTCCGACGAAAGGATTCCTAGAGGGTGGTCGTTTTCCTGAGCATGGGGGTTTTCCGCCGTGTTTCTTTTCTTAGTCTCGACAATCGTCGAGGATGGTCCAAGTTGAGAGTGATCACACCTGGAGGGGGTATCGCCGCCTACGTACGCACTCCCATTTGGTACTATTGTGTTGCTCCTACCTGCCATGGGCCATTGTTTCTCGCCGGGGCTTGCTGTATCATGCGTCTGGAACAGGCAGGGGACTACTAGTTTAACACCATGCGTGGCCAGCATCTGCAGTTTCGGGCGCATGCTCGCGAGGTACCCTGCTGAAAGCCCGATATCAATTAAGACCAATATCAGTATCAACATCGATATCGATATCGACACCCCATTTCCTCACTTGATACCGCTACCATCTTCCACCGACGATTATGATCATGTCGAGGACAACATCTGGGACGATGGATCTGCACATTTTCCAAAGATGCGTTCGTTGTATATGCATTCCATTCGTTCAATGATTTTTGCATATATGTTGCTTTATTGGATTTCCCCCTGTATTACATAGTAAGGTACGGTACACACCTTTCTGGGTCAAGGGCACAGTAACGTATCGGGCCACAGAGTATACGTCCATCCAAGTGCCCTGTTTGCGCGGTGCTTGATCCTGTTTGCGCTCTCTCAAGAGGTCCTGCATGTACATGTGCATGTGCTGGAAGGATCCATGATGCTACTTCTTCCTTCTGTTCTTCCCTCCCAGGAGTGATTTGCATATATATATATATATATCCCTCCCTGTTCTGGACACCTTTTCGAGGATCTCGTCCTCTCTTCCTGGCTAGATGTCATGTTGTGTCGTACAAGCCAACCCCGTTTCTTGCTACTCCACAGATTCACCACGAGTGTCGAGATGAAAGGGGAACTGGCAGAGCGACAACGGCCGATGAGTGTTTGGCCACGACATCACCTAGAAGATGGTCGAGCCAACGTGGAAAGCCCAACCATGTACTTAGATATAGGGCTGACCACTTCTGGGTGTGGCCTGATGTCAGTTGTGCCGTGGTGTCGCGAGGACATTTGAGCCAGATCCAGGTGGTCTGTTAGACTTGGTGCAAAGCAGCTTATCAGCTTCATCTGTGGCGTCGAGCATTTATGACGACTGATGCCCTGCGGCAACTTCGAGTCGGCGAACTCGTGATCGGAGCGGGGAGACTTTAGACTTCTCATCAACGCATCGAAGATGAGTTTGCAGCCGGTTGCATCTTGACCTGAACCCTTTTAAACGTCCTCGGTCTGACATCCTTGTCAAAACTTTTCGAGTACGTCTGAATTTTGACCTCTCCGGAAGCCGTCAGAATGGGTCCAACCTTGGAACGGTGTCTCCGAGTGTTAGTGGTTTCGACTGCTTTGGTTGGAATTCTGGTTTCCGGCGTGTTTTGTACTTTGATCGATGCTCGTTTTGGCTCGGATGGTGTCGACACTTCCTCCTCTGTCCCTATCCTGTGCCGTTCACTCTCTTCATCCTTTTCCTCCGGCGACAGCTCCGTGGCAATTGAGGTGTTCTGTTTCGGCTGCTGTTGTCGTTGTTGCATCAATTGTTCGGCAACAGCCTTCAGAGCTGACATCTCCGCTCGCATGTGTGCGCGTTCTTCTTCGTAAAGTTCATTCAGCTTCTGAAGTTTTTCATAACCTTCTTTCGATTCTCGTAGCTCCTCTGCCAAGGCGGAAGTGCTTTTGATCCATCTTTGTGCCCTTTGGGCTGATTCTTCTTGATAAGACTTCTGTCGGAGTTCAGCAAGGTCCAGTTTCGTTTTCAATTGTAGAATAGTGGCTTCCTGCTGGGTAAACTTGCTTTGCAATCTGTCCAGCTCAGCCGAGGAATATTCGCCGCCACTAGTCGCGGGGGAGCCCGGTGTCGGTCTTCGCACAGCATAACGAAGATTTGGGCTCTGCGCCGTAGGTGCCATCAGAACCAGCTCGCTTTCCATGTTCTCTTGGGAGCTCTGAGCATTTTGAGGCTTTCCGGAAAGCTCCTCCATTAAGGATCTGCATGCCAATTGAAATGACCTTGCCTTTTCCTGCGCGGGGCACTCTTCGACGTTGTCCGGTAGAGGGAGCGATTCCCACTCTAGCAGAATACTTCGAGTCCGTGGGTGAAATGTCCTGCGATCATTCTGAGTTTTATCAACAAGTGGCGGCCCAATACCTGCATCAACTGCGGCATCGAGGATTGTGGTATATTCTGCAAGTTTGCGGCAGCGCACACACAGATCCAGCATACGGTATATCACGCGTGCTAATCGATCAATCGACTGATTCGCAATTGACAATGCATGATTCACAGACCGCTGTAACCATTTTTTACCCTCCTCCCAGTTCCCGTGCTGAGAGTAGTAGGCTAGGAAGCTTCGGAACAGGTCATCTTTCCACATGCTCCCATAGTCGGCTTCACGGAGGAGCGTCAACCAAGCTTCAGCCCGTGTCGGTTGCTCGCACCTCAGGGATGCATACACCAAAACCATGAGAAGGCGTGGATTCAGAGTCGTCGGGACAGGAAGGTCCATTCCATTGACGCGTGTCTTTTCCCACCTGTGAATCACGTTGAGTGGGTTATCTGCCTTGGCGATGAAATGCAGCATATGATTTAGTGAGCGAGAGTCGCAGGCTCGGCCGATTTGCAGCAGCATATAAAAGATTGCAGGGTCCGAAAGTGGTAGCGTACTCCTCTTCAGGGCGGCAACGGCATGGTAGGCTAAGCTGTGGCTTCCGACTTTGGAAAGAGACCGAATGAGCATAACGTAAACCGAGACAGAGGGTACTTCATCCGTGTGAAGAACCGCTTTTCCATAACCGTCAATTAGCCCAGTCAGTGATATTCGCCCAGCATCGAACTCTGCCGTTAACTCTTTTATGGCTTGCTGAAGGCCGCCTCTAGCAGCTTGTGCTTGGATCCGAGGTGCCACATAGAAAAGGTCTTCGAGGTTTCCTAGAGAACGCATCTGCTTTCGTGTCAGAGCGAGCATCTCGGCCAAGCGATTGGTGTCCGAAAGGGGGCCAATATCCCCAGGAGTTTCAGCGGCTGCACCGTCTGCTGGGTCGTCCGATGGAACAATCGAGTAGAAGTGGTTGGGTCCGACGCGGAGATGCAGGAGCATCCTGAGAGCTAGTGTGATTGCGTTCAGGCGATGGTAACGCTTGAAGTTGGATAACTGTTCGGCGGAAAACTCGCGTGCAGAGAGAACTTGCCGTATCGGTATTTCATCGTCTTGTAATACGCCGTCTTCCTGGCCCAGGTCCGCCGGCCATATTGGCATCTCAATGTCGCCTGGGACTTCGTCCTCTTGCATCCGTGCTTGCACGGCTGTAGCATAATGTCTTCGCTGCTGAGATAGTCCAGACAAGGTTTTGCGGAGCTGGAGGGTGCTCCGGAGCTGCCGTTCCCGCTCCTTGAGTGAATCTATCTCATTGTCGATGGCAGCAAGTCTGTCATCCCAATCTTTCCGCTGCTTCGCCTTCCAACTAGTATCCACGAACAGTGCGGCCGCAAGGACAGGGGTCAAAAGGACGGTAAATGCGTCACCGAAGCCTGGCCGACGTCTAGGAGGGCGTGTGGTGGTCTTTCGCACAAGCGTAGAGCTGAGGGAGTCGGTCGACGAGAGGTAGTGAGAGCTTCTCAGTCTTGGTCGAGACGCTTGAGCCCATAAGCCTCTCATTGCCTCGGTTGAGGCTTCTCCAAAGTTGTCGCCAGAAGTTGGTTCTCGACGGGTGAGAAAAATCGGGTTGTATGTTCAGATGGAAGTGGGCTGATCGCAGTGAAGTTCAAGTACCCTAGCGAGGCTAGAAAGAGCTGCATTGGAGCTTGGAAATTATTTTGTCTGACAGAGAAGGCCTCCAAGGGCAGCGGCGCTGTCGGATATTATACTTGACTACGGCGGTCAGACAAATGTTTTCTCCGACGCCCTCTTGCCGGTTCGTGTTCCTGCGTGTCCTGGTCGCGCATTCAATTTCACAAAGACACAATTTGCATCGATGTGAAACCGACCCTTCTCTGCGGCTAGGCTTGGATGGCTGCCAGGAGCCGCTTTCATTCAGAAAGCAGAAGTCATGAACACTCAGAAACCTTCACACTTCGCCGATCAAAGACTTACAACCTCCTCGTTGGTAGGTGGAAGTCGTTTCGGCGCAGACGCATAATCTTGGTCTTGCTCGCAGCATGGCTTCTCTACCTCTTCTTCAAGTACATGCCAACAGATCTCCCACCTGTCTCTGAACGATATGACCACCGCTACGGTCGCTTACACCCGGGGTTACGTGGTCCGTATGGTGGTGATTCTCCAGACACACTCCAAAACTCCGACCAAAGTTATGAAGGTCCTATAAGGTTCTACGAATTGGCCGCGACTTTGCAAGAGCATGGATGGATTCGAGATATGAAAGGCAATGTTCTCTTCGCCGTTTCAGACGTGAAAAGTGTGCCTCGGATTCTGCCCATGGCATGTGCAATGGCACAGCATAACAGGACCCGAGTTCACCTGGCGTTCATGGGACGCCACGCCGCAGCCTGGCCAGAGATTCGTGCAGCGAATGGGATTGAAGAATCGGAGTGTAACATATACTTGCACGATGCTCGACCTGACCATGCGGCTCAATCATCTGTGTCGAGGCTGGAAGTCAGTGCAAGTGCGAGTTTGGGACATATCCATTCAGTCATGCAATTGCATGCGGTTTTGACTACAGAACGCGAGGATGACTATTTGGTCAATGCTTTGAGGGAGAAGACATCGTCTCTTGGCCTTTCTCTCATAACTCTTCCTGCCAGCAGCCAGCAGAGTCTGTCGTGGATTTCATCCCTGGACGCTGCATCGCTCTCCCGGCTCGACAAGATCCAGATTGACATTGTCATCCAAGCGCAGCCTGAGTCCTCAGCTTCCCTGATGCGGCTTCTGCGATCAATCAAGGACGCCGACTACTCAGGATGGACGCTTCCCAGATTGACGATTGAAATCCCCAATAACGTGGACCCCTTCCTCGCCCGATACTTATCAAACTTCCGGTGGCCTGCCAATGGTGCCGGCAGCGAGAGTAGAGTTACGATCAAGCACAGGCTCGACGCAAGGCTCATGACTCCCGTGCAGGCATCTATGCGGACGGTCGAATCTTTCTATCCTTCAGCGGCCAGCACGTCTCACCTTCTGTTGCTCTCGCCCAACACCGAGCTCTCACCCAACTACTTCCAATTTTTAATGTACACATTGCTTGAGTATGGGTACGGTTCACAGAGCACAGGTCTGATCGAGCACTTAGCTGGTATCTCGCTGGATTTACCTCGATATGGACCGGACTTGAAAACGAAAGCGCCATATGGGGGACAACTTGCAAAGCCCTTCACTCTTTGGCAAGCCCCCGCCTCGACTGCGGTGCTCTATTTCGGAGATCGGTGGGTCGAATTTCACACTTTCTTGTCTTATCGACTCTTCCTCGATCCGGAGCTCGCGTCGAAGACAAAATCCACACCCACACTGTCCCACGAATATCCCGCATGGATGACACCAATGCTTGAGATGATGCAAGCACGTGGTTACTATGTTTTGTACCCGAGTTTCATGGAGAGGGAAGGATTATCAGCGGTCACGGTACACACCGAACTTCCTCAGTCCCCTGAAGAATACATTGCGGAGGGCAACGACCGAACACTTGATGATGGGGCCCCAAAGATCAATTTGGCCGATGATAAAGCGCTGACGGCGGATGACGAGATTGCACGGCTGATGCGTCAGGAACAGAAGCTATCTGGGAATTCGCTTACCACTCCTCTTTTGGAAGCCACGGTCCGACAACAAGGAATCGACTTTTCGATAGAGCGCGACATTCCATTGATGTCCTTTGATGGCGAAAAGAGAGAATGGGCGATTTCTTGGAGCCTTGCATCAAAATTCGCGGAGGATTTCGCCATTTCAGTCGGGCGATGTGCGGGATACAACAGTAACCAGGGGGGTGATACTGTCGGGTCGCTATTCTGTCTGGCAGCTACGTGACTTCTTGTCCTTCAAAGCAGCAATACCATCACCAGGACGATTTCGATATCCTCCAATGGCGTAGTCTTCAGTGTTGTCTGACAGAAAGCCTTGCGCCCACTTCCACTACTTTTGGACTCCAATCAAAGAGGAGACAGTCCGACTTGAAGACGCTCGCCAAGAGACTGCAGCGATCATGCCAATGTTATCATTCCCTCGTGGCAAATGAACCAGCGCGATTGATGTTGTCAGATCGAGTGGCTGACAAAATCGGAGCGGGAGGGGATGCAAAACTAGAGGACCAGGGGTATGGAAGTTCATGGTGGACGATCGTCTATAAGATCGAAGATCCCAGAGCACCAGAGTCGATACGGAGCAGGACCACTAGGGTGAGGGAGGAAAGTCAAACGTGCGCGCAGAGGGGATCGTCGTCCTAGGAGGGGGAACTGCACACCCGGTCTTCGTCCAGCGTTCATCTTACCCTGTGTAAGCCACACGACACAGATTGATCTGGACGATAGCCTTTTTATTCTTCTGCGCTGACAGAATCAGACTGTGGCCGTCCCTCTTCCATCCATCATTGTCAGATAAGTGATAATATTGTCGGATACCGGATGACGGATGCGGGATGCCCATTCAGACCCGCTTGTGCTTCCCCAGACTTGACAGTGGGTGACACTGATGGTTCCGTCTCTTACACACCATGGCCAAAAACCCCTCGCTGGCCTCTCACCTCGGCAAAACCATATGCTGGATCAACCAGTTGACAAGTTGAATTGGAAGCAGGGATCTGATGCTAGAGGAGGGGGGATCTTGGAGCGTGTGCCAATTGGTGATTGATGTTGCTGCGGCGTCTCGAGCGGGCTGCGGGCTGCGCTTCACGCCCAACACCCACCAACACTGGCTGCACTGGGTGCGCCGGGTGCTCACATCCCATTCCTTCTCTTGGCTGGTGTATGTATTGCGGGAGGATTACTCAGGATTGGCACGGTAGAAATATGCTCTTGTTCTTTTTTTCGTTATCATGATGGCAAAGGAAGAGGGTATCTGGCGAGTTGCTCTCAAGCTCGATGCGTTCGGCTAATGCATGGCTGCATTGGGTTGAGCCCACCTGGCGCACCTCGCCCACTAGCCTTGGACTAGCCTCCCTCGCGATGTGCTTGCCCCGGAACCCATCAACAGCAGCTACCGGTGGCTACCAGTGCCCTAGACGCCATTCTTGGGGCCCTCCCACCAACCACAGCCCCCGGGTCTCCACCACCCTGAACCGCCCCCCTCGCGTTCCCAGGCATTGCTAGTGGTCCATTGGCACGGAAGGGCCAGCCTAGGCCTGGCTCCCCCCGAACATTGCTGGGGAGTGCTGGGCGATGCGGGCGATGATGGGCTGATGAGCTGATGGGCGACTGGGAGGCAGCTCCCCTTCCAACACTTGGTGCCCCACCATCCCTCCATTCCTCCCCCTCTCTACCCAGCAGGGCCAGTATCCGTCCCGCCCTTCAGGAATCACCTCGTCTACTGTGGATCTCCTCTCTCTTCCTTTCTCCAGACTTTCCCACCCGCTGAGCATTCCACAACTCGACACGAACGACTTCTATCTGAATACCTTTGGATACTTCCTTTGCTCTTGTCGTTGCGAGACCACACGATCCAGAACCAGAGTCGTCCGCTCTATCTCTTCCTCCTCCCTCTACATCTACCACGACAGTATCCTCGCACGCTCGTGTCGAACTATATCCTGCCCTCCATTGACCCTGCCTCTCTACCTACACCACTCTATCGTCCCGGTTGATAACATTGTGGGAGCGCTCAGCGAGCAAACACCTCAGTCTTTGTCTCTTCTGAAACCTAGTATCTTGGTTGATGCTGATTGACGGAGACCTCGGGCCAGCACGTGTTCGACTCTTTCCTCGATACCTGCTGTTGTGCAGGACCGGCTAGGACTCCTGTAGGCGCAGGACGAGCCTGGGGAGGGGTTTCCTGCTCAGGATAACAACCCGAGCCACATCCCACCTCGTCTCCCCCGTCAATCACAACAAGATGGCTACAGTGGTGGTCCAACAACAACCCCAAGTTCGACAGTCGACTCCTCCACCCGTCGGCCCGACTATTTCACTGCATCAAGCTCGATCTTCGACACCCATCCCCAACAAACACTTACCTTACTGTCCACCAGGACCGGTTCCCTCCCAGACGCAAATCACTCCTCCCAACTCTCCTCCATTACGAAACGTCGCCCCCAAACCCACCTCGCTCCTACACCCCGCAAGCAACTACCAGAGGCTGTGTAATTCTCCGCCCATATATGGCATCTCGGCCAAACAGGTAGCTGAAGCCCTCGAACACTATTCTCGTCAGCCCCTTCCACACCCGTCGTCGGTCTTTCCATGGCTCCATGGGCTCCATCCCGAGAACCATATCCAATTGGCCTTCTTTGTCGCAAGGAAAAAGTCGCTGCGAAAGATACCAAAATGCTTGCGAGGGATAACCATCATCAAGGCTGGGGGCGACCTGAGTCGCTCGAGGATCAAAGGGGCTATTTGCCCAGATGAAGTCCTCAACTTGTCAGAGAGCAATGGCCGGGGCTTCGTCGACTGTGACCCACGAGAAGGCTTCTCGGTGCGCAATTTCCACATCCAAGCGGCCAAGATGGCAATGGTGTCCGACATCATCGTATATGGCGATGAAGACACAGACCACCGCATCATCAAGTCTGTTGCCGAGAGAACAGCATCTGTGCAGAAGAAATGGCGAAAGGAACTGGAAAGCATCGGCCAATGTCCCGAGCCTTTCAATACCTTCGTGTTGACGCAGTCTTTTGAAGACTTTGAGCAGTTGTATCCGGAATTGGTGGCCGTTGATTCCCAAGGCAGATATCAGGACCATACACTTGATTTCCTCCAACAAGAAAGACGAGAAATGTGCGCCATGTCCAAGGCCTCGGAAATCTCACATGCCGTCTTCCAAGGCCCGTCGCCGGGGCCCTACACCGACCCACCGTCCAGCCTTGATGACCCGAGTTACGATCTCTATGTGGAAGCCAGTGATCATGCATCACTTCCAGACGACAAACTCCTGGCTGCGAAATTGAAACAGCTCGAAGAACGCGAGGAGGACGACGACCCAGTCCACATGACATTCCCCAGCTCAGGAAGTATTCTACCACCATCATGGTCCCAAGTCGAAGTCGACGGCATCCTGCGTATGTGTCGGTGGCTCTACAACCTCACTCATACCATGAAACCTGTCAGCAAATGCAGCGACGAAGACGGCGACATTCAGATGTCTGAATTCGCACCTCGTCCCCGGCGGGTCCTGTTGCACTGTGCAGATGGGTACACCGAAACCTCCATGCTGGCCGTCGCGTACTTCATGTACGCTGAAGGTGTTCCCCTACACGAGGCGTGGATTCGCCTGCACTGTGAGAAGCGACGCAATTTCTTCGCTTACCCTTCGGACGTCTCTCTGTTGAATGCTATTCAAGGCCGCATTCTAGGTGAATCGCCAAAATTCGATTCCTCAAAACTCTCCTCCATAGAAGCGCCGGCATGGCTGGCCAGGCTGGACGGTAGCTTGCCAAGTCGCATCCTCCCGTACATGTACCTGGGCAATCTGACACATGCGAATAACCCTCAAATGCTCAAGCTATTGGGCATTCGCCGGATTTTGAGTGTCGGGGAGCCGGTCTCCTGGACGGAACAGGAAATCAACGATTGGGGACGAGAAAATCTGCTGATGGTGGATCGTGTGCAGGACAATGGGATCGATGAACTGACATTGGAGATGGAAAGGTGTCTAGAGTTCATTGGTAGGCTCCCCCATCACGTATGCAGATTGTGGGTGACTGACGCACTCTCCAGAACGAGGAAAGCAGGATGGCACCGCGACACTAGTCCACTGCCGTGTTGGCGTTTCTCGCTCTGCAACCATTTGCATTGCCGAAGTCATGGCAAGTCAGGGGCTGAGTTTCCCTCGTGCATAGTAAGTCTCTTCCGGTCATTCACACTCAGGATCCAATACTCATATCAGCTTCAGCTGCTTTGTCCGCGCCCGCCGCCTCAACGTGATCATCCAACCACACCTGCGCTTCGTCTACGAATTGATGAAATGGGACGAGTTACAGCAAGAGAAACGTGGTGTGGTCGTCAAGAGGGAACTTGAGTGGGCGGCCGTGGCGAGGGAGATTGCTGCGATGAACAGACCTTACGCACGGTCATGATCCTCGAGTGTTCCAAGATGGCGCCTGTTGCCGGTCTCGGTCTCTTGTCAAGCCCGGGTTCAGGTTCATCCGTTGACTCTGCCTCCGCCGGACGAGCGAGTAGAGGTTCAAAAGAGCTGGAATGAGCCTCATACAGCTGGCCTCCTAGCCAGACAGGCGGACTCTTTTGACACCTGCTCAGGAGTCGTTGATGTTGCTGTTGCTGTTGTCATGATATTGTGTTGATGTACGATGAGCCAAATGTGTCATGACTACAGATGTTACGGATTGGATATATGATGGATGACGGACGTTGTACATGACTGTTATGAAGAGCTGATGATGGGCGCATCTGGACCAAACATTTTGGAATCAGCTTTTTATAAGGCCTCGATGGCAGGGCGCACAATGGGCGGGCTTGGGCTCTGTGTTGAGATCCTTACATTGGGTAAGGGAGGCTCTACATTCACGCCATGCAGTGTCGCGCTGTGCCCTGGCCCTGTGTGCTCTATAGCCGAAAGCCAAAGCACCTGGCGCTCGGTTTTGTTTCTTGGATTTCGCTATAAAAGCTGCTGGGACACCGGGGTTGGATCTGGGAGCCAGCTCAGGGGATGATGCTAGCAATGAAGGAACCTCAATTTTCAGCCACCAAAAAGGCTCCTACACTTATTTTACTTCCCTCACTAATATCTGGTCGTGCATGTTCCCAATTAACCACATTATTTATATCTGCAATAGTCAATAGTCGACAGTCCTAGGAGGGAGGCAGAGAAGTTGATTCCCCCTCCCTCTTTTCCTTTTGCTGTGCGTGCCGTGCCTGACCGTCCCGCCCACAACAAGCAAGACAGCATTTTTATTCCCTACAACTTGTCCGCCTTTTCCCTCAACTCGTCGGCCAGCCGGCCCAAATACGCCCTGACAATGTCCTTTGGGATGATGCCCATGTCCAGCGCACCCTCGGCACTGCCGGTAGCTGGCTGTAAAATTTTGCCCTTGCCCTTGCCCTTGCCCTTGCTTTTGCCGTTCCCGTTCCCGTCCTCATGTGCGTCCTGGGGTTTCAGCGTGCTGTCGCCGCCGCCGTCATGGTCGTCGTGGTCAACCTTGAGGAAGCGGCGCACAATCTTTTCCAGGTCCCGGCGCCCGTCCTCGTACGCGGCGAGGTCGCGGTTGCCGTAAACGTCGCGGCCTGCGGCGTACTTGTGCGGGTTCAGCGTGCGGAAGAAGACATTGACCGAGATGTTGATTTTTGAGTCCGAGCTCGCGTTCGTGTTCGTGTCCGGGAGGTGGTGGGCTTCGTGGAGAGCATGGGCTTCGCTTGGTTTATCTTCGGTGATGGTGGTGGTTGCTGAAGGAGATTCCAGTGTGGGCTGGGGTAGGGGTGCAGATGTGGAGGCCGTTGCGGACGCCGATGCGGACGCCGATGCTGATTCTGATGTTGATGTTGATGTGGAAGTAGAAGCTGATGCTGATACTGATGTTGATAGTGAAAGCGGCTCGGGTTTTGTTGGAGCAGGCAGTGGTGTCCCTGTGTGCGCCCACAACGGCGGGATGTACAACGCATCACCTGGCTTTAAAATAGCAACGTGCGGCTTCGTATTTGGCACGAACCTCGCCGTGTCTTCGCCCGATCCTGGCAGTTGAGTCGGCTCGAAGATGTCGATACTGGACGTTGTCGAACCGGGCGGGAAATTTAGATGTTTCAGATCCCCCGGTGGGAACAGGACAAGTTTTCGGGTGCCCCGGATCTGGAAGAGAACGTTGGCCATCACATCATAATGTAACCACATGTTCACATTTGCGCTGATACGGAGAGGGCTGCTGTGCTGGTTATTCTTCACAAAGGAGAGCGCGTGCGGGACATGGAAATCAGGCGCGAGCTCGGGCCAGTCGGTGGAAAGGTCGGCAGGCAAAGTTGTTGGATTGGTGCTGGAAATCGAACGGAGGTACATGTGCGCATTTGGGTCTGATTCGAGTTGGTTAATGAATTCAAGAAATGAGGTCGTCTTGTACGCAAAATCTTTCCGTTGGAAGTTCATCGTCCGGCCCGACGCCGAATGGACGACTATGGATTTCGAGGGTGCAATTTTTGAGAGGAGATATGCTGCCGTCCAAGAAGATATACATGGGCCAATATCCAGGTTTGAGAGGAGTTTGGGCCTGCCCTCCCCCAGAACGCGTGTAAAATCTTGCTCCGATTCAATCTTGATACGCTCAATGGCAGTTAAGATGCGTGCCGCTGAAGCACCCTGCGGCGTTGACTGAGGGTCTGGTTTTCTGGCTTCTGGCTTCATCATCGCCCAGTGTGAGCTCAGTCCTGCTTCTCGGTCATATAGAAGCCAACAACCAGGGTTCCAATATGCGCCGAAGCTGAAACAAGTCGCCCCTCCACCGATAATCAGAGTAGTCTGTCGTGCCGTGTAATGTGTTGAGTGGCCGATAAGGAAAGGACGAGGGACATTTGGGTCTCTCTTGGGTAAAACACAGGCGACCCTGAACTCCATCTCCTTCTCGTACTCGTTGAAGGCAGAGAAACTACCGACGATGGAGAGGATCTCGTAGTCCTTGGGGATGCAGCCATGTTTTGCTACACCACCGATGAGCAAGATCTCGTCTCTGATGACGCTGTAAGAGGCCCCGAGGCGATTCAACCATGGCCAGATGCCCGCTGAAGCGTCCAGAGCCGTGGATACCCTGAAATTGATTCCCATGACTTTGTTGTCCCGGATGATCAATCTCCATTTCCATAGCCCTTGACAAATGACTCCATCCTGACGCATTCCGCCTAGGAGGAGACCGTGGTTAAAGCCCAGGCGGACGAAGGATGCTCCAAAGCGCGGCATCGGGTCGGATTTGAGACTGCGGAGAACTTGCCAGCCGTTCTCCTTGTCCCACAGCAGACAGTCAATCGCAATCCGTGTTGCTGAAGTTTTCCCTCCAAACACGACCACGCCATACTGATCATAAGGAAGTACCACAGCGGCTGCTCGATGCCGGAAACGGGGTTCTGGAAGATCATGGACCCTCTCCCATTTCGTGTCCGTTTGGAGCCAGCAATCCTTCATGGGCGATGATGGTGAACCTCGACCGCCGACGAGAAGGTTCTGTCCATTGCGGAGTGTCGTGATAGTATGGCAGCACCTGGCACCTACTTCCTCTGGTGGGACTGAGGGATAAGGGAGTGTGGAGTCAGGCGAAGTGTAGACGGAAGTAGATGACAAGCGACCTCGAAGGCCAACACCGCCGTGGACGGCTATAGCATCTTGACCTGGGACTATAAAAGCTGAGCCATGATGCGTCCTTCCTTCTTTTTCCGGATTCGCAGAATATTTGTACGCGAACCACTGGGTATTATCTCTGTGGGGTGAAACGGTCCTTGCTGACATGTCTGACGCCAGACTATCAACTGATGCCCTCCTCGACCGCTGTTGCTCTGGCATGAGAGGCTCGGGACCTGTTTGCGCGATTATTAGGCAGTAGTGAGAGGCGAATAGAGCGAATTCCTCCCTATATTCCTCCTTTTTAGTACATAAGTGGTTTGAGTGTATCTGGATTGACTCACCATTCGTCGAATTCCTCAACTTCATCCAGAGAAATCCTTTGAGATGGGGACAGAAATCTGGGATCAGCCCAAAGCTCCCATAGGTTTTGTATCTCAATATGAGGGAATCCGGCGTCCTGGAAGCGCAGTGTCTGGGTGTGAGTGCCAGGATAAGTGAGTACGGAGCGAAGTGGTGTTCCTAGTTTGGCAAAGTGTTTCAACATGGCCGCCGTGAATGGATTGTCTGGACGATCTGGTGACTGTTGTTCAAGCAGGCAGAATGTCACATCTGGGCACATCAGTCACTCCGTACACTACCGGGAAGAGTGAAGTATACCTGGCGACAACGTGGAAGTCCAAGCGATCAGGGCATCGGCGTCTTTGGTAGCCATGTAGGTGATGCTGACTTCGGCGAGACATAACACAAGGCATTGATCGATATCTACAACAGACCTCAGAAGGCGCTCCAACCTTGAAGGGTTTCGTAGGTCACATCCGATTGCGACGTAGACATCCGAGTCCAGCACAACACCCTTCCCTGAACCCAAGTCCGACGTGGTCGAGAGCATATCTTTCATTTTGGGAGTGTTCATGATAATCTCTCGCTTGCTGATCATGAGCTCTTCGAAATCGACATCGATGAATTTGGTGTTGGCACACAAGTCTGGATGCTGAGCCATCCATTGGAATGGGAGGGGGTCGCTGCCAGAGTAAGTCGCGCTTGATCACCCCGGACGGGCTATCGGCATCCTTACTCACTAGCCACAGCCCAGATTGACGACGACCTTCTTCAAGTCAGAGGGCTTTTCCAGGAACTGCCTGACTACCCAGTCTATGGCTCTCATGCGAAGCCAGTATCCACGGTTAATGGTAGGAGACCGGCGGATCGGTTTTTTCACAAAATAACGATAAAAGTGCGGTTGAGGAAGGTAGAGCTTCTCGACACTTCTTTTGGAAACGATGCTGCTGTTGTTTGTCTATACACAACCCTCTGTTAGTTCGAGCGAGCCAAGTATACGCGGAGTGACGTACGCCCATAACGAGGCCGGCGTTTTTTTCCATGGGGATCTCATCGCTGGCGCTTCCGTCCTGGGGAGACACGGGGGAGTCCATCTTGATCTCCGTTGGGCCCTTTGCAACATCTCAAAGAGACGACGGAGGAAGAGAAGGTCAATGAAAATGCAAAGTCAGCGTGCGTGAGTCACTGCATGGCATGAAATCGTCACTTGGGAAAAAGATCGAAGTCCGCTGCGATATTCGGCCTTGGCACTGTACGCATTTCTGATTGGCGTGGGTGAATTGCCTTCCACCTGGTGATATTTGCCTCCGTTTTCAACCTCTTGCTAAGCAACCCCTTCACGACGGGCGACGATGACTGGGAGTATCTAATGCGGCAAGACGTGGTTGGAGTGTGAAGAGAAGGTTCTAGTAACTCACCAAGGCACCACCACGCGAATTCCCACCACAAGACGCTCCGTCCGACCGGAGAAAGAGCAGCACAACCAAGCAGCACTTGCAATTCACAAGCCATCGAAGCGAACAAGACCAGGGCATCATGGACACGCCTGAACCATCCTTGAAGGCACTGTTCAACCAAGCAAAGAAACAGCAAGAGGGTTTGGATAGCCTCGACCCTCGAAGCGCAGCCTTCAAGCACGCACTCCAATCCATCATCGACAACCTCGAACAATGTCGCAGGTTGATCCAAGACCTCTCTTTGTTCAGCACGAATGAAGAAGTTGAAGACATCTCTACGCAAGATCTACAGTACGTATGGGCACGGCCGCGACGTCGCTGATCCGCTTCTCGGCTGACCTTGGCCTCAGATACCTGACGGTGGACTGTCTACTGGCAGAAGCCAAGATCAGAGGGTACGGTGACAACAGGCAGTCATCATTGCAGGATGCGGCGGGATTATTCGAACAGTTTTTGACCCGACTAGATCAATATGGTCTACTAGGGGCATCGGATCGGGAACTCTACGAACGCTACCTCGAACAACGCAGTTCATTCCGGATAGTCTCCTCCAACAGCCCCGAGGAGAAACGTAGGATTAAGATTTCTCGCTTCCAGGAAGAAAAATCTTTGAAGCAGAGACTCCAGGTTTGTGCCCGTCTATCGCCATCAAGTCACGAGGTGCACTAACAAAACAGTATCTGAGAGACGAATCGAACAAATCAAATGTCGACGACGAGACTATTCGGAGCCTGTATCTAGCCGAAATCGCTTTCTTAGTCAACAAGGCGTTCTCCTCTCTGGACATGATAACACAGGAATTGGAGATTTTGTCTCAAATGCGGCACGCTGAGCCAGCCAGGCAAGGGTCACCACCTTCAGACCAGAGAGTTCCGGGGAGACCAGATTCTTATTCGGAACGTTTAGATGGTCCCGCCACAATGGCAGGCCTGGGAAAGAGAGGAGGGCCTTTACTGAGCACAAGTGGAAAACCTCTCCAGCCATTCACCATAACAGACAAGAGGACCCAATTGCGCCAGGGCGTATTTAGGCCAGGCCACAACCTCCCAACAATGAGCATCGACGAGTACCTCGAGGAAGAGCGGCGGAGAGGTGGCATTATCGACGGTGGAGGAAACGCCAATGCGCCTCAGCCCGAGCCCGATGAGGATAATATGGAGCAAGTTGACGCTGCCACGATGAAGGCACGAGAGTGGGACGAATTTGTTGAGGCCAATCCGAAAGGAGCTGGAAACACGTTGAACCGGGGATAATTTGACTGGCTTCAATGCTCCTATTCGGTATTTGCCGTAGACCGGATTCTGGGGCCGGTAAATCATAGTTTCAATTCCAGCTCTTCCATGTGTCGCTCATCACTCAAAGCAGAAGCAGTGGTGCGCAGCGAATGAGCCCAGATCTGTTCCTGAATACCTGCTTTCACGTCTCTTGAAGGTCTGCGACGGTGGTAGGCCGCTTCGCTTTGATATCTGCGAGAATTTTGTCTGCACCCCTGCGAAGAAGTTCCGCCGCAGCATTGATCCCAAATGTATCTGCGTCATTCCGGCTCTGGACCTTTTCTGTCATGTCAATTTCGGCCTTTTCTTTGCCATCTGTGCTGACCACGATTGCTTTCAGTTGAAGAAGCGAGCCACCGTCTTCCTTCTTGATCCATGCCGTCTCCACCCCCAGTGGAGCGCTGCATCCTCCTTCCAGTGTCCTCAAGAGGCTTCGTTCGCTGGCTGTCGCGAGGTGAGTCTGCTGGTGGTCGATTAGGTTCAACATCCCCTGCACTCGGTCGTCGGACAACCTGTTCTCAATGCCAATGGCGCCCTGGCCAACCGCATAAAGCATTCCACCATTTTTGGAGTCCAGGTATTGAGTGATCCGACCACCAAGTTCAAGGCGAATAAGTCCGGCGGCGGCGAGAATTAAAGCATCAAAGGGTCCATCCTCAGCGTCGAGCTTCGCTAGGCGAGTGCCCACGTTGCCTCTGACGTCGACCACTCGTAAATGTGGATATTTGAGTGCGATTTGCGCAGTCCGTCGGATGGACGAAGTCCCTATAACAGACCCAGCAGGAAGATCCTCTATTTTACATGCAGGTCTTCCAGCTTTGACGACGAAAGCGTCTCTTGGGTCTTCTCGCGCCAGAACCGCGCCAACCTCGCATCCTGGAGGTAACAGAGTGGGAACATCTATTGGCATACGTTAGTATAGCAGGCGGTAGCTCAACTGTCCGTATCCGGACAAAGTGCAAACCTTTGAGCGAGTGAACTAGAAAGTCCAGTTGTCCCTCGATCATGAGAGTCTCCAACTCGTGAGTCCAAATGTTCTTCACGGGCATGTCCTTGAAGGGCGTGATTTTGTCAATGTCGCCTGCTGCAGTATCCCGCGCCTTGATGGCGTAGACATACTCGGGACAGGCGGCCGCCAACGCCTGGACGACTAGATCTGTCTGTACCAGGGCGAGTTTGGACTTTCGGGTCCCGACATTAAACGTGTTCTTGGAGCCCGACTCAGCAGCGTTGGCCGCGGCATGTTCACCTGACACAACGGCGAGGGTTGTCATGCTTGCCCGTAGCAGGTGTGTGCTCAAGCTTAGGGTAGAACAGATGAAGCAAATCTTTCGTGGAGCGAAGTGGAACTTGGTCCAACGTCGCGCGGAGCCTTGCCGCGCCAGATATGGTCACGTGTTGCGTTCCCACCTCTCGCGTGCCGTGCCTCGGCAAGCACCTGTGATCCGAGTGGAAGTGGTGATCAGTATGGACCTAGACTCCCGATGCGCATCGAGCATCTTCCATGCGGCAACACCAAGGGACGAACTGATGCCGAATCAGTAATCTACCCCCCGGCATATCAATAAGAACATCATTCTTCCCTGCTCTGTCACTTTCCTTTCCTTCACCACCCTCGACCCTTCCGCCACATCAACATGGGCTACACAGCCAAGGCAACGATACCTCTTATTCCGCTGGCGAAGGACTCCGTCCTTCTGCCCGGTGTCACTCTCCGCATCTCAGTATCCAACCGTGCCGACATCCCCCTGCTCCTATCATCAGCTTTCCAACGAGCTACGAAGTCGAGAACTGGATCGGCGCAGCTGCCCGTCGGCTGCGTTCCTTTGAATTCGCCCTTCCTGAGCCCCGATGGCAAGGAACTGCTCGACAGCGCGGCCAAAGAGAGTAGCCGGGACTATGACTATGCCGACATTGATCCGGGCAAGGCTCGAAAGAAGGATTTATATGGATACGGCACGCTGGCGAAGATTGTCAGTGTCCAGGGGAGCCCCAATGCCGATCCGTATTTGCTCGTGGAAGGAATCCAGAGATTCAAGATCGACAAGATTAGACATGAAAGACCATACTTCGAAGCCGAAGTCACATTTTATGAGGACGAAGTCCCAGACCTTAACGATGGCGACCTTCGCGCCAGTTTTACTCGACTCAAGCAACGATCTCGTGAGCTTCTGACACTGCTACGGCTCTCATCTCTCTTCCGCCCTGCATCTATGGCGCTGTCTCCTTTAATCGTCCGCCGCTTCGAGTTGTTCATTGCGAAAAAAGACCTTTCTCAAGCTGGCCAATTGGCCGACTTCATGACGGATATTGTGGAAGCAAGTTTTGAAGAGAAGCTCCGAATCTTGAGCACACTCGATTTACACGAGAGGCTGGAGCGAGTTCTTGCCCTGCTCAACAAGCAGATCTCAGGCATCAATGGGAACATTAAAGTCACCACCATTACCTCCACAACCCTGCCATCCAATATTGGTGTCGATATCTCCGACCTGAATCAAAAACAACGTGAAGCTCTGGCCAGGCGGGCAATGTCTGGTCTCAACGGCATGACACCGCCCGGAATGCCTGGCGTTAATCGAGGTGGTGATGACGACGAGGATAACGAAGTTAATGAAGTTGAGGAACTCAAGAAGAAGGTGGCCGAGGCTGGTCTGTCGCCTGAGGCTCAAAAGGTTGCGGAGCGCGAACTGAGACGACTGAAGAAGATGAACCCAGCCAACGCTGAGTATGGTGTGATTCGCACGTACGTTGAAAATTTGGTCGAGATACCTTGGACGAAGGTCACCGATGATCAGCTTGGCGCTGATACCCTGAAACGCGCTCGCAAACAACTTGACGACGACCATTATGGGCTAGAGAAGATTAAGAAGAGACTGCTCGAATACCTCGCAGTCTTGAAATTGAAGCAGTCTGTCAACGCCGATGTCGATCAACAAATTGCCCGTCTCACCAAGCAGCTTACTCCGGCTCAAGATGGGGAGGAAAGGGAGATTGAACAGATCCCAGACAATGAGAGAGATGCAGCAACTGCCAAACTTCATGTCCTCAAATCGAAGCGTATGGTGGACAAGTCTCCAATTCTCTTGTTGGTTGGACCACCTGGCACCGGCAAGACCTCTCTGGCAAAGTCCATCGCACTCTCCCTTGGCCGAAAGTTCCACCGTATTTCCCTGGGAGGTGTTAGGGATGAAGCAGAAATCAGGGGCCACCGGCGGACGTATGTGGCTGCTATGCCAGGTCTAATTGTTAGTGGCCTGAAGAAAGTCGGCGTGGCCAACCCGGTCTTCCTCCTTGACGAAATCGATAAAGTGAGCACGAACAATTTCCATGGCGACCCTTCAGCTGCAATGCTCGAAGTTCTTGACCCAGAACAGAACCACAGTTTCAATGACCACTACGTCAACATCCCTATCGATCTGAGCAAAGTTCTCTTCATCGCTACCGCTAACTCCCTGGATACTATTCCAGCGCCCTTACTCGATCGAATGGAAACAATCCGCCTGGCTGGCTACACAACGGTTGAGAAGCGTCACATCGCCAAACAACATCTTATACCCAAACAAATCCGCACCAATGGTCTCTCGGAAGGACAAGTCGTCATCCCTGACGATGTCGTGGACACGATAATCACATCTTACACACGTGAGTCTGGAGTCCGCAACCTCGAGCGTGAGATCGGGAGCGTGTGTCGCTACAAGGCTGTTCAGTACGCCGATGCCCGTGACGCAAATGACACATCGAAATATAACCCCGTCGTCCGTATTGAGGAACTCGAAGACATTCTCGGAATAGAACGTTTCGAAGAAGAAATCGCCGAGAAGAAATCTCGTCCCGGCGTTGTCACGGGCTTGGTTGCCTATTCATCTGGTGGGCAAGGAAGCATTCTCTTCATCGAAGTGGCTGATATGCCTGGAAAAGGACGTGTGCAACTCACAGGAAAGTTGGGAGATGTGCTCAAAGAATCTGTCGAAGTTGCACTTAGCTGGGTCAAAGCTCACAGCTACGATCTCGGCCTGACACATGATCGGGATGAAGATATCATGGAGAAACGTGCCATTCATGTCCACTGTCCCGCTGGAGCGGTGCCCAAGGACGGACCAAGTGCTGGATTGGCGCACACTGTCGCGCTCATTTCGCTATTCTCCGGCAAGACTGTACCGCCGACAATCGCTATGACAGGCGAAGTGAGTCTGAGAGGACGAGTCATGCCTGTCGGCGGCATTAAAGAGAAGTTGATCGGCGCCCACCGCGCGGGCGTCAAGACAGTGTTGTTACCGGCCGGCAACAAGAAGGACGTCAAGGACGTGCCCGAGGAGGTGAAGAGGGATTTGGAAATTGTGCATGTCAAGTAAGTTATTCCTGTCCTGCGCTGTCTTCTGTCGATTCGTACTTGTCCTGCCTCTTCGTGGAAGCGGAGTAGAGTATCGCTAACAATCTGTCTGTAGGCATGTCTATGAAGCTCTTCGCCATATCTGGCCCGATTCTCATTGGGCCTCGGATCGACATTTCGCTGAGATCGAGAGCAGATTGTAAGCTATTCGATGTGCGTGGTTAATTAACGCGTGGAGTGGTTCTCCGTTAGGCTCCGGATCGTTTAGCATGCGTCAACCTCTCTTTCCTATAGCTTCTTTCGGTCTTAATCAGATCTACTGTATGCTGTATCATCTCATGTTCACTTCTCGCTGGGCTCCGTGGTGACACCCTTGGGTTTGAATGAGTGCGTTTGTTTGATGTAGCCTGCCAATCCTACAAGGTTGGACCTCGCAACCCTCGCTAATCCTGGTAGCTATGCAACGCAGAATGTGTCGTGTTAATGTACAAATCTTCGAGTCCCATCCTTTCTCCACAGCAAATGCTATGATAATGTCATGAAGGTGAACTCGTCGGTTGTGACGGCCGCGAATTGGCGTGCGAACCCAATCCTCGCATAGCCCGCCAATCGTCCGCAAAATTCTGCCATGTCGGCGTCCATTTCATCTTCCCCTGCAGTAATTGTTGAGCTTGCAGGGCCATGGCCTTCCTGTGCTTCAGATCTGGGTTCATCATGCCCCATTCGGATTCTTCTCGGTTCTTCTCTACGATGGCTTTCATGGATTCCCAGTATCGTTCGTGCTCCCAGCTGTGTGGCGGAATTGCGTTAGCAGGTGTCCAAGATACAAGAACAAAATTCGCTGTTCACTGGGGGAGAAGCTTACGGTTCTAGGTCCTCTGGTTCGGCGGGATAGACAAATGGTTTCGCCAGGAGACATGTCATTTTCTTTTTGCTGGGCGGACGAAATAGTTTGCCCTGGGAGTATTTATCTCTGCCGTCTTTTCTCTCTACTTTTTGTTGAATCACCACGCTGCGGATATGGAGGACATCGACGCCATAGACATCTTTCAGGTAAGCTCTGAGATCGATTTTGTTGAAATGGAGGGGGACGTCGAAGGCGGCGTAGCGAGGACCCAGATGTGGTGTACGCATCAGGACCACTGTGTCTTTGGGATCCGGGCTGCAGTAGCTTATCAGATGGGCTCTTATGGAGGTGTAGGCAAACTTACAAGTAAACCTGCCGGCGCATGCTGAGAGGGACGTTGTGTGGAAGAGCAAAGTATCGAGCAGGGTCCATCAATATTCGCAGAATTGTCGATTTCTCGAAATTTATCGAGCCAGCAGCGATGAAAGACTTGACATCACTTGATACCTCGCGCAGGCTCGGGTGGGTATCCATGAACCTCTCAAGATTCTTCCTGTCCAGCTTCCACCATTCCATATTGAGCCCGTCGTCGCGAAAGACAGGAGCGAATGCTCTTTGCTCCTCGGCATTGAGGTTGTTCCACGAAGACTTCTTCCACTCTTGAAGCTTTTCCTTACTGACCAAGGCGTGTGCTCGGAAGAAGGTTAGACCTTTGCTGGTCTTGATGCGTCGCTTTGCGTTCCATAGTCGTGGTCCGTCGCCGTCTCTAGGACGAACCCGGTGTGTTAACAGAACTGGCGGAGTCCGCTTGATGTGTATCTTCGCACGAGGTGCTGTAGCACGGGGCATCGTGCAACTCTGAGATTGTAAGAAGCGAGGTACTGCGAGAAGTGTCACTGGTGTTCGCTGTCAATGGGAGCAGCCTCTCGATGAACTTTTTGGGAAGCTGGCGGCATTCTGCACACGGGGAAGGTGCGCCGAGGCTTTAGAGCCTCGTCCAACACATCGAACTGTTGTACCACCAGTATTGCCCCCCGGAGGCGCGCTGCCGGACATTATTTTGGTGGATCACCAATTCACCCTTCGACCTATTCCGTAAGCTCCTTGACGCCTGGATCTGCCCTCGCCCAACCCTCTCCAACTTGTACCTGCAACAAAAGCGATTCTGGTCTGCAAAAGATTCAGAACACTCTCATTCACCTCCTCAAATCGCGCAACCTGACAGACAGTGTACCTCAGTTTTCATCCAACTCTTATTGGCCACTGTAGGCCCTGGTGCAAGATGGCGCAGGATGAGAAGAAGCCCACCGCCGCAGAGAAGGGCAAAGGCAAGGCGGAGGATGTACCGATGGCAAACGGAGAACATGCAGCGGAACAAGGAGATAAGAAGAAGGCAGATGGCAAGCATGACGAGCCTGCGGTCGAAGAGCTGAGCGAGGAGGACCAACGACTCAAAAGTGATCTCGAAATGTTGGTTGAAAGATTAAAGGAAGACGATCCCTCTCTCTACAAGCCTTCGATTGATGCCATCAAAAACTTCATCAAAACCTCGACCTCCTCTATGACGGCTGTCCCCAAACCTCTCAAGTTCCTGCGCCCTCATTATGACGAGATTGCTGCTCTTTACGATAAATGGCCCGCTGGTCCCGACAGAGACTCTCTTGCCGATATGCTATCGGTACTGGGCATGACTTATGGAGAAGAGGATAAGCTGGAGACATTGAAATACAGGCTCTTGTCAAATAAATCGGACGATCTGGGGTCTTGGGGTCATGAATACATCAGACATCTCGCACTGGAGATTGGCCAGGAATACCAGAATCGCTTGACGGACGAACGAGAGGTTGGCGACCTGACGGAGCTTGCCCTCTCTTTGGTGCCATACTTCTTGAGCCACAACGCCGAAGCGGATGCTGTGGATCTGTTGAGCGAACTCGAGATGATTGAAGAGATCCCCCGATTTCTGGACGAGAATACCTTTGCGCGAGTGTGCCTGTACATGGTCAGCATGGTCAATCTCCTAACGTACCCCGACGACGTTGCCTTCCTCAAGACCGCACACGACATCTACGTCAAATATAACAAGCTCGCTCAAGCAATGGTGCTGGCAATTAGGCTGAATGACCACGAACTCATACGACAAGACCTGGAATCGACAGATGATGTTGCATTGAAAAAACAGCTGGCCTTCCTCATCGCTCGGCAGCGAATATCGATAGACGTTCCATCCGAGACTAAGGACGAGCAAGAAATCGCCGAGTGCCTCGGAAACACCCAACTTCCCAATCATTTCAAAACCCTTGCAAAAGAATTGAACATCCTGGAGCCTAAGGTGCCAGAAGATATTTACAAGACACATTTGGAGAGTGGGCGAGGGAGCTCGGCGGCTGCAGATTCGGCCAAACACAATCTGGCGAGCGCATTTGTCAATGCCTTTGTCAATGCCGGGTTTGGTACGGACAAGCTGATGCTGGTAGAAGGTGATCAGCGACCGTGGGTATGGAAAACCAAGGACGACGGCATGCTCTCCACTACCGCATCACTGGGTATGCTCATGCAATGGGACGTAGAAGGGAGCCTAGACGTCATCGACAGATTCCAACAGTCGTCAGAAGAACCAATCAAGGCTGGTGCGCTTCTCGCGTATGGCATCGTCAACTCTGGAGTCCGAATGGAGGGCGACCCTGTCATTTCACTTTTGATCGACGACGACGTTCTCCAGAGTCCGAAACCCTCGACACGAATGGCCGCCATAATGGGTCTGGGACTGTCTTACGCTGGTTCGAACCGAGAAGATCTGCTCGATTTCTTGTTGCCCATTGTGGAGGACAGCGGCTCGCAGATACAACTGTCTGCCATGGCTGCCGTGTCTCTGGGGATGATTTTCGTTGGTTCGTCCAATCATCAAGTGGCCGAAGCGATCGCGACCCAGATGATGGACGATGACCGGCAGAAGCAGCTCAAGGATAAATGGGCGAGGTTCATGGCTCTCGGACTGGCGCTTCTCTACTTTGGCCGGCAAGAGGAGGTCGACGTCATCCTGGACATTCTGAAAGCAGTCGATCATCCCATGGCGATGCCAACCGCAACTCTGGCCTCTGTTTGTGCTTGGGCTGGAACTGGAGCCGTGCTCAAGTTGCAGGAGCTTCTCCATATCTGCAATGACCACATTGAAGAGAAGGAGGACACCACAGGCCTGCAACTTGTACAGTCTTATGCTGTTCTCGGTCTCTCGTTGATCGCCATGGGCGAAGACGTCGGGCAGGAGATGGTCCTACGCCAGTTTGGTCATTTGATGCACTATGGAGAGGCCAACATTCGGAAAGCTGTGCCACTCGCCATGGGCCTGATCAGCCCCAGTAATCCTCAGATGAAGATCTACGACACCTTGTCGAGGTACAGCCACGACAACGACATTGATGTTGCGGTTAATGCCATCTTCGCTATGGGTCTGGTTGGGGCCGGAACCAACAATGCTCGTCTTGCGCAACTCCTGAGACAGCTTGCCAGCTACTATCACCGGGACCAGCTCACGCTCTTCATGGTTCGAATCGCTCAGGGTTTGCTACATATGGGCAAGGGCACCATGTCTCTCAACCCCTTCCATACCGATCGACAAGTTCTGTCGAGAGTCGCCGCGGCAGGTCTTCTCACAGTGCTTGTCTCGCTCATTGATTCGAAACAATTCATCCTCGCCGACGCCCACTATCTCCTCTATTTCTTGGTTACAGCAATGTATCCCCGATTCTTGGTGACTTTGGACGAAGAGCTGAAACCACTGACGGTTAACGTGCGTGTGGGTCAAGCGGTGGATGTAGTCGGGCAAGCCGGGCGGCCACGCACCATTACAGGCTGGCAGACTCAGAGTACGCCAGTGTTGTTGGCGTATGGTGAGCGAGCCGAGTTGGAAGATGAGGAATACATTTGTCTGAGCAGCACGCTGGAAGGACTGGTCATCTTGCGCAAGGTCAGTCATGCCCCACACATCGATATGTTTCTCTTACTGACATTTTGCAGAATCCGGAATGGGAATCCACAAAATAGAGGGCTTGATGTGACTTTGTTTCTCGTGCATCCCACATGTTGGCCTCGGCGTAGGCGGAGGGAGAGGTCCTGGATGGATCCAGAAGAGTGTCCTTGTACCATAGATAATCTAAGAGCGAGAGGGCAAACACCAAATGTGTGGTGCATGTATTGCCGTCGGGCATCTCGACCGCTGGTCACTGTTCTCAGTTTCTCTGTACGCAGCTTGGTGAGGCTCGAGGTCGCGTGTGAAGTGACATTGGGTAGTGAATGGCGTCATCGGTCATTGGCCGGCTCAAGCCCCGAGCATCTGCCACCACATCCTCTCGTCTCTCAGGCCGCCTTCAATCGTCCGTGTTTCACTCCGCCTCCCTTGTTGAGCTGGCACGGCACACCACGTGTCGAAGATGGCGTCGCGACGGTGACTCGAAGGGTCTCCCAACATCATGACCGCACAATTCATTTCTATCTTGTATTGTTAAGCCTTGCGGACCAGAGGCTCACTGTTGCCTCGACTTGCCCTCGGCCGATCAGAAGATGCCGCCGTCCGATCCTCGCATCGCTGCGCTCGACTTCGACGCCCATCGAAAACGTGGACGCCGGCCGTCAGGCTCGCATATCCGAATTGACGATGATAACTTTGATTTCATGGGCCAGGTCGCTCAGGAGATCATTGAGCGGGATCGGATAGCCATGCGCAGGGAGGTGATACGAGTCATGAGCTTTGTTTGCGCCGTGCTCAGTTGGTATGCTATACACACTCGATATTTGGGACAGAAGGAAGAGCTCACATCTCGTGTATAGCCTATGTGCAGGGTCAATCACCTCTTTCTCCCTCTATGGCGCTCGTTTCCTCCAGGATCTGCACTACTCGCAGCTCCGAGTCAACGCAGTTTCTATCACCGCCGAGTTGGCCATGTACCTGCCAGTCCCTCTCTTTGGGTATCTATGCGATCGTTACTCCCCACCACCTCTGTCGCTTCTCTCCTCTGTCCTCTTTGGTGCAGGATATCTGCTCGCGGCCTATACATACAAGTCAGGCCCGCCCCCTGACGCTACCAAACCTGGCCACGGATGGCCGTTTGGGGTGATGATTCTAGCCTTCATCGGCATTGGGGCAGGGACCAGCTGCATGTACCTCTCCGCCGTGGCAACCTGCGCAAAGAACTTTGCCAACGCAAAATACCGAGGTTTCATGCTCGCTGTACCTATTGCGGCATTTGGGCTCAGCGGCATGTGGGAATCCCAGGTTGGCGCCCACTTGCTATACGAAAAGCTGCCTAATGGTCACAAGGGCGAGGTCGATGTGTTCAAGTATTTCATCTTTCTGGCAGGCACGCTGATTGGTGTCGGCCTTCTTGGGACATTGGGACTGCAAATTGTGGACGAGGAAGAACTGATTGATCACGGTGTGGAGAATCTTGAACGGAGCGGTCTTTTGGACGAGAGCGAATTTTACCACGACACGTCTCGTGCTCCTACTCCTGTGAACTACGGCACAATTGAAGATGACGACGAGTCTGGCGAGGGTTCTGGCTCATATTCCGACGACGACATGGACTCGGAAGCTGAACGAAACCTCTCTGAATCCCAGCTCCTCAAGAAGCGCGAACAAGACCGCCGCCTTCGCAAGAAGAAATACTGGTTACTCAATCATGCCACTCATACATTCCTTACCGATCGTACGATGTGGCTCCTCGCGGCCGGTTTCTTCCTCCTTACGGGCCCTGGAGAAGCATATATCAACAATCTCGGCACAATCATACCGACCCTGACGCCAAAGGATTACAACTATGTCGATGATGACGGCATTAAAAATCCCCCAGCAGGCCACGCAAGCACGCATGTCTCTATTATAGCCCTCGCATCGACCTTCGCGCGCCTCTTCACGGGAACACTGTCCGACCTCTTCGCTCCTCCCTCGAACCCCGACTCCCTGCCCAGCAACCGGGTCCAATTTTCTCGCCTTGTTCTGCTTATTCCTTCGGCATTTCTGCTTCTCTTCGCATTCCTCAACCTAGCCGTTCCTGCGCTCACACTCCAACATCCAAGCCTGTTCCACCTTTCGTCTTCCTTGGTGGGATTAGGTTACGGAGCATGTTTCAGCCTCGTGCCCATTATCATCTCTGTGGTATGGGGAGTGGAAAATTTTGCGACGAACTGGGGCGTTGTGGCTATGATGCCTGCTGGAGGAGCTGCCGTGTGGAGTCTGGTTTATTCCGCTGGCTATTCAGCGGGGAGTTCGCATTCTCCTGATGCCGAGAATGGCGAATGCCGAGGGTACCTGTGCTTCGCGGCGTGGGCGTGGGGATGCGCGGCGAGTGTGAGCTTGGCGATCTTCTGCTGGTGCGTCGCGTGGAGGCTTTGGAAGAGCAGAAATGTGGTCGTGTAGCATGCGGCAGGAGCGGGAGTTGAAGGAGCGCGTGGAAAGGTGAACGTCGAAGTGAATGTTTCGATCACTATTCATTCCGAAAGAGCAGGAGCCCGCATTCACCGCAGGAAGGGGAAACGGCGCGCGGATATCGAGGCTCAAGACCACAGCGAGGATGCTGAGGGAGGAACCCTCCTCTCAAGACAGCCCTGCGACATCCACGTTCGCGTGTGCTGAGCTTGAGGGACTACACCTTTGTGGAACACTGTTTTGAGATTCCTTTTCACCGAACTTACTTGACGGCCTTTTCTTCAGCAAGCGAGCGCCGCAATGTGCATTTTACGGGTGCCAGGCTGCATTAACTCTGGCGCTGGGCGTTGCTTCCTGGGCTTGAACTTCCGGTCTTGTCTGCCGAGCCTCGAGTTTTGATCACTGCATACGTATGGCACATGGGATATGGTACGGACTACATTACGGGCCTTGCTGCAGTTCCGAACAGGTGGAATTGAAATGCAGTCGATGCGGGCTGTCATGACGAAAATATACACAGGGACAAAAAGGGGGACAAGGCCACGAGAGCGAGTCAACAGCAGCCAGCGGTTGTGAGCCGAGCCTCGAAGGAGCAGAGCATGTCTGCTCGAATGGGTGCTTGACGCGGTATCACAACATACACGCATACACACACATACATATGGTCCGAGGGAGGAAGGGGCACAAGCGACAAGGTCATCTTTCTTCAAAGAGGCAATTCAAAGCAACACCCCCTTTTCCTCACCGTCGCTACTGTTTTCCATCATATCTAAAAGTTCCTTGTTTGGATCTGCCTCGAATGTCTATCCTTGCATTGCTCTTTCGCGCCCTGCGCACCGCAATCAAACCATGCCAAACCACGCCGGAAATGAGCCTTGCACCGTCAAGTCCTTGCGCTCCATCTTACTTTCGCACATGGGTATCTTTGTTGAATTTCATTATCATTATGTTCCCCCCCTTTTGACCTCCGTCCTTTCCTCTCATCCATGGAGTCGACGATATTGGGCTTCTCTTCCTTTCTTCGCCCATCTTCGCCATCATGCGCCGCCATTGGATTCGAGGCCCATGATATCTGCCCGGCTGATTTTGTCGCAGCAAAGGGTCTCGATGTCATGTCAGGACGTGTCCCTTTTGTTGGTGACTCCAAACGCAACCTGCGAATGGATTGCATTGCACGTTTCCCCGGCGCCTCAATCCACCAGGTGTCATTTCCCCCAGCGCCATGCCGATAAAGCAGACAAAACCTAGGATCCTAAAACCAACAGATCATCAAATCAAACCAAATCCCAGGCCGCGACGCCAGTAAATCCCATGCCGACTCTACCCTTGCCTTCGCGGAACTCCATGACCGTAAGCCCTCGAGCATCCTGCCTATTCCCAAAAGTCGTGACTGCAAATAGCGTAATGGTCTGTCCCGGTGCCCCCAGCTGGCGTGCTGGGATATCCACCACCCACATATCACCACCCTGTCCCGTCGGTCCGGGATAGTGGTCCATGGGGACAAGATCCTTATCTCGGCCATCGACTCCATTAACCGAGACAATGAAGACAGGGGGCGGTCCTTTCCGCGTATGCCGTTCCAATGTCCAGTGTGCACATCTGAGACCGAATTGGAATCGGACATTCTCTGGTTGCCGGATGTTGATTTTTCTTGCTCGCGGATACACCGTCTTCTCACCAATAGAATAATCTTCCTTTGCGTTTGTAAATATCGTGGGTCCTTCAACCATGTCAGGCCAGCAGGCAGGGTCAATCACGATATATTCTTCCCAACTCATGCGCCGCCCTCCAGGAAGGAAAAACTGGTCTTTATTCCCCGGAAAATGCTTGACCGCAAACTCTTCGTTTGACATGGCGAAGAAATCCGGGTTGAATTTAGCCACGTACGGACGACCTGCGCCCTGGACATACCCTGCTCCCCAGCATGTATCGATGAGTTTCCATTCTCCATTGTCGATTTTAACCGCATTCCATGCATGACCTGCATTATAAGGTGGAAGAGGGGCTCCCGGCGGGAGGGGATTGAATCCATAGCCCTTCCCATGACCCGAGATGACGACAGACTCTAGGCCAGCGTAGGTAGCTAGGTTTGTGAAAAGGGCAGCATAGCCTTCACAGACTGCCAGTCCGCTTTGTAGGGTTGACTGTGGCGTTGAGCCTCGTACATTGTTATTGAAGAAACTGACAACATCGTAGGCAATGTTGTGGTGTAGCCAAGTGAAGATTGCCCGTGCCTTGTCGGTGGGAGATGGGAATGGAGAGGTCAGCTGATGGGCTAAAGTCTGTAAGGAGGTGACCTGGGTTCTGGGAAAAAGAGTGGCTTGGTGATCAGGGCCAGAGAAATCTCGGCAGACTAGACAGACACTGAAAGCAGCTGGTGGGCTGCCATTTAACGTAGCGGTGCTGGCAGCAAATTTTGGCTTGGTCGCCAGTATGGCCGAGAGATCTGGTCGAGAGGATTTTGGAACCAGCGGCGGAGCTGACTGGACACCTCTCAAGTGACCAAGCATGGTTTCTCCCAATGAGATAGGTACGTTTTCTCTGGCCGGCAATGGTAGTGCATGTTCTCGCAAAGGTAGTGATACAGGTTCCTTCGGCGGCAGTTGTATCGGCTCCATGACTGGGACAGGTTCCTGGTAATATGGTTGTTCTTTTGGGGTGTTATGAAACGCAGCTCTCCTTGCCTTTTCTATTGACTCGACCGAGGGAATAGGAGGCATTTTCCTGAGCGGAGTCTCTCCGGTATGCTCTCGGTGTTCAGCATCATTCTTGCGGGAAGGGAGTCTCGGCGGAAGGGAGGGACGCGGAGGAGGAGTAGGCTTGACTTCGGGGGTGGTAACTGATGAGACAAGTGTTGTACTCGAGGGAGCCCGATTGACATATTTTGGACGGTCTTCCGAGGGTTTCCTGGTGATCACATGTGGGTTGCCATTCCGGGGAGGCAGGGAAGGGAGTTCGCACTCGCCCCATGCAGGTGCCTTGATACGGCTCGCCGAGTCTGTAGACTTGGTGCGAGTAGTTGTGGCCTTTGAAGAGGCTGTGTCATTTGTACCACTCGAGTTGATCGATGTCACCGAGCCCCTCCTCTGCTCTTCAAGCGGGGGATTTCGACAGGGAAGAGGCGGAGGCTGTTTTCTCGCCGGAGGTGGAGGAGCAGGTTGATTACTTGGTCTCGAGTCGGTAATTGAGCCGTTGACCTGTTCTGGCGGATTGTTGATGGTGTTTTGCTTGAATATAGCGGGGCGCCTGGTAGGGACAGGAGGAGGAGGGTGAGACGAGGGCCGGGGCGGCTCTCCAGGTATGCGGCCAATATGGGCAGCATTCAATGCGGCGATACGCTGTTGGAGCGTCAGAGTGACAAAAGAATGATCCTCACTCATGGCTGACAATCAAGGGGGTTGTAGCCTGGAGTGGAGTGTAGGGAGGACAAGAGAATGTGGTCGTCATGTCAGAATGGCCATGACTGAAAACGAGCGGAAAGTCAAGGTACGGACTGAGGATAAAAGTGAGAGCGACATGCGACACGAAGCACAAAGCACGAAGCACGCGGCGTTGCGCAGGATGGCGGTTGGCTTGCGCCGAAAGGGGCGAGGGGGCTGAAACGGCACGTGATCTGCACATGATCTGCACGTGAGCGACCATTCAGCCTCGTCTCGGCGGGGCCTGGGGTGCTTGTGGGAAGTATCAGCAATGCCTGGTGGAAACATGAGATATTGAATGTCTGTTGTGACATGAACGAGAAGGGTTTCCAGCAGCTCAGCTCAAAGTGTCTCTGAGAGGTACACTCCAAAGGATGCTCTCCAATTCAAGCCACCGGTGTGTGACAACTTGAAACCCGAAGCGTGCCAAAACGTTGCAGCGAATCCTTCAGCCTTACCTTTCACATGAGCCAAGGTCAGAATCCGCCTCCAGATAGCTAACTGCTTTCATAGGGCCATCTTACCGGGGATCTCGCTGCTCATCTAGTCCAACTCATGGTGTCCACAAGCGCCATTCATTACGTCTCATTCAGCCTTGTCCTCTGCACAAGGCTGTGTCCCATTCACCACACTGGGTCAGTCGATGGGATTGTGACAACAGCGAGCTGAATGAAGCAATGACTTTCCCGCTGGTCCGCTAACCACGTCCACAGAAGCCAGATCGCCACGCGATTGCCTGGAAAGGGGCTACTTCCAATTCCCCCTTTTCAATGCCCAGAATGCATGCCGAGCCTCGTGTTCGTATTCCTGAAGGTTGTTCAGCTCCTGTGGGCGGACAAAGGAAAACGCACAGATCCCTTGACCCAGATTGAGTGTTCCAGCGTCAGCCCATTTCGAAATACAAGAGCACTGCTTCTTGAAAACAGGACACGAATCGCCCATGGACAACCAGGCGAAGAACATGGAGCTCACACTGCAGGGAAGCAAGGCGATAAACAACTTCGGGTGGGAACCACGGCTTATATCCCTGTGGAATATTACAAGGCAACTGCTGGATACGTATGAATCTCCTGGACTTACACCCGGAGCTCTAGGGAGCTGAGGTTTAGCCGCACACAATTTCGTGTTCCCGACACACCTCTTCGTATTCCCCTACCCCGTCTTTTGTGTCACTCGAAATCTATGGCCAATGCTCAGCAGTCATCCTGGCACGGGCTCTGAACCTTTGCAAGCGACGGAAGAGAATACAAGAAGCGGAAGTTTTCAGCCACGGCCACAGAGATCCAAGAGCCTTGGTGACCATCTACTATTTATTGGGGGCGCTCTCCTTTCTCGAGCACAGCTCCCACCAGAGTTTCTGGCAGTACCCACGCCTTGTACTCCCAGGACAGCGATACAGTAACTTGTCTATCACCCCATAGCTCACGATGAAGTCCTCTCTTCTCATCCTGCTCTGTCTTGTGAGCAAAGCCTTCTCGTGGGGCGAGCTAGGACACCGCACCGTCGGATACCTCGCGCAGATGTACTTCACGCCTAAGGCCGAGAGTCTGTTCAACGAACTCATCCACCCGACCGAGGCATTCGATATCTCCGACGGCGCCGTCTGGGCCGACAACTGGAGCACGCAGACCCGCATGCCCTGGTCAAAGCCATGGCACTTCATCGACGCCAAGGACAGCCCGCCCAAGAAATGCAAGGTCAACTTCAACGCCGACTGCGACCCGGACAAGAGATGTGTCGTCGCGGCCATCACAAACATGGTGAGAGGCCCTTGCCAGGCCTTTTCTTGGTTCTGAGTGAATATTTCAAGCTGACACATGCGGCTTTTGTCTGGCGCCGCCGGACAAACCGACAGACCGCCCAAGTCAACAATCCCCGTCTGAAGCCGGCCGACCAGAGCAACGCGCTGAAATTCCTCCTGCACTTCCTCGGCGACATCACCCAGCCGCTGCACACGGAGCAGAAATGCCGCGGCGGCACGCGGCTGATGGTGCAGTGGGGCAAGGCGGGCTCCAAGAAGGAGGACCTGCACCAGGTCTGGGACAAGCTCATCATCCAGAAGCTGCGCGGGTACAAGAAGCCGCGCGAGAGCGACCCGGCCAACGAATACGACAAGCACCTCGCGGCGGACTGGGCGGCGGACCTCAAGGCGAAGCTCGACGACGGTCGCAGCATCGACGTCTCGGCTGGCGAGTGCACCGACATCGCCAGCGCCCAGAGGTGCGCGCTGGCCTGGGCGTCCGAGGCCAACGCCTTCATCTGCAGCTACGTGCTCAAGGACGTCGGGACCAATCTCGGCCCGGACCCCTGCGAGGAGTGCTGCGAGTGGGACTGGCGCGGGCCCGAGGACTTGTCCAAGGAGTACTACGAGGGCGCCGTGCCCATTGTCGAGGAACAGGTCGCCAAAGCCGGGTGGAGGCTCGGGCAGTGGATCAACGCCCTGGCGGAGCAGCGCGTGAACATGAAGAGGGCCGGCGTGGTGTTCGTTGGCGAGGAGACTGATGATGATCTAAAAGTGCAGCCAAAGCTGGAGATGTAGTGCTGCGCAGGACGTGATAAGTAGGACTTGCTGTCCGCCCCGTGCCACCCATTGGTCTTGTTTGCAGACGGATTAATTGCTTGGTCCTGGAGCACAAACGATGCCTCTGAATTGTCACGTCTGAATCGCTGTGTAAGGGGCCCGTAATGAGGTCTCCCACAATAATGCAGTGCAGCTAGCTGCATGTATCGAACTAGTAAGGAAAAGCCATAACCATAGCTGGGTCGATGATGTTGTCTTCCAGCTATCTTGTCTTTGTCGTAAGAAAACAGAATACTCTGTTATGACGACAAGGCTGATGGCCCCTATTTTCACAGTGATGCCCATTCCAGGAACCCCAAACGGCGTCAATGTGGGGTCGATTGTTGTCTGACAGCCTCGATGCTGTGGCATCTCCGCAAACATGTTTTGTCAGACTCCCGGCATTATTCTTTGCCCCACGCTCCACATCCGGAACGTTCAAGCCCAATTCAATCTGCCGAAGACATGGTGGAGTAAAAATCCCCTCGGGAGTCTCAGACTATCGCAGTACAGAGTACATTAACTCGACCACGTCTGCCTCCATGACCGAGCATCATCGCCTTAGAACAGTGGTCATATAAAAGCCATCTCATCGCTCTAACGACCCACGATGGCGTTCAAACGGATCTGCCTCATCGGCGCCTCGGGCAATCTCGGCAGCCTGATCCTCAAACACCTCCTGGCCTCCCCGCAAAACTTCCAGGTCACGGTGCTGTCACGCAATTCCTCCACCGCCAAATTCCCCGACGCGGTCACGGTCATCCGCGTGGCCGACGACTACCCGGTCTCCGAGCTCACCGAGGCATTCAAGGACGTCGACGTGGTTGTGTCCGCGGTCTCCATGATGGGCATGCACGAACAGTACAAGTTCATCGAGGCCTGCCTCGCCGCCAAGGTGAAGCGGTATTTCCCCACCGAGTTCGGCCTGGACGACCTGCCGGACTGGCTGCTCCAGTTGCGGGAGATGTTCAAGATCAAGCACGACGTGCGCGATTACTTGATCTCCAAGGAAGACACGGGGCTCGAGTGGACGAGCATCTGCTGCAATGCCTTCTTCGAGATGGGTGTCGCTTCCGGGTTTTTCCAGCTGGACTGGCAAACCAAAAAGGCCGTGTTGATCGACGGTGGCGAACCGAAATTCGTGGCCACGACCTTGGATACCGTTGCTTTGGCGGTGGTCAGGGCGATCGAGAAGCCGGAAGTGTCCAAGAACCGGATCTTGCTGGTACAGGATTTCAGGACGAGCCAGAAGGAGATCTTGGACGCCGTCCAGCAGAAAGTGCCCGGTTGGCAGGTGGAGAATGTCGAATACGGATCTTGGTTGGAGAAGGGAAAGGAGCAGGTCAGGAGCGGCGATAACAGCGCCCTGCCCAAGTTGACCTTCGGCACGTTCGCACAGGGAAACCAGTACGAGGGAAGGCCGGAGTTCGGGAACCAGCTGCTGGACCTGCCGGCCAAATCTTTCTCGGAAGCCATGGGGATCTTCTGGAACGAATACGACAGTCGCCAGAAAGTTTAGACTGGATCGACGGTACGCGGTCCACGACAGTCAATGAGGCGGCGGCAGTCACTCTTAAGACAGGCTGCACTGTGGCACACAGGGTGACACAATGGCCTCCCAAAGAAACAGACCCCGTCTCGTGCTTCGATATCTCGAACTGACAACACATTAGTGAATGTCGATCGGGCGCGCAGTCAGTTGAGGTGTTGGAAAAGGCCACAGTCGCAAGCCGGGCTGCGTCTTGACCACATCTTCCCACACCGATAGCAGAAATCCGCGGAGCAAATGCATGTCATATGGTTGCACCCCTCCCTCCTTTGCACGAGATGTCCGCAAGCCGGACAGAATTTCCACTTCTCTTTCTCAATGAGCGCCTGCAGCGCCTTGTCACGCTTGCACAATCCACCGTGCTCCTTCCCCCTACAGCCCATACACACCCTCTTCTTGCAGAGAAGGCATTTGGCGTAGTCTTGCCTGACCATAGATGCCGGGATGTACGCAAGGCAGTCTTCCCACGGACAGTAGACTGGGTTTGCGGTGTGGACTTCTTGGAGCCAGACCACCAAGATATCAAGGAAGTCTGCGTCCAGGCCGCCGCGTTCGCGGATTGCCCTGAGCGGAACGCTGTGGCCGCAGCACTTGAATTCGATTCTCGTCTTGAACATATTCTGTAGACCTTCTGCATTCGAATTAGCCCAAGTACTACTGGCCTGTAAGCCGCGCGAGGGACTCGCCGTGAAGGCATCCGAGACAGAATGAATGCCGACATTTCAAACTGACGACGTCAACTCTGAAGAACGGGTCCATGCAGACAACACAGTCGACGACATCAAAGGGCGAATCCGCGATGACGCTTTGCTGGGCTCTTACATCCACCTTCGCCCTCGCTCGCGTCGCCAAGTCTTTGAGGATGACGGCTCTTCTCGCAGACTGCAGCTGAGACTCCTTTTCTGTGTCTTCAGATGGTGGGACATGCGCTTGCAGGGCTTTGTGCACCGTCTCGAATTCCTCGATGGCGTCGTACAGACAGACACTTTCCGGATAGTGCACCGCCTGGACGCACGCCCCCAGGTAGACGGCATTCTGCTGGACTTCTGGCTTCGTGCTCTCCACGAGGTTGTCGACGCCGAGGACCTGCGGACACGACCGAGGATAGTCGTCGAGGACGCGGAGCAGGAACGAGTAGTCGAGGCCGGGAAGCCGGACGGCCACCGTCGTGTGGTGCGCATCGGAAAAGGTTACGGCAATCCGACCCTCGCCATAGATGGCGTTGAGGGCGTAAACCTCCTCAGCTAGTGAGGTGTTGTGGATCAACATCATCACATCGTGAATGGATCTGCGATTGGCTTCAAGATGGTAATGTGACCTCGTCAGTATCGAGGGAGGACATACGAGACAGAGGCCGGGTTGACACCTCAACTCGTCAGTCAGTTGCATTGTATATAAACCCCATTTATAGACCTCGGGAGGATCCCTGGTTATGAGTCAGCAATATTCCCATGGCCACAACCACTGTCTTGGATGACTGACTGAGTGATTGGGGGCCAAATTTAAACGACTTGGTTGAATGAGTCACCACCAGCACGATGCCGGCAAGGGTGATTTTCGAGTCGACTAGATAAGAAGGGTTCAGACTATGTTCATACATGGATAATTGACTTATGGCCAGGATGCAGTCTCTTCAACAAGGCTGATAGTGGGAAGTGTGTTGAAACGCATTCAGGCAACTCTGCATTGGCATATGGATCCCGGCGGAGGAAGGTGGCGCAGTTGGGAATATTAACCCTTGTCTGTATGACCCTCAGTTACCCGCACGTCTTTACCGTTCGTCAGTGTGGTAAATTGTGTTTTCCAGACGGGAAAAGGGCGCGGCTATTGAACCGTACACACATAACCTCTTTCCTATTCAAGACTCAAAGGCCCTATACGGCGGAACCTCCAGGGAGGAAAGCAGTGCGCTGTTCTCTACCCCCTCTACACAGCCTAACATGACGCTCTCGCACAAACATCATCAACAACAACACAGCAGCAAAATCAAGCTTCAAGTCTGCCCCAGCACACTGCGGGTCGAGAACAACTAGATTCCTTGGTCGGGGCGATAGATGGGACGAGGTAAGCCCAACCATGTCCCACGAGAAATGAGCGGCATCCCCCCTTGGAGGGAAAAGGTGAGAGCATACCAACCACCCTAGAAGGTGACATAGGTGAGAGCGCGCTTGTGCCACGGCTGGGCGTAGTACTTGTCCAGGAAGGCGATGTCCTCGGGCGTCAAGGGTCGACGGCCCGACTGGATGTCGGCCTCGGCGGGGTTGACCCATTTGGTCTTGAAGGCGATCTTGTAGGCGAGGAAGACGACGATGAACAGCGGGACGCAGAGGAAGGTCTTGAAGAAGTTCTCCGCCGTGGTGGGCGCGTCGATGGGGAAGAGCGAGATGTAGAAGGTCGAGGCGAGGATGAGCAGGCTGCTGGTCAGGAGAAAGACGGAGCCCAGGGGCCACCACCGGTTCTTGTAGGCGTACTGCAGGCTCAGCGGGTTATCTCCCTGTGCTTTGAAGGCTTGGCGCATCTTGAAGTTGCTGATGGCGATAACGATGTAGGCGAGGAAATAGACCGTCGAGGAGACGGTGCTGAACCAGGTGAAGATAATGGCCCCCGTGGTGGAGCAGCTGTTCCAGGGAGAGTCAGCAATCAAAAACCATGGCGGGGTGCGGGCGGGAATTACTTGATGTAGGTGAAGATGGTAGCAATAACCATCCCCACGCCAAGCGAGACATATGGTCGGCCTTTGCTGTCAATGCGTCCAAATGCCTTGGGGAACAGTCCCATGCGACCCATGGCCGTCGACATGCGCGAGCTGAGGTATAAGGATTCGGCGCCGATCGCGCAAAGGCCAATCATCATCACGGCGTTCATGATGTCGGGGAGGCCTTTGATCCCGGCATTGTCCATGGCAATGACGAACGGAGAGGCCGCGACGTTGGAAGTCCCCAGCAGTCTGGGCTCGTTGTACGGGACGAGGATGGTGATGAAAATGATGGACGTGATGTAGAACAGAAAGAGACGCGCGAGGAAATTGTTCATGGCGCGAGGAAGACTCCAGCGAGGCATCGCAGCCTCGCCATTGCTGATACTGTTCAGTTCCTGTCCACCACAGGCCCAGGACGCCAGCAAGAAACCTTGGGCAACTCCCTAGAGACTTGTTAGCCACTTGAAGAAAGCCAACTTTGAAGACCTTACCTTATAACCGTTGGGGAAGGCTGGGAGGCTGGTATAATTCTGAGCGTGATGCGTCGAGCCGGTTGGGCCAGCGCCAGCGATCATGGCGATACAGGTAAGAATGATGACGACCATCAGCACCACTTTGATGGAGGAGGTGACAAACTCGAACTCGGCGAACCACTTGTTGGGCAAGAAGTGGATGCCAAACACGATGACAAGGTAGATGGTCATGCACGCAGCGGTAGGGACCGCGGTCGTCCAGTAGGAAAGAATCAGCTGGAAGACGGCTCCTTCAGAAGCGATGACCGAAATCCAGGCGAGCCATTCACAGAATCCTGGAGCAGCAGGTCAGGGGGGGTACAGGTCCATCTGCGCAGGACAGGTGAAACTTACCAATGGCGAACCCGCAAGCCGGATCGACAAAGCGAGCAGCGTGGTCGATAAAAGCACCCGAGGTCGGGAAGATGATGCAGGCTTCAGACATCACGTCGATGGTGGCGTACGCCTGGGCGCAGACGGTGAGCCAGCCAATCCACATGCCGGTCCAGCTACCATAGCGAAGGGCCTAGATGCAAGATCAGTCGCCGAGCGGGCGTGAGGTGTTGGGAGTAGAGAAGACCAACCTTTCCCGAGCTGACGAAGAGACCCGAACCAATGCAGCCACCCAGGACAATCATTTGGATATGGCGGGATTTGAAAGCACGACGAAGTTCGCCCTTGTGCTCTGCAGCAGTCTCCCCGGGGTAGTCGAAGATTTCGCCCAACTCGGCCTCAGGAACGCCGCTTATGCTTGCGTCGACGATGTCGAGCTTGGAGTCGACCACCTCCATGGCCCCCTTTGAGGATGTGAATCTGCTTCGAGTGGACATGGCTGGACTGGGAGCTAGGGTTGGCCCTGGCAGGAGAAAGGTATTGAGGATGCTGAAGTCGAGATGAAGGGAGGGATTAGAAGAGTTGGGCAATGGACCAATTTATGTCTTTTGACCGTCTCTCATCGACATCCGTGTAGAGGCAAGCAAGATACCGTTATCAATGGGAAAGCGAGCAAGGTTGAGTCGGGATCCATCCGTTTATCTCGGTTTGCTCTGTGGAAGAAATTGGCCTCGCGTCAAGTCGAGTCTGCGATATCATAGACACAGGAAAAAAGCCCGGGGTACATAGACATCAACACAACCTATCTAACTAACCTCTTGCGGAGCGGTGATAGAGAACCTCGATGGCCATGCGGTCGTCTGGTCGAGGCTTGATAGCGATAACCAAGGCCTCCGGACAGAGATCCAATGACTCTGGCTAGCTCTGGGGTTGTCCCACAGCAGTGGATTGCCATGTTGAGATCTCAAGCGCTGGCCAAGAGATGATTGTGACTGGATTGGGCAGTCAACGGCCGGTCCTGGGCCAGGCAGGGGTCTCGACATGACGCTACTGCAGTATACACCTTGACGCCACGGCACGTGAAGGAAATTGAGGCAACTGACGCCAGAAGATATGTCCTTGCCTGAGCAGGCCGAGTCGGAGCGTGTTGCTGGCAATAGGTGGGGACGCAACGTCAGGGACGGAGTATTTCCCTAGGAGACCGCCAGCCATTAGTCGGGTGGAAAAGGATACGAGTACGGACAGACCAGTTGAATCGATGCATTGCAAGTCCACTGCCCTAGCTATATGGAAAAGGGAGCAGACCAATAGGGGCGCAGGTCTAGCGGCCGTTGAAGGCGGAGTAGTGCTGTGCGAGGTACTCCGTAGATTGGGATCCTGCTATCTACTGCCGCTGAGAGTTGACACCGTCTACAGAACCAGCTGCTGGTCGGGGAAGTCCATGGCCACCACTTGCCTATGTGACTAGTCAGTGCAAATCCCTCGAGACGGCCATAGACATAGCTCTCTGGACCGTAAATGGCCACTTTGGCAGCCGTCGTCGCCGCCTGCAGTTCTACTGGCCGTCCTCTAGGGTCAAGTCTACCTCTGGGCATTACCCATTCGATCATGGACGGCCCTGTACTCCCAGTGTTAGAGGATCACATGTAGCTGAGTTCTGCTTGGCTACGGTGATCCCCTCGCTGACCAACTACACTCTCCTCCCACCAGGACGTTATCAGGCTGAGGTTCCACTTCCGATAAGCCTCCTAGGCCGACTGCTGAGGGATGGGGAAAGGAACCGTCGCGTGGAGCCAAGAAAGAGCATTGAGCAATAGGGCCGAGGACGAGCAACGGCAGACCTAAGGTCCGTCCATCAGTATAGCACAAATGCATGTAGAATTCGGCGGGCTGCTTCTCTCCTCGACTCTTCTTCCTCCCCTCTTCACAGAACCCCGGATTCCAGGTCAAGTCGCTCGTTTCGATCGCCTTTCAAAATGGCCAACCGCGGAGCTTCCCTGGATCCTCATGTCTTCACGATCGCTGACTTGAAGGAGGCCAGCTCGAAAAAGATGGAAAAGTCGCACCGAGGTATGGATCGCATCCGCATGGCAGGAAGAGCGGCGGTCACTTCGGCCCAGAGGGAAATCAGCTAACCATCGAGTGGCGGACTGTAGATTTTGTCAATGAAGGGGCCATGGACTTGATTACGTGCGGCCAGCCTCCTCTGTTGTCCCCTATATGTGAGATGGGCACTGACCGAGTGAGGAATGTCCAGGTTGCGCGACAACGAAGAGGCCTACAACCGCTACAAAATTCGGCCTCGGGTTATGATGAACGTGTCGAATATCGACATGACTACGACCATTTGGGGCAGGAATGTGCGTGGAACTCCCAAGCTGTTTTCCCCAAGGCTGGTTTGAAGAGGCGCTCAGATCCCCTGTGGACAGGTTGCATTCCCCTTCGGCTTCGCGCCCGCGGCTTTCCACAAACTGGCCCATCCGGATGGCGAGGTAGGGACGTCACGCGCGGCGGCAAAGCTGAACGTCGCCATGGGTCTGTCCAACTATGCGACCTGTTCGCTCGAAGACGTGGTTGCTCAGCGCCTCCAAAACCCCTACGCCATGCAGCTGACGATGGTGAGGAATCGAGATGTCACCTTGAAGACCATCAGGCGCGCCGAAAGTAGGCCATCCTTCTCCTTCCCTACCTTCCTCCCTCTCGTGTCTTTTTTTGCGCGGACTGCGATGGCGTGGTCTTTCTCCAGACCAAACCAGTTCTAATACCGATGGCCCCGGCACAGAGGCCGGATACGATGCCATTATTCTCTCCGTAGATGCTCCAATGCTGGGGATGCGCCTCAACGAATACCGCAACTCGTTTGCCATGCCCGAGGGCGTGACCTGCCCAAACATCGAGGCAAAGGACTCGGACTCGATGAATGGGGGCAACCGGGACCTAGAATACGGTATCTTCCACCCCGTCTTTGCGTCTCGAGTGGCTCCTCGCCTCTATTTGCTGTGATGCTGATCCAGTCCCAGAGGACAATCTCGAATGGACCAATATAATCCCCTGGATGAGGGCCAACACCAAGCTCCAGATCTGGATCAAGGGCTGTATGACTTCCCAATATCCCAACACTTGCAATGGAACGAGTGTCTGAAACTATTGCGAGTTGGCTCATGCGTTTGCAGTGCATACGAGAGAAGACGTAGTCCTGGCGATCCGGCACGGCCTGGACGGCGTCATCATCTCCAACACCGGCGGGAGGCAGTTGGACGGCGTGCCCGCGACGCTGGATTCCTTACGCGAATGTGCGCCCGCCGCGGCGGGCAAGATCAAGATCGCCGTGGATGGCGGCATCCGGCGAGGGAGCGACATCTTTAAGGCTCTGGCGCTCGGCGCGGATTTCTGCTTTGCCGGGCGTATTCCCTTCTGGGGACTGACGGTACGTCGACGATTCAGCCTGCTCTATTCTCCCGAGAAGCCCCCGTGATGCGATCGAGAGAACCATATAACTGACCAAGAGACGTGTGTACGTGCAGTACAAGGGCCAAGAAGGCGTCGAGCTGGCGCTGAGGCTCCTGATGAACGAGTTCAAATTGACTATGTCGCTGGCAGGGTAAACAGCATTCCACCCCACCCGCGCTCATGTATGTGAACCATGTGGCTGACGCTTTGTGACCAGATGTAAGAGCGTGAGTGAGATCAATAGGGGCCACCTGGCTCTTCTACGACCCGACGGCGTCCTTGCCAAACTGTAGATCGGGGTAGCTTTGGTGGATGACTCTTGAATAGACCTGCAGAGGCAGACTCGGCCACATTGATGGCTCTTGGTACGCGTCAGTGAGCGGGTTCAGTTGATTGCCATAGACAGATAGAGGTGGAATTCACATGCGGCATCCAGAAACAACTTGGACATCGGTGAAGGCTGGGCAATGCCGATGATACTCCTCTATAGCCAGGACACGAGAGAACTACCTATCCAACCATCTTCCATTCTTTGCCCTGGTACGGCCACCGCGATGTTGACGGTGACAGCTGCATGCCACAAAGCCCTCAGCACCACAGCCTGGCATGATATGCGTAACGATACGTGCTGAAGAGCTCCGAGGCTGAAGGCCCTGGGTGGGAAAGAGAACTACTCCACTTCCAGAGTCCGCTGGACCCCTAGTCCCGTAGACTTGACTCTGTCCAGTCACGAAGCAGGGTTCTTATAAATGGACCCAACACTGGTCACTGCTGCCCGTCCATTGGGCGAGCATCTGGAAGGAAATGATGCCGCGATAGGAGATGCCCACCGGATCCACTGCCGACGGGATCTATTCTCTGTCACTTTGAATCTCTATGCTTCAGCCATGAAAGTTGCTGGGAATCAAGAGTATCCATGTTATGTTCTGATCTTGAGAGTTCTCTGGGCTGGCGGGCCAGTGGCAGTGTTCGGTGCATTATTTGCCCTGGGCCTAAATGGAAGAGGGCCAGAGGTTAGAGAAATCCAGCATTGGGAGGTGTGAGTGGTTTGCCCGACTCGAGACGCGGAAGCCTATGCCGTCTGTTGCCCCCTTTGCCCTCTGATACCCCCGGACCAACCGTGGCGGAACCATGCTGGGGTTGAACTAGACATCGTGACTATCTGGTCGCTGATCATGGCTTGTTGTTTCTCAGCTAGTGGGGCCTATCACCAACCCCGACAACGACGTGGCTTGTATGTAGACTACATAACGCGGGCACAGAGGAGTGCTCTATAACGAAGTGTACAAGGGGCCATTTCATGACACAGAAGCCACGAGACCCAAATATTTTCCTCCGTTCAGCCAGCCAGACACCCTACGAGCCACTATGATTGCAACAGTCGACGACACGTCCGCGCTAGACCAGGCGCTGGAAGAGGCGCGGGCGGCGTACGCGAAGGCGAACCCGACGAGCGGCGAGATCTGCAAGCGGGCGGCGACGGCGACCCCAGGAGGTTTGTTCTTCTTCTTTTTCCCAGCCTCATCCTGGTGAAAAGACGTGCTTGTTCTGACACGGCCACGAGCATGCAGGCACGACGCGGAATGTCATCTACTTCAAGCCGTTCCCGCTGGTGATGCAGTCGGGAGAGGGCCCGTACCTCACCGACGTCGACGGGCATCGCTACCTCGACCTGTGCGCGGAGTACAGCGCGTGTGCGTTCGGCCACTCGCACCCGGTGATCAAGAAGGCCATGCACGACGCCATTGACGAGGGCATGTCGCTGGGCGCCGTCAACCGCTTCGAGGGCCGGCTCGCCGAGTTGATCGTCGGGCGGTTCGCCAGCATCGATCGCATCCGCTTCTCCAACTCGGGCACCGAGGCCGTCACGACGTGTCTGTCCTTGATCCGCGCTTACCGGGGCAAAAGCACGTTCCTGTTCATGCAGTAAGTGATCAGAAGAGTTGCCCAAAGGGATACCTATCCCGTCCCACTTCTGATGCCCGTCGCCGGCCCTTGAGAGCTGACTGAAAGAATCTCCGTCCAGGGGAGGCTACCACGGCGGGCTGATGGCTTTTCAGAGCGAGAAGGAAACCAACATGAAGGCGGCGGGGACGCGGACCATGAATGTGCCGCACAAAGTGGTGCTGTCGCCGTACAACGACATCGCGACGATGCAGCGGCTGGCCGACGAGAACCGGGACGACCTGGCGGCCATCGTGATCGAGCTGATGCAGGGCTCGTCGGGCTGCATCCCCGTGGACCCGGCGTTCGCGCAGGCGTGCCGCGACAAGGCCACCGAGACGGGCGCCGTGCTCATGTTCGACGAGGTCATGACCAGCCGCATGTCCACGGGCGGCTACCAGGCCCTGCTGGGCGTCTACCCGGACATGACGACGCTGGGCAAGTACTTTGCGGGCGGCGGGCAGAACTTTGGCGCCTTCGGGGGCAAGGAGGAGATCATGCGCCTGGTCGAGCCCTACCAGCCCAACGGCGTCTACCACTCGGGCACCTACAACAACAACGTCACCACGATGCGCGCTGCCGTCGCCGTGCTCGAGCACGTCTGGACCCCCGAGGCCGCCACGCAGCTCTTCGACACGGGCGAGTGGCTGCGCGCCCAGCTCAACGCGTTGTCCGCCGACCGAGGCTCGCTGCTGCACGTCAGCGGCGTTGGCAGCCTGATGCAGGTCCACTTCACGGGCAAGGCGGTCAAGAACGCCGCCGATGCCCTCGCCGGCAGCAGCGAGCTGCGCGAGCTGTTCTTCTACGACATGCTCAAGCGCGGCATCTTCGTCGCCCGCCGCGGCGCCATCCACCCCATGACTGTCCATACTCGTGAGCAGCTGCAAGTCTTTATCGACGCTGTCGGCGAGTTCCTGACCGAGAGGGCCGCGTTCACTGGTCTGTGAAGCCGGGGGAGAGAGCCCTGCCTCAAGTGGCACGAGGAGATGGAGGGATTTGATGGGCTTCTCCTCAGTGCACATCTCGGGTATCATGCTTTCCAGGGACCTTGGAACGTTTGTAGCCGCGAATTGATAGTTCGATCAGAAGAACGTGTTGTGTCTTTCCGAGTTCCTCGATAATACATATAGTAGAGCATATATGCTTGTGTGAACGGGGCTGAATCTGTTTCACTCGAGAGCAAACGAGGCCCCCCCCAAAACGTCTCAGAGGACACAGTGGTCAAAGTAATGAAGCCTGCTCCTTGACCATTGATCTTATTTTCTCTCAAAACATGTCTGACTCTGATTCTATTCTAGCCTCTACATGCAAAGACTCAAACAAACGGACGGACGCACACCGGCGCCCAGGGAGCCGTGGACTCAGCTCTCGGGGTCGACCTGTTGGGTCGAGCCGACTCTCGCCCGATCGGCGCGCTTTTGTTTCTGTTCTAAGAGGTGCTGGCAGAACCTGCTCCTCATCCGGATGCTGGGACCGTAGTAGATCAGGGCAAACGGTACGGCGACCAGGCTGAGGGCCAGGAAGCCCAGCACCGAGGTGGCCCAGGCGACGCCCAGGGCGCGGTACATGGGCCGGGCGGCCAGCGGCAGGGTGGCGCCGACGATGCTGCGCGAAAAGCACGACGCCGCCATGGCGCTGGCGGCGAAGACCTCGTACGCGTCCACCAGGTAGTTGTTGAGGGCCGCGAAGGTCAGCAGGTAGCCGAAGCCGAAGAACAGGCCGGACAGGCAGGGCACGGCCCAGTGGATGTCGCGCCGGGCGGTCCAGGCGAGCCAGAACAGCGCGACCACGCAGAACGGGCCGCCGACGCAAGCCACCGGAAGCCGCTGGTACTCCTCTTTGGTCGTCCAGAGCTTGCCCTGGCTTTGGGCGCGGCGGATCATGTTGTCGTATGAGAAGAGGGCTGGTGCAGTCAAGGCCGCGCCGACGGCGACTTTCGATCACCGCCAGGTTAGTTCAGAGGGATCCAAAAGTTAAAGACAAGTGAAGCGTACTAGGTGATAGCGCAAGAGCTGACTCTCCCTTGTTGAACCCGTAAATGCCTATCGGCCATGTCAGCGTGTTCGTGGAATACAGGCAAAGACGGTGAGGGTACCTTCGAACACAATGGGATATGCCTCGAAGAACAAGTAGAAGAAGGCGTAGAGCAGTGCAATGTACAGACAGCTGAGGTAGACGAGAGGCTCGAAGCACAGCATTCGGATGGGGCGCGTCAGGGACGTCTGGATGAAGTCTTTTGCGTGTCTGCTTTCCACTTCCAAGGGAGCGACGACGTTGGAGTCGGGGTTCTTCCGCCGCAGTGCCACAGCTCGTCTCTTCAGGATGACGGGCCCGAATGTTTCTGTGTGGTCGGTCAGCATTGAGAAACATTCGAGGACTCTCTCCCCCACAGTCCGGTTTACCTGGCATCAGCGCAAGGGGAACCCAAGAACACCCAGCAAAGATCAAAACGGCCCAGAAAATCCACCTCCAGTTGACGGGAGACAGGTATCCCGATATCAGAGGCCCGGCTAGAGGACCAAACGTCGTGCCCTACATGGTCAGCGCAAGGGTCCAACACGTCAAGGCGCGGAAGCTGTAGCTCCCTACCGACATAAAAGCCACCACGGCGCGGCCCCGGGTGCGTGGACTCTCAAAGACATCTGCGAAGAGACCGCCGATGATGGCGAACGGAACCGATGCACAGGTCCCACAGACAAGGCGGAAGACGAGCAAACTCGGCCAGTTGGGAGCCAGTGCACACGCCATGGTGAAGAGAATGAAGACATTGAACGTCCACAGCGTCACGACTTTCCGACCCTGCGTCTCGCTGAGCGGACCAAAGACCAACGGGCCGAAGATGTAGCCGATCAAATAGACGGTGGTCGGCAGGTAGGCCTGATTTTCTCCATGCACGTCGAGGTCCTGGGCGATGTAGGTCACGGCGTTGCTGGTGATGGCCGAGGAGATGGTGCTGTTGAATATCAAGATGATGCCCACCATCACAATGTAGAGCTTCTTTGCCTGCATAGACAGACACATGTCAGTTTACTGATCAACCAAACCAGATATGTGCGGGAGGTTTTCGGATTGGGTACCGTGGGCCAGTTGTAAGGGTTTCCAGAGTCGTTTGGGAGAAATGCAAGGATCTCGGACGTCGTGTCTTGCCTGGTAATCACGGTGGTGTCTCCTTGTCGCTTGTGCGAATCCGAGCGTTGGTTCTCGTCCCTGGGCTGGACACCTACAACGATATTCAGGCCCATCAACTTTCATCCATGGATCCAATCAACGGGGCGGCTCGAGGTTTGACTGACCAGAAAGAAGAACACCAGATCCCGTCGCATTGATGCCATCACGTTCCTTGCAAAGG